TGTCTAAATGGCGAGAACAAATGTCGGTGGACAAGCAGGAACTTTGCTTGCCCCATTGCGGGTTATGCAAACAAAACCGTGTACGACTGGCTCATAAATAATATATTTCTCTTTTTGTCTGCAACAGTACGTTTGGAACGTGACCATTGTATTATTTTCAGGTCGCCAATGAGTGTTCTCGTTGGTCACGTACTACGCGGTTTCAGAGATGTTTCCTCCCACGAACACTCAGGTTGTGGAATGAGCTCCCTGCCGAAGTTTTCCTAAGAGACTACAGCATGGGGTTCTTCAAAAGGGGGGTAAAGAGGTTCCTTCGGGGTTGGCAACGCACGCGTAATACCTCTGGTATTGCAGATGTTTATAGACTACGGTAACCACTTACCATCAGGTGGGCCGTATACTTGTTTGCCACCTCAGTGGATTAAAAAAAAAGGTTTATTGCGGATTCTTACATATATATATTATTACATAAAATAATTATAACCAAATGATGTCTGTCTGTACATGAAAAATATTTGAGAAGAATTGATAGAAGAACTCTTAATTAGAGCAGTAGAAGCCAAATCAACAATTTTTGGAAATTTTGTATTTCTATCTGTCTGTCTGTATATTTGCTCCGCCATCACGCAAAAACTACTGCACCGAATTGGGTGTGGGTTTTCACTGTTCCCGAAGGTCTAATTTAAAAGTTATTATATGTATTATATTAAGGTACCAATTAGAAGTTGTCCAATTAAGTGCTTTTCCTACTCTTGAAATTCACGCGCACAAAATACATAGCAGGTAAAAAGCTATCATAGTATAATGCTATACAAAAGAGGAAAAATAATATAGTATTTTATTCGTTTAGGCTATTTAACTTTTTAATGTAATAAATATTGTATTGAACAATATTTTTATTAAATTTAATTACTCTTTAATAAGGGCCTAATAAAATTTAATTATTCTCAAGGCATCTTGTGATGTAATCAATCGTAAAGAATAACAAATTATTTTAATCAATTATTTGCATCTGTAACGTATTATACATATACATGTACATATAATTAATCCGTATTAAATTCAAAGATGGAAAACTCAGCTTTGAAAAAGTCCTGTTAACACCATCAGAAATAATTAGGGTATAAGATGAAATATGAAGAAATGATTAATTCTAAAGAAAGATTGCTACAAGACCTCGTCGATTGGTTTAACACGGAGAAAAGAAACGATTTATCATAACATCAGATAGTGGGGTGCAGATCGACTAATTTACTAAATTGCCAGGAACGTGCCCGGGAAACTACTCGGTAGCTAACAAGTAATAACATCTCCTTGGGAACAGTTTTTGTTATTGATTCATTTTATTACCATATTGACGGTAAGAAATTTCAAAAATAGGTAATAACACTGGTCGTTTAAGGTTTTGTGGTACAAAAACTTCATTTGTGACAAATTAAAAACACAGACACGGAAATAAACACTATGGATTGCAGAACCATCAAAATCGGATTAAGGTTAGAAGACATAATCGCGTAATTAACATTTATACCGAGTACCAGATCTTGCAATTTTGCCTTTCCGGGCAAAAATGATACTATTAGTACTGAGCGTGTGATCACGTTTATTGTACACTCGCAGCTCAACCCGGATTCGATCGGTTTTTTATTTAATTACAACACGTCTCTCGCTGATAAATCTTATATAGATATGCAGTTTTTAAGTAAATCCATAACAAACAAACCTATAAAAATTTAAATCAGTTTTCATTATAACATTGGCATATATTTCCTTAATATATGTATATTATAATACACTAAAATAAAAATAAAAAATAATTAATGAAAATTAATATTTATTTATTCATTAGTACATAATGTGTACAGGGCGGACTTAATGCAAAAAGTATTCTCTCCCAGTCAACCATAGGGAAGTGTCAGAATACTCAAATGCGGTACAAGTAATAATTGATATACATACATACTAAAATTTACATATTACACAAATAAATATAAATAAATAACAAATATACATACACATATATAAGATATATTATATATAGGAAGATTAGAATAATAAATAATACTCATATAATATTAGTTATACAGTAAAAAAGCCGGTGTAATTGTAAAACGCGTGTTAATATCGACATAACATAACGCATGTGCTTCTACCGTTTCTGTCGTACACGACTGTGACGTTTTATACGCCCTCATTATATTACTGGTAGTGCTTTTAGATGATGCTAATTAATTAGATCACCTATACAATTCAGGTAAAGTTAGGTACATACCTACAGTAGAAAGGTATTATGTCGTTTTATGCCTACTATAGATAAAGTTGTAGGTCACTAATTTTTTTTATAACACAGGGGCAAATGAGCATGCGGCTCACCTGATTGTAAGTGAATACCGCCGCCCATGATCACCCGCAACACTGGAAGCATTACAAGTGTGCTGCCAGCCTTTTAAAAAAGAAGATTACTCTTTTTTTGAAGATTATGATGCCGTCGAAAATACTGCTGCTGGAAGTTGATTTCAAAGGGTGGTTCTACGTAAAAGAAAGTGCCTTGAAAAATGCGCGGTGGAAGACTACCACTCATCTAGATGGTTGGGTCGGAACTTAGGTTTGTGGCGGTGGCGGAAATCATCAGCAGGAATCAATCCGAACAATTCCTCATAGCACTCCCCATGATAAAATCGGTAAAACATGCACTACAAACATCTCTACGCAGTTTCAGTTACAAGATTAATAACTGATAAACAAGTACCATCTTACAACAAAAATGTTAAACTTGCAATATATGTTTTAGCGATAAGGTCGCCCATTGTTTTCTCATTGTGATTATTTCTTGTAATTGTTTATATTGATAATAAGTTTACTATTGTAATATTTTGAAGGAAACAATAAAGAGTATCTATCTATCTACGTTTAAACATCTTGCTGTAAAAGTTGGATGTATAAACAAAACAAAGTCTGTCTTATAAACAGTTAAATTGTGTTCCTCAAAAGAAAATCACTTTTATTGTGGCAAAACCAGTCATTTTGGTTAATATTATGGATATAAAATTTGAATAAAATTTCTATGGGACCAATCTGAAAAAACATCTATTAAGATAAAAATGTATTGTCCAGATCGAGTTATTCTTACAACGTACGGATTTATGAGGTAGCAAACATTAAAAAAACGTACAACTGAGTTGAAAATGTCCTTCTTATTTAAGTGAATTGAAAATAAAAAGTAATACATTTTATTATTATTATAATAATCTATAGATTTTGGCGTATAAAATTATAATTTAATATTATTAGGTACACTTACTAAACTGCCTACCTACCTATTAAAAAATTTATTACTCAGAGGTTGGTTAAATTGTATTTGGATAAACAGTGTTTAAAATAACGTTTTTGGTAAATCGTTAAAATCTGCACCTCATATACTCGTACTAATAAAATAAAATAGTATGTACAGGGTGAAATTCAAATCATTAGCATCTTTAGTAAAAGACTCCTTTATAAGAATGCTAATGATTCGATTTTAACATGTAAGGGGTCGAGAATTAAAAAAAAAAGTGAACATTGAGTTTTTTTATCGTATAAATTAGGGTACTCTCTAATTTATGCAAAATAAAAACTCAATGTCAATGTCAAAGACTCGAAATAAGCAATTAAACTACAGTTATTTTTATAATAAATATCAGTCTGTTTGTTTGTACATACATCATCTATATACATATAATAAAACTGTAGAGGTCGAATGTCTGTACATAGAAAAAAAAACGCTAAAAGCCGAGTCAGGGAGATGTTAGAAGTGAAATAGAACACATCCAGATATATTTTTAAATTTTTTTGTTCTTCTGTCTGTTTATCTGTTTGTACGGGCTAATCTTCGAAACTGTTGGACCGATTTAAAGGAAATTTTGTGGTACCTTACATACCCGGTCAATATTTTAGATATTTTTAATCATGGAAAATTAAAGAGTTCCCGTGGAATATTTAAAAAACTATAGTAACTTATACAGCTTAGTACACAACCTACTTAAGTAAAGTTATTTTAACCTAAGGCAAAGAGTGAGACGAAATATTATTTGTTAATTTTCGTCCAGTATTCCAATACATAATAAATAGGTAGGTACGTACATCGATGATATCTAAACAGGAATAACAAATACCACACGGACAAAGTCACGGGCATCAGCTAGTCATACTTAAGTAAGAAAAAATGTAAATTTATTTCAGTGAAATCCGATTAGATAGCCCATATTAAAAACTAGTAATATTTTATCAGAACCTATCGGATGAAAAGTATACTTCGTGTTAATCTAGGTTTACGTCCATCTGGTTATCAAATTTCATTCAAATTCGTTCAGCTGTTTTAACGAGATAAAATAACAAATATTGAAATACGTTTTTGTAAACTTTTACATTTAGGTATAACATAAATAGAATTCGTAAGGTAAATATATAATTTTTTACCTGTATGTAAATTAAATGAATTGGTTCTTTGTTATATAACTAAAACAATATTTTTTTTATGACTTTATTTATACTAAGATCTGTCTTCTTGCTGGACAACTTGTCTGGGGACAATAAATAGTACGTCTAATGTTTACTTCATTGGCGTGCTCAGTATGCGACCTGTGTCGCATCCTACTTTATTTTATTTAATCATATCTTGGGGCATTTTGCGTTTCAGTCTACGAGTCGTGTGCTTTACGTCCTAAGATTTCTTGCCAGTCTGTTAGGATGTTTTGTATCTTTTCCTTATAGGATTGTGTGCTGCAGTATTTCCTGTCTAGCAGTTCCAATTTTTAGGTTATGATACAGTTGCTCGTTTGCGACAAGCTAAGGAGCATTCTCAACATTTTATTTTACAATCTTTGCAAAATTTCGACAATGAAATGCTATTCCCTACAGCTACATTCAATTAAAAAAAAAAAAAACAAAATAAACCATTTATATAAAACAAAAAATATACATTTATAATTTTATAGTACACATAACAAACAACATGTACCAACCTGGTAACAGATGAGTGCCATGCGGCCGTCGTGTGACCAAGAGAAGTGCGTGACGGGTGTACTCCTATCATTGATCAGCTCGATGCTCCACCGGCCTTCATACTTGATCCATACGAAGATAACGCCGGAGCTGTCGCAGGATGCCAGCTTTTGGTACGGCTCGTTCCATTTCACCAAAATTACCTACAAAGAATATACATTATAAAATACCATAACAGATCACCATGCATGTTATTTAATGTTAGACCTTTACTACTGCCCTGAAAGTGAGGAGATACGACAAACGGCGTCTTTTTTGCGGTACTTGCTAGACTAAAAAAATTACGTGCGTGTATCTATAAAGTAAATATTATTTTAACATCTGAAATGACACATAGTGTATCGTGTATTGATTGAGAAACAAAAATCTCGGGACCGGCATATACTCGTATGTATGAGAATATGAAATTAAACGAAGCAAGAGATATAAGGATAGAAGTCTTTGACTATCGGTTGTTTCAGAATACTCTGTAAGGGACTTAAAGTGAAAGTAAATAGCTTAATAGATATAAGTTACATTACAGTACAGACATTACTTGCTTACTTATACGTCACAACTGCCTCCCATTGGAGGTCGCCAATTCAAATAAAACTTTTTCGTTTCCTCCACACATTCGCCAATTCATTCAAGCTCGACAGTTACGAGTACTTTCGACTTGACCCTTTTGTATTTATTATTGCGTAATTTTGTTAAGATGTTGTTGTCAAAGTTGTTTGTAAGTTGAAGTGGGTATACTCCGTCTAAAATAATTTTTAATTATTAATGCCACAAACAGCGCCACAACTGTAATAGTTGACAATATGTCTAAGAGTACCTCATTTCTTGAGCTAAGTCGCAAGTATTTTTCTCTTCAAATCTACTATTATATAATAGTAATAATAACAATATATCTATTTAGAACTGTAGTATGTTTAGCTGACATTCCGTGACGTCGTTTTCGTTATTAAGTGTTCCCCAGGCTCGAGAAACGCTTTCATGTATGAACCATTAATTAACTTAAGACAAAAGGGTTCCTAATAGCCGTTATAATACGTACCTCAATACAAATTAGGATTTACATTACAAGCGTAGATATAAATAGACATAACCATAGAGTAGATGCTCCGTGGGCATGTCTAACATAATTCAATGGCAACAGGCAGCTAATGCGTTTGACCACGGATTAAGGGTTATATTCATGAGGATAAACGTACTAAATTTCGTTTATATTTACAAACTTAAATTATTATAATATTGATTAAGTATTATACGAATATTATACTTATATATATATATCTATCTATTCATAATATATATCTATTCATATTTAGAAAGCTCTTACAAATTATGAAAAATATAGGTATTTGACACTCATCTGACCAAAAAATTAACAATGCTCGGTAGCCAATAACCGATCGAATTGATATGATAAATTCCTCCTTTAAAGTCAGTTTAAGCCCCTTATCAATCATCAATCAATATAAATATATATAATAAAATTGTAACTGATGGCTGTCTGTACATGGAAGATATATAAAAAAAAAACTATTATAGGAGGGCTTTATGAACGCAATAGAACCCAAAACAATTATTTTTAGATTTTTTGTCTGTTTGTTAGTTTATCTTTGCGTTTGTGCATGCTAATCTCAGAAACAACTTAACCGATTTGAATGTGGTTACTAATGCGTTGCGGTTCTCTCCACTTAACATTTAGTGTTTTATTTTAATCAGTTTATACATAAAAAAGTTAGATCAATCTAAATAATCACATATAAAATGCTGTTAAATAACCGATCAGTTGAATTAGCTGAAACTTTATGAAGATATTATGTATGTAATTATCATTTAAGTAAATAACACAATATAAGACCGGATTCATGAAGGTTTCCAATGGGAATGATATACGGAAACTACATAGTTAGAAGCGGGCTACGCCGCGGAAAACAATTAGTACCTAATAAATTCTCTCTCGTAAACGACAACTAGCAGGAACAGGTACAAAATTAAATACTTTTTAGTCTTTAAACCAAATAATCCTTCCTCTGCTCAATGAGGGATTTGTTTTTATATATGAGGAAGATAAAAAATTCCACTGTATTTAAATTGAAAGTCGTAGTTGTGCATAGACTTGTGTGCATGGCCAATTTTATATTATAAAAGTTGTATTCTTAATTTAAATCAATTTCATGAAACTTACTGACAGTTAATTCTTTCTCTCTACGTCCGCATTAAAGTTTTTTGACGAGACGTCGCGACTATGAAAACAGATGCATGATGGTTATGAGATCGGGTTTTTTTTTGTATATCAATAATGATATCAATGCTGATCAATTTTATAATAAATTGGGCAAAACTTTTTGTTCAGTTTGTGAGTTTCTTAGGATCACAAAACCAAAATAAATTGCTCTGGTATTATTAACAGTTTAAAGAATAATATTATCTGTGGTAAGTAATATTATATTACTGTAAAGCTGTTGATAAAGAAAATATCAAAAAATTATAGTTTCATACAACCAGTTTCTCAAAAATTAAGCACCGTCCAAAAAAAGTTGTCTTCAATTTTAAAGAACGAAAAAGTAGAATATAAATTGTACCTCGTCTGCACAGGTCGTAAGTGTGAATTTAATTAAAGTTCCTGTCTCGTGTTATTTAAAAACTGGGCTTTCAGGCGCCTCGTTGGCATAACAACCGTCTGGCACAAAACCCTAAGAATTATATTTATTTAGACGTACAGTTTTTGAAGAAAGAGTTATAAGTATAAAAGATACGCACGCTGAATGTCTGTCTGTTTAAATATTTTTGTCATACCGCCTTGTACGTTTTGTATAAATATGATAAAAGAATTATATGATGCCCGGATGCTTGTTATAGCATTCCGAGCGTTCTCAACAACAACTTACACACACTTAAACATAGCAATCGGAGCACAGAGGCATTCCCCATAAAATAACGGAGTTTGTAAAAATACAACGTCCTCTATGACGTAGGGTGCCTTGTATAAAAGATTCCGAATTCGAATCCCAATTTGGTTTCTCTTGATTTTCGAGAGAGTTTTCTAAGTTTATTGTACCTTGTTAATACTTATTGCTAATTTTAGTTACAGTACCCATTCAAATGTAAAATTATCTTGCACATAATAATTTGAAAAGAGTAACTGTTGAATTTCTAGCGGTTTCTTCTCAGTAGATAACAACATCCCGAACCCAGCAATACAGTCATAATAAATTGATTTAAAAGAGCTTGGGAACAAGTCTAATTGAATAAAGATTATTTCTGTTCTATTTTTGTTTTAGATATTCATTGTCTGGTTTCTTTTTGTCCTAGTTTGAGAAATAATGAAACGATGTCATTATGAGGAACTTATTAAATTATTACAAAGTCCAATATAACCAAAAATAAGTATACGAATTTAAAGAATTGTTAAAATTTTTACTTTATCAAATACTATACGTGAAAAAAAGAGAAATCAATTATTAAACCAAAAAAAAAACATAACTAATCTTTAATAATATAATAAAAATAATTAATAATATAATAAAAAGACTTTGTTTGAACGCCATAATCTCTGGAATTATCAGTCGGGTTTGATAAACTCTTTTTCCATTTGATAGTTGATTTCTTGAGGACAATTATAAGCTATACAACATGAGATAATGCTGTGTTCAATACGATGAACCTCTTTTTTATTAAAGTCGGACAAAAATAAAGAATAAAAACTACTTGTATACCTACCTATGTATATAACAAAGAAACGACAAGCATTGCGGGAAAGTATTTTACATCCAATTATGAGATACCTACTCGTATACCATAAAAGCTAACGTACATAAAGGTAGGTAGGGTAGAGAAATTTAATATTTCTTTCTTTAGAATTAAGAAGAATCTCTTAGCAGTCCAATATTAGTGCAGTGTAGGTACCCATACAGTGTTCCTTTCTTTTTAAAAGTGAAATATGAAGATTAATCAGTACACGTAGACTTTTACTGATGGGAATTAGAAACTGATGGGAATTAAATACGTAGTATTCTAATAAAAAAAACTGTTATGATTAATTCTTTATGGATACAGAAATATTTAAGTATAATAATTATTCACAATTTTCATTATTTTAATTTAATTTTAAAAGACAGTAAACAAGTATAGTGCCTGCAATACGTTGCAAATGCTGTCATAACTTTTTTAACAATTATATACACATGCTGTTCCATAGGGACATATAAAATTATTTAAATAAAGTTATTATTACATGATTAAAATACGTTAATTGTATTACTGTTATAAATATATTATGATAAATATTTTTTATATAAATCATAAACTGTTTTTTTTTAATTATGTTTAAAATTTCAGTAAAAATATGTAAAACCTAATTATTTTAATATGGTATATTCACAACTGTTAATAAATCTATTTCCGACCTCGAATCCACGCCGTACCGTATCGTAGTTATTGTCACACTTGTGAATAAAAAATAAAGATAAAACAAAACCCATTTTTCTTTAGTGCAATACAATATACCTACAAGAACTCCAAACACCTTTTAAGCACTCTCCAGTAGTCAACACATTAATGGACATTATAAATCAAGAAGTAGAATACAAAAGAGCGTGAAACAAGCTCAAGGTCGGGGCTTTACCCATTCAGGAATACGCGGGCTGGTAAGCTACTAAAATACAGCTTGAATCACGGACTGGCGTTTACTGCTGAGTAAGGTAAGGAAAATTTGATTACGATCGTTTCCAATGCCGTGTATAACATTGCGCTGCGGAGCTTGGAAGTCGACTTTATTGTTATTGCACCGAAAAACGGCATCGCTTCAAAGACTCGCTCCCGTAGAGTATGTGCGTGTAACGGGGCAGGTTATAATATATTCAAGAAAATCTGATGATATTGGAAACATTTTATGACAGTAATAAATATGCTAGAGCGTTTAAGACATTCCACTTTGGATTCGAATCTCTGATGACACTTTTTGTCGTTAGAAGGCATACCGGGAGTCATCAACTTTGTGCACAGGAGCAAGACACATCAATAAAGGAGGCGACTATGAAATTTGATTTTTTGTTCGTTGACTAGAAGGCGACAACAAATACTTGTTCAGTAACGTCAGATAGGCCTTTATATAATCCTGACTACCTCAACAATAAGAGCAATACAATTACACCATTTGCCTTATGTTTAGTATAAGATACATTACGTTATAAGAAATTAAACAGTGTACATCTGTGGCACAACCCAAAATACCTATGATATTTGTAAAAAAAATAACCTTCGCAATCGACTTAACCAAGAATCGAACCCATGCTTTTATTTAAACAAAAGGACACAAAAAGGGGTCTTCTTTTATTTTAATACATACATCGGATCGATGACCACGCAGGTTGTAATTGGTGCGCAATGGCAGCTCGTGTGGCCGGCGTGCGTGCGAGGATGTGAACGTGACGCCGACCACGCCACGCACATTGCCGGTTGCCAGCCACCCTTCCTGGTAGTAGTTGTTGCGGTTCAACTTCCAACCCTCCTCCTGTAGCAATAAACAACTATTTTAATCGCATTGCAGATGCATTTATAACGACCTTGACATTGTATAGTCGAGTAATGTGAAACTTGCAAATTAGTGCACTACCAGAATAATAATATTTATATATAGAACTATGTTATCACAGTACTATTATCTAATATATAGATACATTTTAAGTATTTATTATTAGTAGTAGTTAGTCATGTGGTCCTAACATAGAATAGATCACCTCTTTCTATCCCGTGGGTGTCGTAAGTGGCAACTAAGGGACTACTCATGCGTAATCATTATGTCCGCAAGGATTAAAGTGTGCATACATATTTTATAGTAATTATAATTATTTTATTTTTAGGAAATGCAGCATATTAAACGCCGTACGCAATAGACAAGCGTTTCAGTGGAGACAGCACGCTATGACGGCGTTTCTCATTCTTACTACGCCGTACGCGGCTGATAGAAGCAGAGCCGTATAAGTGTAACTAAAATCGTTCAACAAAACGCGAATGGAGCTGAATAAGTGTGAGTAGTCCTAAGAAAACTTAACTGTCAAGGAATTGGCAGCAGTGTTCTTCTTAAAACATCACCCAATCCTAACTGCGGTTGTCAACCCACCTGCCAAGCGTGGCAACTCATAATATAATGGCATAACCCCTCTAATGGGGAGGCCTGTGTTCAGCAGTAGACAGTTAACGGCTGATATGACGATGATGATGATGATTAGTTAACATTTTATGGAGCGTCGTTCCCAGCCTTTGACTTTGATAAAGCGAGAATGTCTTTTGGCGCCCTTTGGTTGACGCTTTCAGTTCACGTAAAGTCTACGTCGGTTTTATATTAAATAAATAATAGTTGCCAAATTAAAAAAAAAAAACTTTTATTGCAAATGTCAACACTACTTTCGCACCTCTCAAAATTTTATTTTACCTTAGAAATTGTTTTTCGCAATTGGTTTTCTGGCACCCCTTGTTATCGGGCGCCTAGAGCGATTGCTTTTCTCGCTTTACTCCAGGACCAACGGAGATATTATACTACACTATTTTTCCAAAGATCATAAAATCTATTTAATTAAATATTAATAAATTAATGGATTTAATAACAAATTAATTTATTTATAGCATCGATATTTATAAAAAAATATAAATGTGTTATTTGTAATCATTATTAAATTAACAATCATACTCGTATTTGATAACGCACCTTACATGAATTAAATCCCGATGAATAACAAAAACAGAAGTTATTATATATAGAGGTATATATAGTGCAACTCATTAAAATATATCTATAATAAAAACATATTAATATATTTATTTATTTATTGTCCATATAAATAGGGGTGATTAATGAAGTCACTGCGTATTTTTTTTGTCGTTGCCATTGAATAAAAATTAACATAAAGTTTAAAAATTATATTTATTTCTTATTTATATTATCTGGCATTTAGGTAATACATATGCATACATACTGGATGAACTTGATTGTGAATTTTTCCAGAATATAATCATTGGGGTAAAAATCCAGAAGAACAAAAGTGTTAGTGGGTGTTAAGCTTTAAATAGAAATATAGCTATTTAATTAAGTGGCAATTGTTACCTGCTATGCGTAGCGCTTTACTACAGTACTCAAACTACTTCCCGTCATAGGTTAATAAGCAATTAATAATAAAAACCTACGCAAATGTGAGAATGAAACAATTATTTTTATTGCATTTGCTTATTTTTATTAATTATCACTACATTTGTCTAAACGGCAATTAATTACCAGTTAATAATAAAAACCGATGATATAAAACAACTCCTTAGATAACCACTGTAATAAAAAAAGTTCTAAAATGCAAAAAAAAAAAGTTATATTTTCAGCGGCTGTAACAAAACAGTTCCTCATATTTGTTTACGCGATAATGTTTTTTTATGCGACTTAGAATGGCAAACAAGCTGTCGGCCCATCTGATGGAAAGTGTTATCTGTCGCCTATAGACATAAGCAGTACCATGGACATAACAGAGTATAATGTTTCGCCCATGATACCCTCTATGCGTTGCCATTCCTGCGGACTCATGTATTATTTCTCTGTACCCTGTAAATTCACTGCCATATCCCACCCTTCAAACTGAAACACAGCCACACAAACACAACTGCTTCACGGTAGAAACACGAATGGGACAGAGGTGCCCAAACAAATGACTTGTACAAAGTCTCCCTCTGGTATAATGTATATAATATATCGCCCTGCTACGTAGCAGTTGCAGCCTCGTAGCATTGCGCTACATGTGTTGCGTCTACGATACTCATAACTGCTCTTTCCGTAAGTAAATCGCGAATTAATTACATATAACCCAAACTCATTTAGGGAACGATATAACTCTTGATTGGTACTTTTAGCTATGTCACTCACACATATGTCAAATAATTGCCCAGATCCAAAATCTTTTAATTAATTAGAAACAATTTACTTACTTGTAAATTAAAATTGTACCCCCATGAGCAATTCCAACGGCTAATACGTATAAGGAAATATACAACTATAAAATGTAATAGAACCAGTTTGGCAAACTCGAAACATCGTCTGGCCGGAGATCGAAATCGAAATTGGCAATTAGAGAGATATTAACCTGCCCGTCTGTACTTCCCTGTGCATTCATTTACGCCCAATTAGTAGTGATTTCTTGCGACTAAACGTCCATGGTTCAGTACATATCGAGTATGATCAACAGGTTGCAAGGAAAAAGTCAATGATTTCACGAACAGGTTGCTTTCGATACGTTAGTATCAAATACAAGGTAAAAACCATTAATGATATCACTAAACTGATTCTAAGGTACATATATGTATGAGACCATTAATAATAATGTAAATTAAAAAATTAATCTCTCTATGCCTATCATCATCATTTCTTATCCGTCCACTGCTGGACATATGCCTCCCCCATAGACTGCCGTAAAGAACGGCCCTGAGGCAACGAGCCTGAGGTTATTTTGGTTCTTTTACGGATATCCTCGTTTCTCTCTCTATGACTATAAAATCAAATATTTCATAACATAATTTGTGTGGCAAAATATTATTAAAAATTAACAGTTGAAATCGTGATTTTCAATCTATATATATATATTATAAGGGGGAATGATTCGATTGTTTGTAATGGATAAACTTAAAAACTACTCAAGTGATTTTAAGAATTCTTTTACCTATATATGTACAACTACGTAATCAGCGATTTACATATGCTATTTATTATTTTCAAAAAACTAGAGATGTCCATGAAAATTATAATTATTGTAACCTAAAATATAAAATTGTCTATTGAAGTATTAAATTATTATTATTCTATCTATCTATCCGTGCGAAGCTGAAGCGAATTCCTAGTGTTATATAAAACGTCGCATATAATGACAAGATTCCTCTTAAAACATCAATAAAACTTAACTACGGTTGTCAAACCATCTGCCAAGCCTGGCGACTACTGGCAAAAACAGCAAAAAGATGAGTCCTATGTTTAACATTGGAAAATTAACGGCTAATACGATAATGATAGTTAATAAAAATGGCAAACGTGTGACGATACATCTGATAAACAATGTCACCCGTCGCATAGATACGAACATTGTTGTAATTTTATTGCCATATCTCGTCGCAAGTCGTAAAACTTACCTTTTTTTACCTTTTTAATACATTAAGCCAGAAAATATTTTACATGTTGATTAGGGACTGACCGCACAGACAGCGCCAGAAGTGTTATTCCGACTTCATTAGGAAGTTTGGTTAGTCTCAATTTTAATTACATTCAAGGGATGGACGACGAGACAAGCCAGATGGGAAAAACATAAACGCATTCAGTCCTTTACCATGTGGTTATCGTCATTGTACTTCATCATATATATGTATATCATTAAGTCCGCCCTTTGTACCACATTTTGTTTGTCAATAAAGTTTAAATAAATCAATTGTAGAAATTATACCACGTATAGTTTACATCTTTTTGTATTTTGTTTTATATTTTACATAGAAAAATATATTATAAAATAATAAAACGGAGTTTGCACTAATATCGGCGACTACCATAATAAAAGAAGATATATAAAAGATATAAAATATAAATAAAAATAAATGCGCTCAAGACTGTTATCCCTAATGGGGTTAACAGGGGCATTTGTCAACGGTTACCGTAACATTTCACCGAACATATCTTTATAGTCGTAGAATACAGACGGATCTGACAAATATTACATATATAGATCCGTCAGTATTCTACGACTATGGCGATATTAGAATAATACACTGGAATTAATTTGGTTTAATATATATATAATAGATATAAAAAAATTGAGTTTCTTTTTCGAGATTGTAAATAGAATTCGAAACATGTAGTGTGTTGATCGGTTAACACCCAATCGATTCAACTTCCTCTTCTCCACCATAAAACCCTAATACATATTGCAAATCGTAGGTTGCACTCACCTTTAGTGATTTTCATGCTCTTTCTACTCTGCTTTTATGAGAATAGCATAAATTTAGATACAAATATAGTAAAATTAGGCATATAACATTAATGATTATTATGTATAACTTTTTATGATTGGTTTTAAATTAAGATTAGTGATTTGTGACTTGTATTATTAGATCTATATTTTTTAATACTATTTATACAGATTTGACGAAATTAAACAAATGCCTCTGACTATTTATTTATCTATTCTATCAACATTACAGCCGTTATCTGCCTACTATTGATTGTAGACCTCCTCCATACACTGTCATAAGGAACAGGGCCATTCCTTATGGCAGTTTACCATTGGGGGGATTTTGTCAGTAGTTGTCACGCTTGATAGGCTGGTTGGGAACTGCGGTTTGATTTTTGATAATATTTTAAGAAGGACACTGCTGCCCATCTCTCGACCATTACGTTTACTTATTCGACTCTTACAACACTTATGGAAAAGGAAGGGGTGGCCAGCCCATTCATTGCCGGGACCATACGGCAATATCTATTTTATACAGATTCATAAGCGCAAGATATTTAGCCTATGCATGTTCATAAAATCTTATGAACTAGTAATCTCAAAAAACTAATTAACCTGGTAATTTACTAGAGGGAGACTTTGTACAAAAGTCGTTTGCTTGGGTACTCTGTCCCATTCGTGTTTCTACCGTGAAGCAATTGTGTTTGCACAACTGTTTCAGTTTGAAGGGTGGGATATGGCAGTAAATTTACAGGGTACAGAGGAATAACACCTGAGTCCTTAGGGATGGTAATGCAAGGGGAGTATCGTGGACGAAACAGTATATTCTGTTATGTCCATGGTACTGCACGTGTATATAGGCTACGGTTACCACTTTCCATCAGGTGGACCGTCAGCTAGTTTGCCATTCTAAGTTGTATAAAAAAATGCCGTTGCTACAACTTCCATTTTAGAGAAGATTTTTACGTTCTTATAGATTTACAATAGATTGGTACAACCTGAGTGCAATTCGACTAACTGCATTCGACCATACGACTAATATGTGTTTCAATTCTAAGATCTACTTATAGAATATTCAAAATCACCGCAGTCGTATAGTGATATTTAACAGTCTTTAAAAAAAAAATTCCAAAGTTTAGAGTGTTCCCAAAGCAACAAACTCTTCTATTTTATTATATTAGTGTAACTAATGTATAGGGGGGAAAGGGATTGATAGTAATAGAGACTGAGAATCCCATTGCTAGCAATATATCCAACCAGGATCGACCTCCTCGCGGTTCTCCCTGGAAACTATCATGGTTAATTCCAGATGAATTCATCATGATGGGCTAACTGACCTGTTTTCATTCTCATCTATCACCCTTCACTGGTGCTTCGCCAGCGTATCTCGTTAGCGCAGGAAGGGTCACCATACCATTTTCACTTATCAAAAAAAAAATAATATATCTATATATTTTAGTTTCAATATCTATATACTGGTCTAATAACGAAAATGTTAAAGTTTCTTATCCAAAAAAATAACAATAAATTAATAAACAAATTATCTTTATACAAATAGAGTTCTTTACAAGCACTTTTAAATCGTCATTTTTTTATGAATGCAGGGTTCAAATAGTTATTATCTGTTGAGAAGAGCCCGCAAGAAACTCAACAGTTACTCTTTTAATTATTAGATAACAGATTTTTAACATGTTTGAAAATATCTATATCTATAGATATCCGACCGATATGGACAATATCGAAATCGGTGATGACTTTTTTAGTCAGCAGTATCCAGAAAAAACCAATATATACATATCGGATCGATATCAACATTATCCATTCCTAATTATAGTATTATTGTAACTTGTACCTAAATAGATGTTTAATAAAAAATTCCAGCGAGACTTTCTCATGAAGTGATAATAAAAAATTTACAGACGTCCTCGAACGTTTACGAGACCTCGTCGAAGGTAAATAGGTATATGTAAGTTAATTAAAATTAGCTACAACGAGTTTATAAAAATATTAAGTATATAAGACTATTTATAACTCTTAAATCACGTATTTTAAGAAATCAAAATTATCTACAATTCCAGGTCCATTATAAGTTGACAAGCTTTGTAGTTAACGAAGTTGCATTAATGCGTAGTTTGACCCCGTGTCAACTACAAATAAACTCAATGGGAATAGGCAGAAATGACCTGGAACTAAAATAATATTACTTTGTTGCGTGAACACGTCACTTATCAAGTTTATTACTTCTTAGGTAGTAAGTACGAAAGTGGTCAAAACTCCTAAAATAAATGCAATTTATAATCAAACTTCGCCTCACACAGACTTTTAGATGTATGTGTAGATAATCGTATAACGAGATATTACTATTCGACGATAAAGGTGTATATAATATATAATACACCTTTAGCGTTGACAAATATAACGGAATCAGTAAATAAAGTGACAGGGTAAAAAAAATCAAAAATTGAAATGAAAACTAGCGCTCCGCGCGGTTTCCTTGCGTTTTTAATATTAGTTCCTGCAATTTTTTAATATTAGTGTATTTTAAAATCATTGGAAATGTTAATATTATTAATTACGATTCAAACAACAGGCTCCATTATTTAAAAATACAAAAAAAAATATTTAAAAATATTCCTAAGGCATTGGTGCCTACTGGATGATCTTGATTGTGAATTTTCCGGAACATAATCACTGGGGTAAAAATCCAGAGGAAACAAAAGTGTTAGTGGGTGTTAAGCTTTGAATAGAAATGCAAGTAAATAGGTCAAAAGCAGTAGAGACGAAGGAAGGTTAATTGAATGGGAGCTCTCGCTCCCTGGCCCTTTGCTTCGCCGCCGTAACATAGATTACAATTGCGCGAGTTGGCAACGTTTATCCACAAGTCTCTAGGGCCAAACTACAACCCGTACCAAATCGCTTTCGGTCTGGTTCGAAGAAATGGAAATTTAATGCAATGTAATAATGCGCCGCAATCGCGCTTGACGTGGCTTTGATGACACCGTAATCTGTTCGCGATTTAACAAAACTGCTACGATTTCTGAGATACCGTCGGAGTACATTAAAGGTAATCATTTGCTATTATAATCCGGATGCATTAAATAATAACGCACAATCGAAACAAAACCTTCATTAACAAAACTATTTAGTAATTTTTTTATTGATATCTCAGCGGCCTGCGTATCTATCGCAGAGTAAATGATCGCGATTAGTAGCACGTACATTATAAATGACGATTAGAAAGAAGCTAAAAAGAAATGGAACAAGCAAGTCATCTACGTTGGCTTGTACGTGCTACGTACGCCACTTGAGGGAGCATATTGAGAAAAATCAGACACAAGTTAGGTACTATAGAAATAGCGCGTCTCACCTCCGGCAACTCGTCGGGTACCTTCCCCATCCACGACAGCGACAATATTGTGCAGTCGCATTTAGCGTTCACGTTCCTCTCGAAATGTAGGTGCATTTTCGATGTTCCTAATAACACTTAAATGTAAATGGAATGCATCGTTACGTGGTAGTCACGCGCGCGGATTTGACATCAGCACAAAATTTGCATTCAACGCAAACATTTTACGTAAACTAAAGATGCATTTAAAAGCTGAACGCGATATATCATCTATGTGGTTGTGTGGTATGAGTTAAACCGGACGGGAGCGCGTCGCTGGGCACTCCGTTGACTTGACGGAGGGTGACAAGCGAAGGGCCTTCAGCCGTCGCTAACCGCGCAGGTATTGATTACGCGCAGGGGGCGGCGCGCATAACCTGCGACCTCTGTCGCTATGAGCAAAACCACGGGAAAGCGGCCGGAAAAGAGGAAAAACCGATGGGGAAATACGCGGAGATGGCGTTGAGATGTTTACCATCACTTGGCGTTTACAGGCAATGCGTTACGTGCCTATACCCCGCCCTATTCGATATTATGATTACTGAACTGTACCAGTCAGCCACCGTACTCATGTATCATCCATTCTTGAACATTTGATATATCAATGAGAATACCTTTGATTTCATTTTTATATCTTTAAAATAAAAATATACTTTTCCTATTACTTTATACAATTTAGGAAATAGGAAGATGATACCTAATACTTCTTAGGAAAATTTCTCTTCGTGCGCCGGTTATAGGTATAGGTGATAATTAAATTTGTCTGCCATTTCCAATATACCACCAATTAAGCAATTGAATTTGCGGGCAATATCTATTAATGAGGGTAGATAAAATACATTTTTTTTTATATAACTTAGAATGGCAAACAAGCTGACGGCCCACGTGATGGAAAGTGGTAACCGTCGTCTATTGACATGAGCAGTCTATGCCATGGACATAACAGAGTATACTGTTTCGCCCATGATACCCCCCATGCGTTGCCATTCCGACTCAGGTGTTATTCCTCTGTACCCTGTTAATTCATGCCATATCTCACCCTTTAAACTTATATATTACAAAATTATATATATATATATTTTATAACATAGGTGTTAAGTTTGGCATTTACACTATCTATGTGTCAACATTATAATAGCAGTCGTAATCTGTCCACTGCTGATCATAAGCCTCCCCTATACACTGCCATAAAGAACGGTCCTGAGCCACCTGCATTTACTAACACCCTGCAATGTATTTGAGGTCGTCACTCCATCTAGTGGATGCGCATTGTACACTGCGTTTTCCCGTACGGGGTCGCCACTCGAGAACATTTCTTTCCCATAGGTTGTAGGTTCTTCGAGCCGTGTAACTGGCCTATTGCATATCCATACTTCAGATTCGATCTTTTTCTATATGTATTACAGTTTTATCATCGTCATATTATATCAGCCTTTAACTATCCACTGTTGAACATAAGCCTCTCCCTTAGGAAAGTTTTGCCAGTAGTTGCCACGCTTGGCAAGCGGTATTAAAATTTAATAAATAAAATGTCGTCTAAATTATTTTTAATATTGCTTTGCCTATGTCCATTATTCAGCCAAACAGTTTACACTGAACAGTTGGACTAATATCCAATTTAAACGCAGTTCTCACAGTTGTGTTCCTCGGGGTCAAAATATTGTAATGCACATTTTATCTTGATACGTTATCTAGAAGTGTATATCATAGGTGTATCTACTTCTGAAATCCACATGCACAAAATAGCGGACAAAATGTTAATAGCAAATAAAACGACAATAAACATCAAACACCACCATAATTTTATTTCCAGTACAAACTATAAAACCGTTACAATATCACAAGAAAAGCAATTAAAAATATCACAGGCTAATAATATAATTTCATAACTGACTATTACAGAGACTTTTATAGCATACAACAATATGCTTCAGTTCATACTTTTATTTCCTCGAGTGAACCCCATTTATAGCCACATTTAACTTTAACAGGTAAAGGCACTTTTAAGCGTACTGTATCTTCCATTACTTCTCTTATCAAAGTGATAAAGGAAGCCTTTTTGGATTCAGGAACTTCATATATAAGTTCATCGTGCATTTGTAAAATCAAACAAGGTCTGTCTATAGTTCCACCAGTTCTGTTGTCTATGGCACACATGGCAGCTTTCGCGATATCCGCCGCTGAGCCTTGGATAGTGGTGTTCACCGCTTGGCGCTCTGCTGCGGCTGATTAAAATGTAAATAATAATGATAATTGAAAAATGTTACTAAAATATCTTTTCTTCTATGATATAGACTGAACAATTAATACTTTTTTCTGCGGAGACAGTTATCCTTAATTCAGTCCGACGACCACCTACTATGAACTTTTGTGGATTGTAATTATTTATATCAACTTTACTCACATAAATCGTGAAGTACAATTCTATTTTGATGAATTACAAGTATACTATTATATTCCTAAAAGTATACTATATTATATTACTTCGCCTGTACATGATCTAATATTTATTAGACTTGTAACAAAATATTTTCAAATAACTGTGTTTATAAGTAGTATATCGTTACTCTATAAATTATTTATAGTACCTAGTACGGCCAACAAATTTATAGTGTAATAACAGAAAAAGTTTTTAAATATTTTTACTTCTTCGATAAAAACAATTTATTTCACATTCGTTTAATTTCATATCTATATAATTTGCATATGTGATAAAATTCAACAGAATTAGAGATACGTATTAAAAAAGATATTAGGCCTTTACACACTCATATTAAATACCTGTTGCTTAAATGTGAACAATTAAGTTGAATTTAACCATACCCTATATTATTATGAAGGAAATTATTAGCAATAGAAACTATCGTTCTTCAAGTAGAGACAAATATCAAATAGCCGAATATCAGAACATACGAAAAATATTATTTTTAGGGAGTCGGATAAAAATAACTTACTTTTCTTGTGCATGAGGTTGCTGTTGATATCAGGCAGGAACCTCTTACGGTTCATCAGTGTCTTCACGTAACCATTCTTCCTACATTCGTCGATAACAGTCTCCGTGAACGTGCGCACGCTTGGGTATGTCTTGAAGAACGAGTCCATGAACATGGCCGCCTCTAGCTCGGTGACATCGAGGTGCTGTGCGAGAGTTCTATTCCCCATACCGTATAGGATCCCATAGCAAAGTTGCTTCGCCTTTTGTCGCAGATCATCGTCAACCTAGCAAAAAACGCATTTTTTATGGAATTTGGAATGGCAACCACCAGATAGAAAATCGTCACGGTCGCCTATAGGCTTAAACAGCGCCATGAACATTACAGAATGCAAAGAGAAACCCATGATACACTTCCTTCATTGACGTTCCTAAAAACTGGCGATTTGGAAAATTTGAGCTTTTTTGTTATTGTGATCTAAACTACTAATATTACATATAAAGAACAAAGTAATGAACTTTCATTTGTAATAAATAAACTCAGAAAATACTTAATCGTTTTAAAAAAATCTTGCACCTATATAAAGCCTCATTTTTCTTCACCTATTTACACCTATATCATCGAGTAACATGACTTCTCACTTTATTTTCAACAAAACCGTGCGAAGCCAGGAATGAGTCGCTAATGTCATTATAAATATAATATATATTAATCCTGTGAAAAAGTGGTTGATCCTTACCTCGTCCTCAGGCACGTTACTCCAAGATGCTGCGATCGACTTGAAAACGTCAACATCCGATTTCATTATTTTCATGAGAACGGGATCCTCGCTGTAGTGAGTCAATATCCTCATTTCTAACTGACAGTAATCGGCCGACACCAACAAATGTCCGGGGCCAGCCCTAAATATGTTTCTACAGTTGAACTCCATGACGTCATCGGTGTTCGTTTCGTTTGCTGTCAAATATTTGACAGGAATTGAGAAAGTCCGCGGAACATTTTGCAAATTAGGCTCGTGCATGCTGACGCGGCCAGTGCACGTGAACATTGTATACGAGGGGTTGATTCTGAAACACACCATATTTTATAATAATCTAGAGAAAAAAACAATCATCATATCAGCCTTTAACTGTCCACTGCTTGTACACATAAGCTTGGGAAATTTCACCAGTAGTTGCCACTCTTGGCAGGCGGATTGGCAACAGAAGTCAGGCTTTAGACATGTTTTAAGAGAAACGCTGCTGCCCATCCCTCGCCTTCCCTTAGTCGGCCTTTACGACTCGCACGGGAAAAGAAGGGGTAGCCTATTCTATGCCAGGACCTACGGCAAAAATAGAAAAAAAAAACAATGAAAACATAAAAAAAAATCCCGAATTTTAAACTAGAAACTCAATGCAGACAAACAAGATACTACATGCTTAACCACATCCTAATTAATATTATAAATGTGAAAGTTTATAAATATATTTGTATATTTATTATTTAATAACGCTTAAACGACTGAACGGATTTGGATGGAATTTGGTACAGGGGTAAGTTATATTCTAACTTAAAACACAGGCCATTTTATATATTGTTTCATGCTGTCAAAGTCGCGAGAAACGAGTAGTATTTTAAAAAACTAAGTACATGATAATATAAAATAAATTTATTTTTAACCGAAAACCGGAGAGCTTATTTACGCAAGCAACGTCACCGCGTCACGGAGGACGTCAAATATTGACATTAAACGAACTACGCATTATTTTATCTTTTCACTTATGCAATAGATTTGTAAAAGCAATTTGTCCCTACTTTGTTATTAGCAAAACTTATGAAAAAATCATATACAGGTCGTATGATATTCTGTATTTTCTTGAGAACGGATCGAATATCAGTGCTGCCCTAGAGACACGTTTGCGGAATACCATAGTGATTACCTATCGCCGACGCTGTACACGCACGCCTTCTCTGCGAGTGGGTACAATGTTTTCGTCAATATAGAGTTCAGTTTCCTCCAGTACATTACAATACTTGATATTGGAGTATTGTGCGATGTGAGCACACTTTTCTTTGTACTCACTTTACGACCCTTGTATATACCTAGAACCTAAAATCGTAACTTTGTCATATTCATGCGACTTGGAAATTTGTATGGATATATTTGGAACTACTTTAATAAATGCTAAGTTTACACAAGCTAGATATGGGAACAAATAATGAATAAATATCTAATGATATTTAAATTGTATTTAACAATAAAATTTTAAATAAAAGGGGACACTGAGGTCGATTTCTCTAAACTTATCTCTCCCTTACCCTAATATTTCAATTTGACAGTTTCAGGAAATTACTGTTTTACGAACCATCATAAACTAACCCCCTTATTCATAAAAACATCAAACCTCTCATAAACCTAATTTTGCTATTGAACTGTTTTGTCTCTTTCTCTTATACTGTATTTCTCCATTTAAAAGAACGTGACAAAACATTGTAATAGTTAAAGCAGGTTTGTTAGAATGTTTTAGTTTTTATATAATAAGTGGGTTAATATACAGGGTGGAAGGGACAGGTTGGCCAAAACGAAAACAGCTGATTCAGATGAATGGTCTGAATTAGATGACAGATTATTTTCCATATAATTAACGATTATTAGTTTTGATACCACGCAATGTATTTGAAATTTTACGATCCACACGACGCATGATACCTACAATGCGCGCTCAATGGCGCTTCTGTGTAGATAGTTTTCGTACGCTTGTGGCGTTGACCTTACACAGCGGGGGCAAAGAGATTGTTAGTAATGGAGACTAAGAATCCCATTGCTAGCAATATACCCAACTAGATCGATCTCCTCGCGTTTCCCCCTGGAAACTATCATGTTTAATTCCTGATAAATTCATCATGATGGGCTAACTGGCCTGTTTTCGTTCTCATCTATCACCCTTCACTGGTGCTCCACCAGTGTATCACATCATTGCAGGCGGAGTTAACATTCCATTTTCTCTGGTAAAAAAAAACCTTACACAACTGATTCCGCGCATCGTAGTAGGATTTTACAATTACAACAATTACAATGCTGCTTTTTGGTATTTCATAATGTTTCACTATAAAATATTATTATTTATTTATATTATAACATCATAGATTTCATGATAATAAAATAGATATAAAAAAAATTTTAAAAATTTGAAGGTCTTCGAAAGAAATTTCCACTGGTTTTCAGTTCAGAATAATGGTCTGAATTCACTATCTCAATTTTTGCCAACTTATCCCTTACACCCTGTACAATAATTATTATTTAAATCTTTTAGAAATGCAGTTCATATTGGCCTTAGAATAAAGATTTGACTATCATATCAAATTTGAAATTTTAATTTTAGACATAGATTTAGAGAAATGGCACCTCAAAAGCGATCCCACAGTCTACTTATGAATCATTCGTATGAAGATGACATAAATTATATAGATAGAGCATCGAGAATAAAAATCAAGTCAACTTTTAGTCAATTAAACGTCTAATTGGTGGATACACGTTTTGTTTTTTTAATAAAAACAAAGGCATTTTTTTCAGTGTTGCAAGAATTTAGATTAAAAATTTGCTAAATTTTTTAAATTAGAATAGAGAATTAGTTTCTGACATAATATATACAAATGTGCATATTGCTTACAAATTAATATACATGTATTAATTGAAATAGCAGCCATTTTCAATTATTTGGATGGACTTTAATTGTGGCACAACTAGTTATTTTGATTTAAAAACTAAACTACTGAACCGATTTTGATAAAACTTCTATAAGACCAGATTGATAGTTATCCTTTCAGAAAAAAAAATCTAAATTGATTTATAAATGACGGAGTTCTGAAATAACAAACATAAAAATAGACACAAAAATTAATAAATAAAAAATAAAAAAAGTAATACAGAGGAATTGGAAACTCATTTTTAAATAGGTTGAACTCATGTACATCAATTCAATTAAGTTTACAATATCATATGCGCTTATAAAAGTTAGTTTAAAAAAAGCAATATTGAACATACCTTGGCAACATCTTTTGACGAATTAAAGTTGAAATGATATCCACAAATTTTATACGCTTTCTTTTGAAGCGTTTCTTGAGAGGTTTTTACATCAATCAACAGCTGTGACGCGAGATCCTTGTCTACGCTCAGCCCTTGAAACTCGCAGTTTGATAGAATCTTCATAACTTGTATTTCAATGTCTGTGAGAAAAAATGCTTAATTTAATTAGTAAGATATTTAAAAAATTTCTTAGTAATAGTAAGAAGTTAGAAGCATAGATAAATAAATCGTTATTTTCGAGGACAATATCACCAACCTTAACGCTCATACGACTGTGCGCAGAGGAATTAAGTATGATGCCTACGGCCACTTTCTATCAGCAAACAGCTCGTCACGACAGGGAGTTCATCTCCATATCTTAGAGTCGCATAGAGCGCGGTTTCAGAAATGTTTTCTCCCACGAACGCTCAGATTATGGAATGAGCTTCCTGTTGAGGTTTTTCTAAGAGATTACAGCATGGGATATTTCAAAAGGGGTAAAGGTTTCTTCAAGGTCGAAAACGCGAGCGTAATACTCCTGGTATTGCATATATTCATAGGTTACGGTAACTGCTTACCATGAGGTGGTCCGTATGCCACCTTAACGGTATAAAAAAACCAAACCCGAATTTTACCTATTGTAATAAATAATAGCTTTTCTTTGGAAACGCAGTATAATGACATGGACATCACCTTTCATATATATCATTAATTGTATTATTCTATAATATCTACTGTTCTAATACACATATTAATTACTAGTTTAGTTATGCTCAATACATCATACGCGCGATTTTAAAAGTAGGAGAATAAATGAATCAAATAATTTCTTGAAAAAAAATTTCTTAAATAATGTATAAAGATAAAATATTAACTCTATTGTAAGTTAGAACTTCAGGAACACAACTATAAAACTGCATTCAATTTGGTGCAGTAGAAACAAACATACAGGTAGACAAATTTTCTAAGAATTATTATTTTATCACGTATTGGTTTTGTTAAGATCCCTTATATTTTTTTATATTATTTTTCCATAAACAGACATCATCTGCTTACAATATTATTTATTAATAAGATTATTACGTAAAATGAGATTTGTATTAAAATCCTAACCTAATCTATTAATTAAAATTTTATTATTTTAAATGTTAATCTATTTCTGTATTTCAGGTTATTACAAGAAAAAAATGTAGTATTGTAATCTACAGTTAGAATCGGAACCGTCAAACAACAGTTATACACTCGTATATACATGTAAATTAAATAATAATTAAAGATTGTGTCCCACGAAAAAAAAACCGGCTTCAATTGTGACAAAACTAGGTATTTTGATTTAAAAACTAAACTATTAGACCGATTTTGATCAAATTTCTATGGAGCCAATCTGTAAGCATATTATTTTAGACAAAAAAAAAAAGAATTTTCTAAATTGGTCTAGATTCATGGAGTTTTAAAGTGAAAAACAAAAACTTAATTGATAATCTCCATCGTTTTGAAGTCGATTAAACAAGAACATAAATTTTAAATTAAAAAATATTAACAAAGTTAAACTAACGAAGTGTTTCCTTTATAGTATTATACTGTTCTGACAGTATTTCTTCCTGCTTTTCTGCAACAGCCCAAATACACCACGCTCGGATACATGCATCTTCGAAGGTGTCTAATTCATTAAATTTTTCGCTATATTATTAATCTTTATTGAAATATTTGATAAGTCTACACCACAATACTTTTTTGTCTGTAAAATAAAATATTATTATATCATTCAATCTGACCCAACAGTCTTATATGCCTACAGGTATAACATTTTGAATTTTTTTAATATCATAATTTGGTAAGATTATAAATAAATAATTAAATTATAAATAAGGGGAAGGTAATTTTTACCAATGGGATCTAATAAGTACATTGTTAGCAATATATTCTACCACTTCGACCTCTACGTGGTTACTCCTGGAAACTATCGTAGTTTCCGATTCTTGACAAATTAGTAACGATGGGTTTAACTGACGTACTACCATCCTCACCTATCATTGGTGCCCCGCCAGCGTATACCATTATAGCAGGCGGTGTTACTATTCCATTTTCATTCATAAAAAAACAATACATTATAAGTAGTTATTATAGTAAGTATAACCGAGAATTGCAAATAAATTTTACTTGCGCAACGTAAAAATAATACTATTTCACAAGTCAACATTTGCATAATATAGGTACAATTACTAAGTTCAAACTGTACAGGCATTACTCTACAAAAGGTTAACGCAATTGCGTAACAAAATCAAACAATATTATAAATAGCATAAATTGTGAAACATAAATTCCCTGAATTTATGTTTCACAATTTATGCTTAAGTAGTCCTCTCTGATCCGAAACAGGTACAGATAATAAGTAAACAACTTGAAAATTAAACGAAGATGTAAAGTGTAAAAAATTAATAAATATGATCAGATACTGAGTGTCTCGAAATTATCTAAATCGATTTACAAAAATTAAAAAAAATATGTGGAATAGGACTTTTCGAGATGAACAAATAACTATTTTAAAATATTAGTTTTCACTTTAAAGATAATTGATTTTTGTAAACATTATTAGATACTTAATCTATTACGCACACACTTACCAAGTACATAATGTCCGGTATCTTTTCATCACTATTTAGGAGCCATTCGAATAAACAGATATCCATGCTGGGCAGAACTAGATCGATATGGAAATACTGTTTCATGTGAATGTAAATGTTTCTTAAAGACATTACTTTCAATTTCAGTGATGGGTTTTGAAACAATTGACATAATTGTTGTTTTAGCTTGTTGTCCAAAAAAGTTAGATCCAATAAAACACATTCTTGACCAAAGCAGATACATATTCCAAGCTTGCATTGTATACTATCTGAAGCCTTATCATTCCCATTTTTCCTTGAGCCCTGTAAAACCTTAGACCCAATTACTTCATTCTTAATTGTATCTCTGTAAATAGACACATAAACAGAGGCTTCTTTTAGATTTGACAAAATATCTATATTGTCTATAACATCCTCTTCTCTTAATATAACATAATCAAATTTAAATTCATCAAGTACAACTGTATACTTCATTGATTGTGCGAGATCCAATTTTAACGCAGATAATTTTAAATCACTGTTAGAGACAGAATAACACTTATTTACAGCGATTTTAATTTTCTTTGCAGGATGGAAATCATGGCTAATAGATTCTGCTCGTCTTTTCTGTGAACTAATGAAAATATTTCTTATTGAAGTTTCATTTCTTTGTGAAGTATTTGCCACTTCTTCAGATACATTAAATGCAACTTCTAATTCATTTTCGCTTATTCTATTTTCATCATCATAAATTAACTTTATATCTTCATCTGCTTCTACATCAATAATAGTAGATTTAAATGCATTTAGAAAAGTATCGGAGTCTACATTAATATAACCAGAAGTTATTTCTGACTTATTTTCTTTTGATAGTTGTAATGTTATCTCTTTATTAAATAGTTTGCTTGTTATCGAATCAAGCAGCAAGCTTTCTTCAAAAAGACTAGAATTATCACCTTCTGAGGAAAATAAACTAATATCATTGACAGGTGAGATTTCTTTAGAGACAATTTCTGAAATTGGAGGTTTATCTTCCGAATCACCAAAACTTAAATTTGGTGATTGTATATTCACCGACCCGATATTTATGCCGTTTTCTGTTGTTTCATTAAAAATAAGTGAATCCCAGGCAATTTCATCTTTAGGTACCTTAGATAAATTACAGTTCATTGTTGTTACTTTAGTAGATACAATGTCATTTGCAATTTCATCGCCTAAAATATTATTATTATTATTACTATTTACAAAAATTTCATCATTATTAATTAATTTACAGATGGCATTTTTGTTGTCATCTTCTAATTTATTTAACTGAGATATTGGTGTCGTATTCTTATCTTGATTGTTCTTGTAAATTCCCGCAGTCTGTAAATTACTGCTACAATCCAATTTTTGTGATATAATTCTATTTCTAATTGCAGTAGGCAGTAAAGTTTTAGGGTGATTGCTAAAGTTTACTTCATCAGATTTGTGTATTTGATCTAAATTTACGTTTTGGGAATTATTTACATTTTTAGTGCTTATATCTTCCCATTTGATGTCAGCAACACCTATTTCAAGTTTTAAATATTTCCTAGCCTCTGAAATAAGATTTTCAGCTGCTTCTTTAGCTGTCATACCACAGCAACCCGTAATCCAAATATTTCTTATTTTATTCCGTTTTCTTATATCATCATAGTCATCTCCTTCTCTTCCTTTCGTACTCTGAAAAGGCACTGACTTATGAAGAGCATTTTCGATTGCATTAGCATCAGCACATGCAATACTGGCAATACTCTCATAACCAGAATCAAATAGAGTCCGAGCTCTAACGCCATTTAAAGTGGGCAATTTCATCAATTCCACTAATTCTGAATGGATTCCAAAATGCAACCGATCTTGGAACTGTGATATTAGCATTTCCATATTTTTCCAACCCAACTGACGGCAAAAAGCCGTAACCATACCTACAATGTAGAATAAATTATTTAATTACACGTAAATTAAACTGGTATTTATTACATAAAAATATAATGTAGAATAAGTACGAATGTGCAATAAAAAGACAGGAGAGAGGAAAAATAAAGACAAACAGAAGAGATAATATGTTAATCATGAGTAGCATAGAAATGATGATTTATAACTGGAACCATGCTTGTATTATAGTAAAGCCACTAAGGAAATTAATTATCAACTAGTCTATTACCTGCAAATGTGGCTGCTGCTTGTTGCAGGCTTTGTAGAAACCCTCGTGCACATTGAAACTTAGCTGCCACCTCTGACAGCGGCACTTCATTCACTAAATCTTGTAAAGCCAAAGCTGTATAAAATCTATTAACAAAAGTTAGTTAATTGTATTATTGTTGTTATTCCAAATTAATCAACTATAATATATAATTTAAATAGTCTCACCTTTTGTGAATGTTCATTTTATTTTGTACATTATTTAGCTTATTATTACCTCTCAGATTGCGAATAATAAAACTTTCCTGTACACCAACTAATTCTCCTACTCTTTTCATAGATCTCGTTAAAGATTCCCATAAAGTCAACAAATGCAGCCAATCTATATCACCCCATTGACTACTTACACTATATGGTGTTACTAAATAAATAAGATGAAGATCTGTTTCTAATACTAAACATTGACGGGCTTTCTGTAATTCACAAAATAGTGACAACCCATCGTTAGGGGCCATTGATGAAGAAAGACATGCCTTCCCTAGTGGTGTAGCAATGTAATGCTTTTCTTCTCCATCACCTTGGATTCTAACTAATTCATAATTGATCAATTGATCTAAGGTATTGTTCAATAATATATTTTGTGATAATGATTTGTTTTGCTGTACAAAAAGTAAAGTACATTTAGAATACAGATCTAATTCAGTCTTTGTACTAACAATTTGACTAGCTATCATTTCAAGCACTGCTCTCATATATTTATCTTCAGTATTAATACAGCTCTCAACAGGATCTAATGCACCCATCATCAGTTCAAATCCTATTTTCTTTTCAGTTTCAGAACATATCAATATACTTTCACCTTTTGTATCTCTGCCCATTCTTCCTGCTCTTCCAATCATTTGTTTATAGGTTAAAATATTTATTGGTTGCCTTTGAAAAACTGGTGATCTTACAATGACCTTTCTAGCAGGCAAATTGACACCAGAACTTAGTGTAGATGTGGCTACTAAAACTCTTATCGCTCCAGATTTAAATCCACCCTCAATTATATCACGCTCGTCAAAAGTAAGACCAGCATGGTGGTATGCAACACCAAAAGATATAGTAGTCTTCAAGATATAATCCATACCAACAGAACAGTTCTTCAACTGTTCCAATACTTCAAAAATACTTTCTGTTTTTAATTGGTTCCTTAAGACTAATCCCATATCAACTCCACTAGAACCAAGTTTATAAAATGATGATGCTATAGTTTGAGCTAGATTTTCACATCTATTTTTGGTCATACAAAAAATGAGAACTGAACATCCATCACTTATAGTATCTAGACAGATTTTCAAGACATTATCACTTTCTCCCATGTCTGTATCACTGCTTATTGTGCTTACAAGCTTACCAGTTTTATCAAAGAGTTTTGTTCCTACCAGACAATATTCATCTAATGGTATTGGTCGAAAATCTGTTACAAATAACTCGGCATCCAACCAGTTAGCTAATACATCTAAATTAGGTAATGTAGCAGACATACCAATAATTTGTATTGAAACATTATCCAGTTTTGATGATACAAATTTAATTTTAGTTAAAAGAAGCTCTAAAATGTATCCTCTATGAGAATCCCCCAGTAAATGTAATTCATCAACTACAACAGCACCTAATTCTGATATGTTTCCTTCATCCAAGAGCTTGTTTAATAAGCTATTTGCTTTCTCTATAGTGCAGATTGCAATGTGAACTGCTTGCAAACCACCAGGAGGTGATTGTGAGCCCATAAACCCTTCAACTCTTATTCCTGAGCTAGACAATATGTCTTGCAAATAAAACATTTTCTCTCTAACTATAGATACAAAAGGCAATATTATAATTACTTTTCTTTGCCGTTCGAGAACAGTTTTAATTGTTAAGATCTCTGCAACAAGTGTTTTACCAGCAGATGTTGGAGCAGAATACACCAAATTGTTATAATCCAATAAAACTTTAGGATTGCTTAAACATTCTACTTGCCAATCAAACATTTCAACAATATGTCGCTCCTCATACTTTTCAGCAATTCCCAGAGGCAAACCCCAGTCTTTTAAGTTTTTACTGATTTTTCGTGTAGTGGATAAAATTTCTTTATCAGTTCGACACTGTGAAGGAAGTTCCACTTTGCTACATTTACTAATATCTGGTAAGCATATTGTATCTTGGGAATAATCATTACATTTGTTCTTTATCAAAGAAATAAGTTTTTTGTTTTCTTTAGGTGTATAAAAGTTCTCTTCATCTATTACATATTCCTTAACAGCGATTAGCGTTTTTTGCAACGAAAATGAAGTGTCAAAATCGTTCTCTAGAAATCCAACATTTTCTGCTAATATTTGTGAATCAATTACCTCTTTATTATTACTAAGTTTTTCCATTATTCTGTTAAGCTTTTAAACTTCTTACAAGATATTAAAAGCTTTAAAGAAAGACATGATGTATCTATAATGTATGTCGAATACACTAAATATAAAAATATATATGCGGCATTTACCAAACTAATTCATTTTCATTCTAATTTTTAAAAGAAACAGAAACAAGAATATAAATTCATAATCAGAAGAAAACAATAACAATGTTTAAATGTCAACTGTTTGCCATGTGCCAATATTTGACTTAGACATTCACAGTCATAACTTTTGTTAATCCATACACGGTCAATGGCAATTGAAACTTGCATGTAACACGTATGTACCTATTGCTACAGTAATAGTCTTGTTCGATTTAGGCTATTTTATAGTCCAAAGAGCTGCTTCATCTACCTATTTTATTAACTAACAGCAGTTTTGTGAACAAACAGTAAATCGTATTCAATGGATTTAATATACGTTTCCACAGATTAAAAATACATTTAAAAATAAATAAATATAGAAGTTTTAGAAAAGGCTCGATTTTCTTATGTAAATATTTAATTTCTACAGATTGTATTATACTAATCTTCTTTAATACGATATATTGGAACCTCAAAACGCTATAACATAAAAAAAAAAATAAGATACAAACCAAATTAAACATTAAAAGGAATTAATTGAAATGTACCAAATAGTATACTTTATACTGTATATTTTAAATGTATAATGATCACAGAGTTAGTTAAAATTATTTATATTTAAATAATCTATCAACAGCCAAATTATTCCATACATTCAGGTCCGGTCGGTATGTCAATTATAAAAAAATCACAATACATAAGTAGCATTTCTCCAGTGGGGTCATAATATCCTTGTGGCAGTGGCTTCTTTACCTTCTGTAAGTGCTCTAGACTCATGAATATATGCAGCATATGTTACACCCTACAAAGAAAAAATAATTCTTAATCTATTTAATTTACATTCTTGATGAATTAGAATAGCAAACAATTTAACATTCAATGTGATAAAAACGCAAAACCACGCTTTGGAATCAACGTCCAGCAATATTTTCGAATCAATTTATTATAATAATTATGTATTTATTTAGACTTTTGCACACATTAAAATATGTCTACAGGGCTATGTTCGCCCTGATGACATTCTCTACCAGTTGAAATATTCAAGAAGAGCATATCCCTTTTTAAAAGGCCAGCAGCATATTTGCAATATCTTCAATGTTGTAGATACTCATGAATGTCGGTAATCATTCACCATAAGTTCACCCCCTGTATTATAAAAAAAAAAAAACTCTCACTCTCAGATATGGACATCATAGACTATGATGCTTCTTGTCACCTTGCATTGACGATACCTAAGGGCTAGTCTGTAAGTACCTATTAATTTATAGGCATTCTAAAAAAATAACAAATAATGGACTATGTATATTTTTATTTGTGAAGATGGCCTTAATTTATCAAAATTAATTAACTTGGAATATTTTAGTGATAATACACTAATAAACACAATAATTTCTGTCCCCATAGATATTTAAAAAAAAATCTTTCTCAGTGATTTTATAATATTATTTTAAGATGGAAAGAACTTGTTAACAATCTGTTTTTTATATGCAACTTAGAATGGCAAACAAGCTGACGGCCCACCTGATGAAAAATAGTAACCGTCGCCTAGACATGAGCAGTACCATGGACATAACAGAGTATACTGTTTCGCCCATGATACCCCCCATGCATTGCCATTCCTGAGGACTTCGGTGTTATTCCTCTGTGCCCTGTAAATTCACTACCATGTCCTACCCTTCAAACTGAAACACAGCCATGCCATGAAGCCACTAGTCTCTTCATGGCCTCATTACTTGCAATATATTGCATCAGGTTGACCTCTACTCAGTCCTCCCTGGAAACAGTCCCACTTAATTCCACATAAATTCACATCTTACTGATCTGATATCATTCTCCTCTATCATACCTCAATGATAAACAAATAATGCTAGCGTAAATAAATAGTGCAGGTGGATTACCATTCCATTATCACTCATTTAAAAATAATATTTAAATATTACCTGCTGCCATGCTGCTCTCACAAAACCTTCATTTGCAGATACTGTAAGAGCCTTACTTCTGTGTCCAAAATTGAATACCGTCTTTGATCTTAAACGAACATGACCCCTTACTTTTAAATTCTTTCTTGGATAATCATCTTCACCTGTAAATATACAATAATAAAATTAGTCCTTAATTACCCTTCTATTTACAATTAAAAATATTAGATTTCAGATACTCACCGCCAAAATCATCTGGAAATACTTTAACAACATCCTTTAACTGTGCTGTCCTTTTCTTTTCCATTGGTCCACCCAAAGTATTAACAATCTTTTCAAAATCATCCCAAGCTGTAGTGCAACAAATCAACACCTTTCCTGCATAATAAAAACGGGTTAAAACTATTGATATATGATTTATAAAAACTTTATTTTTCTTAATTCTAATACCACATGCCAAACTATTAAAAAAAGTTGTTTTGATATCAAATAATAGTATTATGCGGTTTAAAACTAAAACAAATATTAAATTAAATACAAATAAAAGTCACCTTGAAATAACTTGTCTAAAACAGGTTTCACAGGTCTCTCTGCCTCCCATGCAGCTTGCTGTGTTAAAACATCCTGTTTGAATACATATTTACAGTGACCATTTGTCATATTACTAACATACGCCATCATGGCAGTGACATCAAGGTTCAATGTAGTTAACTCAGGGTGTTCTTCTATGCATTGTGATACGTCTTGTAAGATAGTTTCTTGTCTGATTATGATAAATCATGTAAACAAAGTAAAGTGTAATAAGTATATAAACAGTTATGATTGTATCAAACTAGATTAAATTATTAAGTTTAACTGATTGAATTTACATATAAAAAATGAGTATGAATACTGAAACCACTCTACAACTCATTAAATAAATTTAATATTCTGCCTACAATAGGATAGCGTCATAAAATAATATAAAATCTTAAAACATTCTATATCAATGTACATTTATTAGGTATATGGGTATAACATTTTATTTCAAATTTAAAATAAAAAAATGGTACTTTTTTTTTTTTAATGGATGATAATGGAATGGTAGCCCCAACCGCGCTATCGGTATACACCGGCGGGGCACCAGTGAAGGATGATAGGTGAAATATGTCAGGATGAAGTAGATCAGTTAGCCCATCGTTATGAATTCAACAAGAATTGTTCACGATGGTTTCCAGGGGGAACCACGTGGAGGTCGACCTAATAAGGCATATTGCTAGCAATGGGGCTGTCAAACTCCATTGCTAACAATCCCTTTCCCCCCAAAAAAAAATGGTTTTTGACAATCCCGATACCATCACAAAAACACAAATATTTCTGATAGGGAATTTCCAGTTTGAAATATAAATATATATGTCATATTCACCTATTACACTCAATTTCTTCATCACTACACTCAGAATCCCATGAATCATCACAGTCTTCGCCAATAATTGGCCTCGAATCAGGCAGGACATTACCTTTGACTATAACACCTACTGCTTTTAGCTTATTTGCCAGATTTTCTTCTATGCCACTCATAAATTCAAACACCACCTGTAATTTTTATTTTTTATATAATATTTCATCAAATTGAATGCATTATATGTATACATAATTTAAAATTCTATACAGCATTTAGACAAAATAACATATAATCTGTGATGTTACAAATGTCACAATATTGAAGTATGTTAACTGGAACTTCTTTATATTTTGTGATAGAAAATATTTATAGCCAATGTCAGGATTCATGTTTTGCATGAAATAAAACTTAGACAGCGAGTCCTTAGGTGGTGTCTCACATCGTCCATACCTTAGGTCACCTATGACTATGACTATTAACAATACATATAGATGAAAACCCTGGCTTTGCAAGCTAAGCAATAGACCACGGGCTATTAAGTTATCACTGACATTTATAGTGTTTATGGAACAGTTTTTTTTTTTAATAAATAAATACCAAAAAAGATCTTAGTTCAAATATGTTGTATCATTCATTAAAAAAACTAATACACACCTTAGGCGCTTGATACATACATGGATAAAGTTTGGCACACTCCAAATAATCATTGGCCTGATCTAGGATAGACCTTGCTCCATATGATGCATTACCTGTACTTAATGCTGTTAGAGATTTAGGATTTCGTGCTATTACTGAAATGAAATAAATTATATTAATTAATTTATTTAATTAAGAAGAATTACATAACAACCAATAAAGTATAAGAATATAAATTTCCATTACAGTGAGATAAGTCAATAGAACATACAATAACAGAAATTAAAAAGTTATTTCTCTAGTTAGACTAGTTTTATCTCACAACTCCACCTGCATAAATCAGCACATGAAGTACCCTATGTGTTAAAATAGAATATTCCCTACCTGTGTACCAAATTTGATTCAAATCCATTCAATAGTTTACGCATGAAAGAGTAACAAACATCCATTTATCATTACAAACATTTGCATTTAAATACTTTATAATTTACACTATTTAGTTAGTTATTTGAATATTTTCACTTTTAATAGATATTTTTGCAGCCTCACACTTTGCCTTGTTATTGAGTAATTGTACATTATATATGATAATGATAATTTAGTTTGGTCCTTTTCAAAGATCTTTACCTTTAGTCCATGTTTTGCCCTGTTCACTGATGATGTCAATAACCAATTTACTATTGTCATCTATGTGGAATATTTTGCATACAGCCACCACTCCCGGTCTCATAGCACACTCTACCATAGCACCCAAATGTCGGAGATTTGAACATGATAGTTGTTCAGTTTTTACTTTCTTTGATTTTTGCAACTAAAAAAAGCACAATCAAATTTTAAGGTAAATCAAAATAATGATGATAATATGTAAGACACTGACTTTATTTTTATAATGTCAGTAAAATTTTAAATGTGTTGGATAGATATCAGGGGAAAGGATGTTGTTTATATATTATACTATTTAATTATATATATATTCAATATATGATAGTCATGTAGTGAATGTAGTGGTTATATGTTTCATTTTTAATAATTTTTAGGTGTTTTAAGCTATGCCTCCAAATGTTTTCTGGTTTCTCATAACCCTGGGCACTCAACTCATGAAAAATAAACATGATTTTTTTTTTTTTGCTACCACATAAGAGACAACAAGAAAATTAATGTGTACATAAAATCATCCACCCGCATCTCTAACATTTACAATGGTACAATAGACAATGGTGTAATGAGGAAAACTTATTTTCCATGATTCTTGTAAAAATGAGTCTTTAATGAAGCTACTGTGTTAGCACTATGTCTTATTACTGAGCACAACATCAATATTAATAAGTTTTTCTTTCAATAAAAATGTAACTTTGTAAATCAAAATAGTAGTTATATTTTTATTTACAAATTAATTTATGAATGCTAAAGGAGAAATTGTAAAAAAATAGAACAAGTGGTTTTATTGGCAAAACCCACAATAATGTTAGCTTTCAGTACCTAAATTATCATAAACTATGGAAAAATATTAGCTACTAGAATTAAAAGTAGTGACAAATAATGATGGATAACCCAAAAACAGAATAATTCCTTAGTCATTGAAAATATAAGTCACCTTTTTTAAAAACTCAATTTCTTGGCGGATTTTTCTTTGTAGTTTCATAACGCCATCTAAATGTTGCACTGACTGCAGTTGTGTTATTAAATTCTCACCAAATTTTATTTTTTCATCTAGCATAGCCAAAAGATCTTCAAATGCCATTTCCATTGTTGCAGGTATTCTATTCACTTATTTCTAAACATAAAAAATAATAATAATAACGATTTCACAAATTAAATAAAACAATTTAATAGATAATATTGTGTTCTGCAGGAAAGTGAGAAAATTTCTTACAATAATTATCTACCTATTATGAGGAAATATCAAATTCAAAAAAAAAGCACAATAGATTGAGGGATACAAAAAATTCAAGACCAAATCCAAGTCACTAAGGACAAAAAAACAATTGTATGAATCTATGCAACCGATTCATTAAATTTTAAAATTTTTCACTATGAAGTAGATTTTTATTACACCTATTGAGTTCAATAATTTTAATAAGAGGTAAATTATAAATAGTAACATAACATTGTAAGTATTCTGTGTATTTCTTTTTGTTTTTTTTTTTTTATGGAACTTAGAATGGCAATCAAGCTGACGGTATAACAGAGTATATTGTTTCACCCATGATACCCCCCATGCGTTGCCATTCCTGAGGACTCAGGTGTTATTCCTCTATACCCAATAAATTCACGCCATATTCCACCCTTCAAACCGAAATACAGCCATGCAAACACAGCTGCTTCACAGTTGAAACACAAATGGGACAGAGGTACCCAAGCAATCGACTTTTGTACAAAATCTCACTCTGGTAATGTAAGGTAATGTTTCGATGCTTCTAAGTATTCATAAAAAATTCTATTCCAACAATATAAGGACAGTGTCGTCTTCAAAATAGAAAAATTTACACCCAGAAGTAGCAGTTTCTCATATGTGACTAGTCAGTTCTAAGCTAAGGTCCTAATCCGAAATTTTTGGGTCAGTCAGCCATCTGACATAATTCACCAATGTCGCCAATATTTGAATTAAATCTAACTGAATGTTACAATTGATCCCAATTTTTTGGATTATATTTTAGGATCAATTGTAACAAAATAATATATATTGAACTTGGATAGTGTATACAGTCTATTAAACGGATTTTCCGGATTTGCCCGCCATTTTTAGTGATTTGTCGTCTTGATCACGTGACTGACATTTGATCAACCAATCCCCGCGCAGTAACTAACCAAACCATAATTTTAAGAAATGGCTGACGATAAAGAAGTCGAAAAAACGATCGCAGAAGACTTGGTTGTGACCAAGTACAAGCTTGCAGGACAAATTGTCAATCGTAAGTTCATCTCCAAATGTTGTTTTGTGATTATAAACATCGAGGTTCTCTCATCAATAATATGTTGGCGAACGCTCCTAGATTTGGACGCGTGTCATCGCCATGCGGTTTCTACAGATTTATATGATGAACGAACCTATTGGTTTGATTGTTATCACATTTACTAAATATGATTTAATTTATAGGTGTCCTGGAACAAGTTATTGCAAAATGTGTCCCAGATGCATCTGCACGGGAGATTTGCGAGTACGGTGACAAGCTTATTTTGGAGGAAACCTCTAAGGTTTTCAAGAAAGAGAAAGACTCCAAGAAGGGTATCGCGTTTTCGACATGTGTATCAGTTAACAACTGCATATGCCATTTCTCTCCCATTCCTAGTGAAACTGACTATGTTCTAAAACAAGGTGATCTGGCCAAAATGTGAGTATACTTAGTGGATTCCATTCTGAGGCACCTTCCCTATCTGTAAGATTAAAATTTAAGTTTTATTGTATAATAATATTTATGAGGTATATTCATTATCTTGTAGACTTATATAAACAAAATTTATACCTAATTGATAAAACTTGTATAACACTACTTATTAACCTCTTGGTAATTGTAACATACTGTCACTAAACTATTAAATATATTTTTCTATATTTCTATTAAGAATAGTCTTTTAGAATTGAATAAATACAAAAACATTTTTGTGTATTCTGTAATAAATTCCTTTTTTGTAATGTACCTATATTGTAATAAGTCTAAACATTATTTATAATAAACTTACCATAAGAAACCACACAATGAAAACCTAATTTAAATTTGAATGTATTGTTTTTGCTTTATAATTAATATTTTATCCTATTGAATATATATGTATATATGAATTTTATTAATAAAAGAGTGATATCATGAAAAAGTTCATCATTCAAATGTCATGTTATTCTCTATTAACAGAGATATCTATTTGCTTTTTTGTTTGTTAAAGCGACCTTGGTGCACATATTGATGGGTTCATTGCGGTTGTTGCGCACACTGTTGCTGTAGGAGGAGGTGAGGTGACAGGACGAGCAGCTGATGTCCTCTTGGCTGCGCATCTGGCTAGTGAAGCAGCCTTGAGGTTGCTTCGACCTGGCAATGAGGTATTACTGTATAATTTTCTTTTTCCTTTAATATTTCCTATTGGTTTCATGCTTTAAAGAAATTTTTGTGTGTAAAAATAATGTGCAGATGAAAGTATTTATTATGTATTAACTATAGATTACTCCCCACAAAATAGTGTAAAATATCTTAAATATATTTATCAGGATGTCCTCTAATGGCTGGATATTCTAATTTACAATAAACTTAGTGTTTTGAAAGAGCAATTCAAATATTTAGTTAATATGTAATTTTGTGACATCTGTAAACATGTTTAAAAGCTTTTATATTAATAATGTTATTAGATATAATAGTTGTAACCTAAGTTTTTGCTCATGTTGAAGTAAAATATATCCATTCAAATTCAAAATATCTTTAATCATGTAGCTCTATTCCAGACTCTTATGATATGTCAAATCTACCATCAGTTTGGAATGATTTTGAGATGAGAAGAACTGACAAAAAACTCAGCTTGTATTCTTTTCTTGCATTCAGCAATTTATTTTTGATTGAGTAATTATCTAGACATCTTTACAACCTTACACATATTATTAGTGAATATATCTATGATTTAGAAACTTCAAAAGGTACTTGGTTTAAAAACAAGTTTCAGCTAAGAGAAAGTTACTAGTTTTTACAGGAATGAAAGATACAAGTTCCATACCATCAAAGCTATATAGAATAGTATTTAGGCTCGAATTATAATCAGAATGCATATTTCATGTAATTATCCTTATTAATTGTGGTTTGTCCTTTTCTAGAACTATGCCATCACTGATGTTGTGCAAAAAATTAGTGCTGAATATGGTTGTAAACCTGTTGAAGGCATGCTTTCACACCAACTGAAGCAGTTCCGTATTGATGGTGAAAAGAGCATAATACAGAATCCATCAGAGGCACAACGCAAAGAACATGAGAAAGCTACATTAGAGACCTATGAAGTGTATGCAATGGATGTGCTTATTTCCACTGGAGAGGGTGTGGTAAGCAGATCTTTTATTTCTAAAAATAGATTTAGATCGTCTAAAATTAGTCTAAGTTGGCTTTGAGGATGCTACAAATTTCAGTTTACACAGTGAATAAAATATGACAGTGAAAAGTGAGTTAATATAGAAGAGTGTTTATTATATATTCTGTAAATTTGTAGTGCAACTTTTAACCCTGAATTCTTTCCAGATTAGTTTTATTATAACTTTTCTGGCAGTACTCAGGGAACAGAATTCAAGTAAAAACTTTAGACTAATATGTTAATTTTACATTTTGGTTGAATTTAATTACTGACATACATTTTTCTGTATATTGTAGCAATAAATTATTATTTGTTCAAATTGATAAATCACTGTCAAACTTATCCTTTTTAGGGGCGTGAAATGGACACAAGGTGTACAATATATAAAAAAACTGATGAAATTTATCAGTTGAAACTCAAAGCATCTAGAATGTTCTACAGTGAGGTTTGTTGTTATTTTGTATTATTAGTATGATTTAAAAAGAATGGATTATTAATATATCTACCCAGATTGTTGTAATATAATACCTCAGTATTGCATTATTAAGCAGTGCTGTTTTATAGTCTGGGAATAATATTGTGATGTGTTTGACCCGCCATACACATATTGTATGTGTGGTATAGGTCATTACTACATTTAATACAAGTATAACATAATTGTTTAATGATTACTGATATATTGTTATCAATTCAGTATATAATATTTATATAGTACAGAAATATTAATACTGCTTTGTCTGTTTTTAATCTATTACTACATAATACAATGTTTTAAAGCCCAAATAGGAAGAATAGTTTCCATCTCCAAATGGATTCATATATAATAATTTTCATATGTTTTAGGTTCGCAACAAGCATGGTTCAATGCCATTCAATTTGCGCAGTTTTGACAAGGAGACAAGTGCAAGGCTAGGCGTTGTTGAATGTGTCAACCACAAACTTATTGAACCCTTCCAGGTATGGCGTGTTTAGTACTACTTACACTTTTACAATGCAGATATATTGATATTAACAATAGGATGTTGTTAGCATATCTAATAAGAATAACAATCATAATCAGTTAATTATGGGTTTTTATTATTTTTGTTTTATAATTTCCAGTCATGTTAGAAAGTTATTTTGCTATTTTTGTATGTGGTATTATAAGTTTGAAAAACATTTGAAAAAAGTAAATAGTAATTTTAAATACATTTGTACATATTTGTCACGCCCGTCTCCCATTAGGCTAGGCAAAAACAATGGAATGCCAAATGATTAAAAAGTTACTTCCATGGCCTACCATAATGACAAAATTAACAATGATATGACTGGATGTGGTACTATTATCTTTTCAATAACCTCCCAAATATAGTTTATTTTTCTTTATACATATTACTTTATAGTATTAAAAAAAATGTACTTAGTACTAATGTATATATTTTTTTATTCCAGGTCCTCTATGAACGCCCTGGAGAGCTTGTGGCGCAATTCAAATTTACAGTGCTGCTCTTGCCTAGTGGCACTCATCGTATCACAGGCTTACCCTTTGACAAGAGCCAGTGTAAAACCGAACGCAGCATAAAGGACCCTGAACTAAATGTATGTTTTTTTTTTTTATATATTCCATCCCTGTTTAATTTCATAACGCTCTACATATGGAGTGTTTTGGACAAGCGCAGGGTACATCATAAGTGATTTTTTTGAGCCAATTTGTTTATTTTTACACTTTGGTTTGAATGATCACGACATCTGTGATAAAATATTAACTTTAAGATTTTGCGTTGTATGGTTTATAAGAGGCGGGAATTAATGCGATAATGCTTTAGGTAAACTATGATAATAATAATAAACTGTAATAAAAATACTTGTAGAGCTTACGATTACAAATTGCGGTACAGTTGCAAATGAAAAAGGTGTGACTTTATTATGTTTTGTATATAATGTTTTATCTTTTATGTATATATATTTATAACAGTAAAAACATCTGTTCACTTTAAATACAAAAAAGACTACTTTTTAATTAATATAGACATAAAAAAAACCTTGCTTTGTTAACATATTTTCCTTATATCAGCCATTAATCGAACATAGCCTCCCCTGTAAGAGGGACTATTTTATCTGTGTATAATATCTTTGCTTCCTCAATATCAATATTTTCACTAGCTTTTACCTGCTACATCGTACATATGGATTCCACAAGTAGAAAAACCAATTATATAAATAGACTAAACTAACTTCTAAATAATATATCAAGATAAAACATATACTACATATATTAACTACTAACTATATATTAAGTTACATCTTTAGAAACAACTTTGAAAACCATATCCAATTTGGTGTAGTAGTTTTTGCATGAAGCCGGAATAAATACAGGTAGATAAAATTTGTAAAAATTATATTTTTAGCATCTATTAGACTTCTTACATTTTTATTAAATTAGTATGTTTATACATCCATGTTCATTGTCTCCTTAGAATGAAATATAGAAATACTAAATGAGTGTTAATTGGGTTGATATTAAAAAATATTTAAAAAATTTTCAGTCTCTCCTCAACTCTTCTGCAAAGTCAAACAAGAAGAAGAAAAAGAAAACTGGTGCTGAGGAACCAATGGAAGTTGAAACTGTTGCCTAGCAACTAGAATTTCCACTTAAACTGGGACAAAATAAATGAAAATTTACAGCTTTTCTCAGCCTCTCTTCACATGGACAAATATTTGAATTATGCAATATTAACTACTAATTTTGACAAAACTGAAAATATTTTGACAGCACAGCAACATTTTTGTACAGTAAATAAAATGTTTTAGTAATTTTGTGTACAGTAATGCCATCTTTCAAAAATGCAAATGGCAAATTCTTGACAAGTTATCTGCATGTGCTTATTATAAAATTTTATTTTCATTTCATGTAAAATTTTTTTCCGAGCCTTTGACATTGTAGTGTTTTGTAATAGTATTAGGAGAGTTATGATATATTTAAGAGTTTATATTTCAAAAAATCATTACAGCATTCCTTTTTAATGTAGATTCCAATAATGTGTAAAATCCTTAATGAATCAGACTCGTTTTCCAAGCATTTCCCTAGTGGCGTTAATATATTTAAAGATTGTGATTGATGTGCACAAAATTTGTTCCCCGTGTAATATACGATCTCGATGTGGTGACTACTTCTGTATTGCACTCTTGGAGTTTTTGAGAAACCTGAAAAAGCCAACTTTGTAGATATAATTGATAATCTTTACACTGATTAATTTTTTATTGATTCTACTATATTTTTGTAGGATTAAATTGTAGAGAATGTGAATGATAGGCTAAACTTTCAGGTTACTCACTAACAATGTTATTGCTTAATTATATACATATATTCAACTGCATAAATAATACATGGTTTTCTATTTTATATTAAAACAAAATTTCATAATATTGACAACTGTATTACAAAAATAACAGTAGAAAATCTGTGCAAGTAAATAAATTCCATAGCTTTGTTATATTAATTATACATTTTTAGTATTGTTTGTACAGATGATTGTATGTATGTACTAGGAAAAGGTGTAAAGATATGACACTGTGAGACTTTAAAAAATAAACTGTGCCACAATTGTGGTTTTTGTAATAACATCTTTTATTTATAAACATTACATATTTTTGTTTCAAAAACGTAATTCAATTGTTTTAATTACTTATTTCTCGTGGTTTTGCCAGCATATATCACTATATGAAATCTCATATCAGTATTTGAATCCTAACAGATAGGGTTATGTTTTCCTATAACCTAGAACGAATCGGCAACCAAAGTTCATTTAAATATAATAAGTATTATTTTCATGCTTCAACTGCTTTTTAGAAACTTAAAAAAATGTTATAAAACAAATAATAAATTGTATATACCTAAATAATAATGGTCATGTTGATTTTAGTCATCATGCTTGAAGACTAACCCCGTAGAGGTTTGTATTTTTTTTAATGTATGATGTATTTGTAATCCCGCCTACCCGGCGGAGCACCAGTGAGCAAATCGGTTGCAGTACCGACCTTAGAGGGGGAGGGTCTTGTTGAGTGGCGCAATATAATCGGGAGGGGGGGGATTGATAATAATAGGATTGGCAAAACCCTATTACTAAAAATATACCTTTATCAAGTCGAATTCCTCGCAGTTTCCTTGTATTCGTAATGCCATTGGATTTTTTTTTTCTAAGAGCAGCTCAATGAAAGGTTGTAATAAAATAATCAACCTTGTTTTTTGCCAATCCAAATAGAAGATAGACATGATCTTTATGAATATTTTGTCCTATTTATTCGATAAGAACTGGAACAACTGGATTATTGGAAATAAACATTTTAATAATTGTATAAAAATCCCATGTTATGAATTTTCTTCACAGTATGTTGTTTCAAACTGATGAATATAATTTATAAGAGGATAGTTTTTGTCATGATAAGTAACAACCCCAATCTGGTAAAAAGGGAATTAATGTTTGTCTCTAAGCAAGTCATGTATTATTTATAGTCTGATAATATATATATAAAATATAGATAATTAAAAAAAATATGAGGTTATAAATATGATAATATTAGGGTACTAAAACCATGAAATAAGAAGTAATTAATTTATCCATTATTCCACACTGTCGTTAAAATCCTTACACCTACATATTATATGGGAATTAATTAGTTTGTTACCTGCATTAACCAAGAATGATAAAATTTAGTGTATAAAAAGCATGAAGGAAATAGGGTACTTTTATTCCAGTCAATTAATTACACCTTAGTCAAATGAACAAAGTCACAGTTAAAAAGTGGTATTTTAATAAATATAAAATTAATAAACATACCTACCTAGTTAAATGCATTAATTAACAGCTGATGTTAAAACAAAAGTCATATATAGTTTTTAAAATTTTAATAAATAATTACAGTAATCACTATAAATAACCCTTGTTTTATAAATGACCTCATTTTCTTTTTTGTTCACTAGAACTTGTAGTAGGCTCTGCTGTGAGTGATGAAGATATCAAATTATATGTTTTAGTAGCTGCATTGCTTGTATGTGTTGGGAGATCCACCAGAAATTGGAATGTCGTTTTCACTCCACAGTTCCAATAGTACTTGAATAAATATGATATTCTATCATTTGAAGGTAACGGAGGCAACTGTAAAAGTAAAATATATATTCAGAATACTATTAGTCAATCAGATCTTACATACACATATACTTCATTTTTCATTTAATACTTCTTTAAACTTGCTTAGAATTATTTTGTCGCTAATTACCAGCTTATGCATGGATATTTGTTATTAATTCCAGTCAATTTTATAAAAGGAAATTAATATCAACAAGCATGCTGATTGATACAAGAATCTATCTAAATAGGTATATAGAAAAAATATATATAAAGTCCATGAACATTTTAGGGTTATATGCATAAAATAATATGTAATTAGACATGTTTTGAGACATTTACCTCATATGGAATTTGCTTTTTCAATTCACCTACATATGGCGAGACGCCCTTTTCAAGATCTTCATACAATGCGGACGTCGTGGAACTGTCCTTCCATACGCCTTTATCGACTGTGTAATAAACAGCGGAGCCCAATACAGCAGTCTTTATACCAAACCTCAAAACATAAGAATTATCTATATAGATGATAACACTGCAATGCAGTAAAGGTAGTGGTAGATAATTAAAACTTTTACTTACTTCAACATTATTGCAGTTTAATAAACATTAAAGCCACTTCTAATTTTAGTATTATTTCTGTTTATTTTATATACAGATATAAGACATTTATCGTTGAATTATATAATTTTGGGATTTTCGAATCGAAACACAGATTATATAGACAATTGAGACAAGACACTGACAAATGTAAAGTTATGTTAAAAAAAAGAGTAATTACTGATATTATTCTCTATCTATCACAGGACAGTCATAGATTTAATATAACTTACTACATAATCTAAGTGTCAACTATAGTGATTACCATTAACCGGGTGAATAGGTACAAAATCGACCTTCACACTTCAATTTCTTCATTTTTTTAGAAAAATTGTCATATTTTACGCATTCTAAGTATATCTGTTTGTTTAAACTATATATTAAAAACATAATCCTTTATTAGTAGTTGATTATTTATAGCAAAATATGTTTATCATTATTTATACTGGATCCGGGTTGACCTGGAACAGAAGCGAGATGAGTAGAGAAAAAGGCATAGAGTTGTCAAATACATATACATAATTATTAAATAAATTTTATTTAATAATAAACTAAAAAAAAATTTAGACATTTTTATTTTCTTTAAGTGGATTTCATTTATTAGACAGAAATTATGTAGGAATGTTGACTACTTGAGTATCTCTGTTCTATTCGTGACTCTACTGTGATACAGGTATATGTTTGCATGCTTGTGTACTTGTTCGAAGGGCAATATAATAAGATATATAAGGTTAACCTTATATACCTACATATCTGTCGTATCTATAAACTCCATAATACCATCATTAATACTGAGGTTAAAATATTTTTCTTTTATACAGAATATGCACAATAAAAAAAAATAGTAATGACACCTTTACAAATACAAATGACACATTCATAAGTCTGAAAGCACAAAAAATTTTGAAGTACGACGTCCTGTATAGAAAATAATATTTCTGCCATTCTATGAAACTTTATATTCTTTTGTTGTGAAGGAACAATAAAGATTTTTCTATTATTCTACTATCAGGTGAAACAGTTGACAGTCATATATGAAATCAATATTTATTTTCTTTATAACAAATCCCATTGCTGGTTTTGTCCCTATTTATGCCCCGATTTATATTACCCCATTTTGCAGTACTTGCTCTGTGGTGTCAATCTAAAAGTAACAACTCGTAAATACAAGTCACTTAAAGCGTTTATAAAAGACGTATATTATAAGTGTTTATAAAAGACCTACGTAAAGTACAAACATCGGTAGGTATAAAGTTATTTACACAAATTTCATGAAATCATCAAAGAAAAAAGTTAGTATGAAATGAAATTAATGAAATTAATGTAAAATTTGAAAATTTTACATTATAAAAAAACTATTTTTTATCCCCGCATGGAATGTTGGGATACGCTGGTAAGAATCAAGAAGAGGATGGGAGGGCGATCCGCTGAATCCATTACTAACAATTCTCCCCTTAGTAGCTAGATACTGACAGAGTGACAGAGATAATGATTTTAATGTTATACTAGTAATTTTATATCTACCGATGTTTGTACTTTACGTAGGTCTTTTATAAACACTTATAATATACGTCTTTTATAAACGCTTTAAGTGTAAATGGGAAATATATGTTTTTTCCCATGTATTTATGATTGTGACATTACACTGTCTAATTTTTAATGTATACCATAACACTGACATATGTTTATTTTCCTATATCGTATTTGCATTACAAATCCACTTTGCCATATATAAGTATATAGTAAGGAAGTAAGGTTATTTACATTCACACACACACACACACACACACACACACACAGTTATTAAGAAGATTACAACACTATATATTGTGTTGATATTGCTAGATGGTTGCACAGATTAATATTCCAGCTTTGTTAATATATATGGGCCTGTGATAAAGGCAGTGTCGACTCTAGAATAATAAACCAGCAATTTTCACATGTTGATTAGAGTACTTCATTTTTTTTTTATATACATTTCATTCATTCCATTTTGAAAATTGCAGATTTCTGTAATTATCGAATAAATTGTGTAGTAAATATATAGTTATATTAATTTTACTAGGATTGTAGTTATCACACGAATACTTAGCCGTTGCCTTTTTAATAAGTATCTTTCATTTTTTAAAAACAGTCACTATGACGAAAAGCGCTAATCTGCTAGAAGTTATTTCTATGTGTTTATTACCAAAACTTTCCAAAAATGTTGATATAAGTGAGAATCATGTTGAATATAAAATTAGAGAAGATACGTTAACATCTCAATTTAATGTAATAATGCAATTATTAAATGATATGAATAATTCAGAAATGACACCAGATATATTGTCTAGACTGTTAATTTTGAATCTTGAATTACAAAGTGTAGGGCCTTGGTTTAGTGAAATTTGTAAGAAGTGTACAGAAAAGTTGAACAAAGATTTTGAAGGTTCATATGGTTATAAATTAGATAATCTTTTGTGGCATGGAGATGCTGTCAATAGTCAAAAAATATTTGACAAGTGTTTAGAGGATTTACATCAGAAATTAACATTTGAAGACTTCAAGAAGTATCCTGCTCTTCATGATGTATACTATTCAATCATACAACATATAGCAGTAATTAATTTATATGATTTATTTACCACAATTTGAAGTAGTATAAATATTTTTTATTAGTAGTAAACAAATTTTTGCATATACCCATGTATTTTTTTAATATAATTTAAAAACAGAAAGTATTTATATACCATGATATATAAATAATTAGTATGAATATCTATTTTTTCTGTGTTTTATGATATCTAATTTTAATAAAAGTTATGTCAATGATTTTTTACTAAATATATCCAGTATAAATATTTTAGAAAACTTAGCTCTAATTTTTTGTTGTGTTATTAAAAAATACAATTTAATCAAAGTTTATAATGACACAACAAAAAGTTATTAATCAATAATTGTTTGTTTATTTTAGGAATACAAAGTAGATATCAATCCATTAAAAACAATACCAATTTCTTTGCTTCTCATTGATGATTATATTCTTTCTAATAAAATAAAGGGTTTGAAAAGCTGTTTAATTATAATGAAATGCTTGGTATGTATTAGTTTGAAAAAATTTGCAAGAAAAATATAAATACCTAACAATTTACATTATAGTAATTAAGATTCTTGTATGTTATAGACTACTGAGAGTTTTCAAGATGGTAATTATTATGAAGTTATTTATGGAACGTTAAAAAAGAGCACACTTGATAAAGATATAGATGTAACTAGGCTAACACTGGAGTGTTTGTTACAACTGCTCAAAATTATACCTCCAGGGGTTCAGGTAATTATATGATATATGTCATATTCTTATTAACTTTGTGTTGGGATTTTTTCATGAGAAAAACAAATAACAAAAGTACTCTGTAAATAAAAGGTACTAATATTTTGTTGAATCTATATATTATTTTAATAATTTTTTTATATAATGTTATATAATTTTTTACATAATATTATTGCATAAAATATATATATTTCAGGCGAAGAAGACAGATGACATATTCAAAAGGGGACTTGACCAACTTTATACAGAGGCCAACTTGTACAGAAAAGCAGCATTGTTCAGTTTCACAACAAATTTAATAGAAATGCAAGGGGTCGACTGTGTGAATAAGAAATTATTAAAATCTATTCTTTGTGACAACATAGATATATGTTGTAATGATGCTGTTGGAGAGATACTATTATCTGATGTACTGAAAGTGAGTAAAATTAGTTAAAAATATATGTGAAATACATAGATTAATTTCATTTTAATAATAAGAAGTATTAATTCTATGTGAATGAAGTTTGAATGACAAATTATGGGCATGTATCATCCTGTGGAAAACAATGAAAATTAGTGATTTTTCAATATCGATGTGGTGCTATTTTGCAATATTGGCCCTGTTATGATGATAAATATTTTATTGTATTTTTTCAATAAATAAGTAACTAGGTTGTTGTTGTTCTAGTGTCTTGAAGTGTGGATAAAATATTGTTGGTGCATTTGGAGATTACCAAGTGATCAGAAATTTCTGTCCACATTATTGAAATTGCTTTATGTATCATGTCAAGACGAAGAAAAAGCTGCAAGGATACAAATATTGATAATAACATTAATTACATTATGTACAAAAGAGGAACAAAATGCTTTATACAAAAATATAGAAGAATCAACTGTCCATATAAATAGACCAGAATTTGTTAATACATTAGAAGTAATAAAAAAAAAGTATTCATGTATAATAAATTTATTAAAAATATCATAATATTTCATAATTTAACATTAATAACCTTTTAATTTCTTTTGTGACATGTTTTACATTTTTATTATATTAGATAATTTTTTGATTGACTCAGAATTAAGTAAGATTATAGAACATTAGAACTTTGGATAAAGTCCGATTTAAATAAAGGAACTCTATTCATTCATAAAATTCCTTCGTATAGCAATGTTGTATCTACACCAGAACTAATATTGATATTTGCCCTGACAGACTACATCAAAAATCTAGACTTTCATTGTTAAACTGGGATGGTAAATGTGTAACAACATCTTTTATGTCGGCAAGTTTTTCTTGTGCAGTAAGTCGTCGCCACAGCACAGGGCACTCTGTGTTCTCACAATAGATAGACTGAGTGTGCCCACAGCATGAATTGCATATCTGTAAATATAGAAGTTCCATTATTTATTGTTTTAATACTGTTAATAACAAGTGCTAACTTTCTGTGAATAATTTCCATTAAATGGACAATGACATTTCAGTCTTGATTAAATTTGTATAGGGACAAATAATAACAGGGAAGTAAAAAAGAAATAAGTAATCACAATTTATAATTCATGTGAACTGTCGCTATTTTTCATGTGGCACCCTTTTAAACTGTATATTTAGAAGTGTATATAGTCTGGCTTCGTGTGGAAATCCTAGTATAATTTATCAAGTACAATTGAAATATGTTAAATATGTGAAATTCACCATTGTACAATATTGAAGGTGCGCATGTGCGGTAGCTAGCCTTGCGGCGAGCGCAGCTGTGGCGGCCGAAGGCGTGGCGCCGCTCGCACACTCGGTGCACACGGCGCGAGCGGCGCGGCGGCCGCACGCGGCGCAGCGCCGCCGCCACATGTAGCGCGCGATGCCACTCGCTACCGCGTGCCGGCTTGGCTGCGACACGCGATTGTACCCCAACTCTGCCCACCTAACAACATATAACCCCCATAGTAATAGGTTACGTAATAATGTAATTTGAACATAAATAGTTTGTATGTCATCATTTTTAAGTATTGATAACAAAAATATATAAAATTGTTCTGTGTCACATATGATTATATTGAGTTTCTATGTGAAATGAAAATTGAGAGTAAGGGTAATGTCTTGAGCTTGCTTATGACAAACAAAGAAGACGCATCATAATTATGTTGAATCATAATCCACGCGTGTGGCAATAACCATTTGAATACGTCGACGCCGAGTAGCGAGAGGCAGCGGTGCAGCGGCGGCAGCAGCACGCGCGCGGCGTAGTAGGCGACGAGCGGCGCGGCGCGGCGCCGCCGCAGCTCGCGGCCGCTGCGCGCCGCGCGCCACAGCGGCTCGGCCGGCGCGCCGCCCGCCACCGCCCACGACACGCGCCAGCCGCGAGCAGGCGCCGCACGCGGGTCCGAACTCGCTATTCGCCTGCGCACATACACCGACACTTTTTATTTAATGTATTAAAATATGATAATTTTATATAGTATATGTACGTTTTTACCCGGTACTTCGTACTTGTAGATTTCAGAAGTATACCAGTTATGAAATCAAAGTGTACGTAGTAGCGGTAAACCAGTTCTAAATGGACTATCAAAATAATATTTGCACCAGCTTTTAAGTTAGATCTACAGGAACACAACAATGAAAACGTAGTAATTTTTGCGTGATAACAGTACAAAGATACAGAGAGATAAAATTAAAAAAAAAATCTGTTAGCTTCTACTGTTCCTATTTAAAATATATCCCATGTACTATATATCTCCCAAGTACAGATATCGTCCAAATTTATTACATTAGTAAAATTACCATTTAGTACATCTATTTTGTTGTCTATGATTTTCTAAGATGTTTTATTCCATAGACTTGACCATGTTTTGTTTTGTTTCTTCTTTCTTTTTTTTTTTAAATATGGTATAAACATGTACAATGTTATATTAAATAAGAGTTAAAATAATTTAAAGTTATTTCATTGATACCAAATTTATTTTAACATAATAGACAAAATATCAAACGCTTGTTTTATTGGTATACACTGGCGAGGATCCAGTGAGTGATGGTGGATTGTGAAGGTGATTAAGTGTAGATGAAAGCAGGTTAGTTGGACCAACATGATTATTCCTGATGAATTCATAACGAGGGGTCAACTGATATGCTTATATCATAATACCATTCGATTATTATCTATTAAAAAACCTCGAGCTACCCGTTTTCATGATATTTAGACAAATTATATTTCTATTATAATATTATAAGCTGCCACATACTTACTAATCGTCTGATCTTCAAGCTAAGATACTCTGTATTATGAGAAATCAGGCAAGGAGCATCTGAGGGTTCAAGCAGAAGAAACTTAATTGAACTCGGGACCTCATTTACACAAAACAACTGCTCTACAGAGGCCATAATTACACTGTGCACATATCAATTTACACTGTAAATATGTAAATTTGACATATTTCGCACGTTGATGTATTTTGCTTAGTTTCATGGATTTTGACGTGATATTTTCTTTGACACCATCTTTTTATAAATTTGATTTTACCAAACTACTTCGTTTCATTTTAAATGTAATTAATACCCATAATAATATTCATATTCATCATCATTATATACAACATATAGCCATGTACAGCACCATGGACATAACAGAGTATACTGTGCCCCCCTGATACCTCACGTGCGTTGCTATTCCTGAGAACTAAAGTGTTATGCTTTTGAAATTTCATTTACAAATTTTGGTTTTCTTTAAATTGTAAACTGACAAACAAGATTACGAACATCTTTTATCTGTCTTATATCCACATTAATTTTAAACATAAATTTTTCCATTACTTGTAATATAATAATAATTTTATATTACAAGTAATTGATTTATATATATAATATAATAATAATAATTTCCTTATTATTATTACCTATAATAGGTCCCAAGGTAAGCTTTAAAGTTGATTACAAGATTTATTTCTAAAATATACAATACAACCACACACACCATGGAAGATATCTTTTTTATCATCAATAACAGTCTCAAACTTATCGCCAGAGAATAATTATAAATGCCATTTCACAAAGTTGGTTCCTTTAAATGTAAAATAATTCTTAAATCGTTTATATTTGTACTTATACACATTCAGTGGAACATTAACAAACAGTATCACTACTAGTAGATAGACAGACAAAATGAGGCTTTCAACAACTAGATGGCGCTGTAAAAAAAGTAAAACGCGATATAGAGGTGAATTACACTGTAGACATAACATTCTATACAATGTTTGACGGTATGCTTGTTTGCCACCTAATAATTATTGCATAATAATTATTGGTTATTTTTTGGTACTCGGTATAAGTAGACCGAGTAAACGATATATTAAAAAAAAAAAAGAAAAACCGCTTATAATATAATTGGTTAAATCATACGAATCTGTTGCGGTTTTATACGAAATATAGCTGGTACGGCTAACTTTTTGTACTTTGCCGCTTAAATAATCTGTTTTACTTATCCGGGATAAAATTGTCCTCTTTTTTCAAAAAAATATTTTATTTTTTAAAAATACATTTACAAAATTTCGTTTGTTAAGTAGAATTTGATATATTATTAAATTTTGTAATAATGCACCCAATTCTAGATGGTGTATCAAAATAAAATATACTAGATTTTAAGATGGATCTTCAGGAACTCAATTGTAAAAACTGCATCTAATTTGGTTTAGTAGATTTGGAGTGATGATGGTACAAATATACAGGCAAACAGACAAAACAACTAAAAAATATTGCTTTGGTTTCTATTGTTCTTATCATCAAGTTTTCCTAAATATCTCCTTCGTGTAGACATTGTTTAGTTATATCAGTAAAAAGATTCCATCATTACATGTCCACTTTTATACTTTATCTGAGCAGTAAGTGCTATCATCTACTATTCTCATCGTCGTGTGTCTTGTATCTTATCTCGTGTCTTAATATCTTGTATATGTGTATATAAATTTATTATTTATATATATTTATCTATGTAAATATTATATGTATATCAATTAATATTAGTACCGCATTCTAGAATACTAACACTTCCCTGAGGCTAAAGGATTGTCGATTGGTACACATGGTCGATTTGTGGTGTATGACTAACTATTAATAAACTGTCAGTTTTTCTCATATTGGGTTTGCTGGAAGAAATTTCTTTTAGATAGATAAGCGAGGTAAGCTCGCCTTTGTGCACTATTATATTTGTTTTTCTATTTCAATAACCTTTTGTGTACAATAAAGAATAAAGGAATGTTTTTAGCATTAAGCACGCCATATCCTGTACTAAAGAATAGATAAATAAATAAAACAGCGGTACAATTACTTGGCGATCTCGTTGGGCGGCGCGGTGGCCCCGGGCCGGTAGCCGTTCGCTCCGTGGTACTCGCGCGTGAAGAACAGCTCCGGCAGCGGCAGCGCGCCGCTCGCCAGCTGGGACAGCGTGCTCATCACGATGCGCTTAACACGGGACATATCCCCCGTGTCGAACAGCTCGCACAGCGACCGCTGCAGCAACTACGCACAGTTAATACTGTATTTAGTTCAGAAATTATTAATTAATCTTCACCATCCAAAGGTTGCCTGGAAGAGATTAATTTTAGCGATAAAGACGCTGTTTTCTCAGTGACCTATTCTTGTAATTTTCTTGTTTGTTTTCTAAGTTTACTACTGCAATCTTTTGAAGGGAATAATAAAGAGTATTTATATATTCACATTTTTTCAACAAATAGCTAAAATAAAAAGGTTTTTGTACTATTTGCTTACATGTTTATGTATATTATTACTTTTGTCTATTTTATATTTATTTATTTAAAGGAACACCAACAGCATATTGCATTATAACATATAAATAACATAAAAAAACATTAAATATAATACAATATTAATGCACATGCCTATTATAGGTATTCACAGTATTTACTTTAACATAGTTATACAGCGCGAGAAAATTAAGTAACAATTATAATGAATTAAATAACACTAGACTACAAATATTTTAAAAGTTGCGTTATTATATAAAAATAAACATGTAACCTAAGTTGTATATTAAAACTAATATATAAATTAATGTGTGATATAAATGCAAAAGTTTGTAAAAATAGATGAATGTTTGTTATTCTTTCCTGCAAAAACTATTGAACAACTTTGAAGGAAATTCAGTACACTGGTAGGTTATGTCCTAACTTATCACATAGGATACATCATGTACTGATTCACGTGGATAAAGTCGCGGGATACAGCTAGTGATGAATAATAGAGTCATGGAAATATCGAATTAGATCTGGTTTACTTCGAGTTTGAAGTCAGCAATTTACATAAATCTCAAGTACAGTTAGTATTATGTAATTACTTACTTTAACACCCGCTGGACAGCCGTCTCTGCGTACTGTTTCTATTCCTTTAGCCTCAAACACTGGCTTCTCTTGGTCAGGGCTCTCGTACATGTAGCCCACATATCGCTTTTTCGTTTGCAGTATACAAGGCTGGTATACCTGTTAAAAGGGGTCGTTTATACTAAGAAAGCGGGAGTTAAACATATAGATTGCTAAATGCAGTCACCATAGTATTTCTTACATTTTTTACTTTTTAGATCCGAGCTGAAGAAATGTATTCTAGAACAAGTATTGTTGAATTTACTGGGTACAGAGGAATAACACCTGAGTCCTCAGAAATGGCAACGCATGGGGAGTATCATGGGCGAAACAGTATACTCTGTTATGTCCATGGTACTGCTCATGTCTATAGGCGACGGTTACCACTTTCCATCAGGTGGGCCGTCAGCTTGTTTGCCATTCTAAGTTGTATAAAAAAAAAAGTAAAAATATATTATTTTAACATTGCACTGGATGTGTGCGAATTCTATATTGAGTATATGTAAACGCAACTTTTTAAAAAAGTTCAGAAACTAGTTTCTTGTTCATTTTTATTGACTAAAACTATTCGTTTTAATTGAGCGATAGAATAAAAAACATACGTGTACGTTTTTTATACGTAGGGGTAGAAGTCCTATATATATGTGTGCGAGAAGTAATCCCTCTGAATATGATTGCAAGCAGGCTGGATTGCCCACACATTGGTCACTGTTGTGGAATCTTAAATGGGATGGGGTCTTCAATGGTGACCAAATAACCGTGTCCCGATTTGGGCCATAGTGCGTCTATTGATGAATCGCATACTAACGGTTAGGAGTTCACGAGTACAGTCACAGAAAAATTGTTTCGTTGTTATTAAAAGTGGGCGTATGTTTATAGGCAACCCAACATTGATGACTTAATTGACATTTATATCTGTGAAGATTATTCATCAGAACCATTCAAATCTTAAAAATATGTCACCCATTTCTGTTCACGTAAGTTTTATTGGCTGTGTCAGATGCCTTGTATACCCTAAATACCAAATAATAGTTGCTATGTGAGCGCAACAGCCTACGGTTCGAGCCCCATTTTTGCAGGTATCAGAACGCATTAAATCACTAAATCTCCTTGCTTAACATAATTCCAGAGACGGCTGCTCAAATTTTAAGTTTTGACCTTTACCACCGTCACCATGAGGAGATAATCTGGTCGCAAAGAGAATTATGTCCTATAATATTTCACAGATAAATTATAGGCGATATTTTCACAAATGAAATGGGTTCCTGCCGCAGTTAACTTTGTTGCTAACGAGGTTTTCCCACCAAATACGCTCATAAGAACGATATATTCTATCGATATAGGCGATGCATTATCTAATGATATATAAGCTACTTTGGAACTCGTCATGGCCCAGAACCCATACTATCCGGGACACGGTTCTTTGTTTATAGTTTTCTTTTATTTATTTATTTATTGTAAGGTGTAATAACATTGGGCTAAGATTATATTACTAATAAATTGAGTCATTGTAGACCGTAATAAAGTACAATATACTTTATTATAATTATTACGAAACTATATTGAAGTCGACCAAAACTCACCTTTTCCAGTTTGAGTGCGACGGGTGAAGGGTTGTCCGCGGTGACGGCATCCGCGATCTGTTGGCCGAGCGCGAACGCGTCCGCTCGCGTGCCGCCCGCCACCAGCACGAACATCGAGTCCGTGTCGCCGTAGATAACCTGCAATGTTTGATAAATAAACACAATTATTCATATATCCTCGAAATATTCATGTGATAATGTAATGTACAACGATTCATGCTGAAAAAAAAAACAATTTATTTATTTTTGTTATATTTTCTTAATAGAGGGACTGGCTGAAAACCAGCGCTGTGCAGCTGTTCACTTTGCGCTGGGACACACACAGCATCAGCTGAGCCAGTTCCCAGCCTAGTATGAGACACTTCTTGTATATGTTTTTTCTATTGTGATTGTGTGTTCAATGGCAATAAATATTTTCTATTCTAAAAATAATATAACACAATACACTGCAAGAAAAAAAAGTCTATAATATTATGTCATAAACATATCTAAAGAAAAAAATTATAACTAAAAGAAAAGACAATAAAAATAAAAGAAAACATAAACTCGAAATGAAAAACTTAATCTTTCGAGTTTAGTCTTAGATAATATAAATAAATATATAAATTAATAGATATATAAATTAATAGTCTTTGATAATTTCTTCCATTTAACCACTAGACCCATGTTCAGTAAAGGGAGATTTATTGATTACCTTCTATTCATGTATTTCTTAAAGTGGTTACCTATTTTAGTACTATTTACAAATGGTAGTCATTTTGCATGTCAGCTGTGAGGTACTAAGGGCCAGTTGGCTGAACTGATGTTAATATATTTCCTTTTAACATAGTAAATAAAACGCGCCAATATTAATATTAAAAACACGAATTTGTTCTACATGATACCTTAGCATTCCACTGCTTGTTATTCTGAACCAGCTTTATAGCTCGCTCTAAGGTCTCCCTGCCCTTAGAGACGACGCTGTCTCCAACCTCCACGCACGGCATACGCCCGCTGAAGTTTGCCGCCGTGTAGCCGTACGTCACGTTTGCTATTAGTTTCAAACCTACAATTTTCGTAAAAGTAGATATTAAAAGAATGTTATCTGAGGGAGACTTTGTACAAAAGTCGATTGCTTGGGTACCTTTGTTCCATTTGTGTTTCTACCGTGAAGCAGTTGTGTTTGCATAGCTGTGTTTCGGTTTGAAGGGTGGGATATGGCAGTGAATTTACTGGGTACAGAGGAATAACACCTGAGTCCTCAGGAATGGCAACGCATAGGGGGTATCATGGGCGAAACAGTACACTCTGTTATGTCCATGATACTGCTCATGTTTATAGGCGATGGTTTCTACTTTCCATCAGATGGACCGTCAGCATATATATATATATATATATATATATATATATATATATATATATATATATATATATATATATATATATATATAGGATAGAAATGTCGTTCCTAATTAAACAACTGGCCGCGCCATCTTAGTATGGGGGGTTTCAAAATTTTTTGTAGTTTCGACGCATGTTACTTTGGTAACATTTAGTTTCGCTGGTAAAACTGATATTTAAAAAGGTGCTAACGATTTCATTCATTCTGTATGAATAATGTAACAAAAGGGGAGGGGGAAGGGATTGTTAGTAATGGGGTATAACTAATCCATTGCTAGCAATACATCATATCAGGTCGACCTCCACGCGGTTCCCCTGGAAACCATCGTGGTTAACTCTAGTAGAATTCGTCACGATGGGCTAATTGACCTGCTTTCATCGTCACCTATCATCCCTCACTGGTGCCGTATACCGTTAGCGCAGCAGGGTTACCATTCCATTGTCATCTATTAAAAAAAAACCCTACCTAACTTACTAGTATACCAAATTTCATTCAAATTCGTTCACTTGCTTTTGCGTGAAAGAGTAATAGACATACATCCATTCATTCTGACAAACTTTTCTACTTATAATATGTATTATTAGGATTTGAAAATATTTCTTGCAGGATGTTAATATAAGTTGATTAGTGTCAATGTATTTAGCATTAATATAAACCTACGTGATTTTTGAATACTAATAGAACATGTTTTTTGTTATTCAGAATTTTTGTAATAATAAATAAGAAAAATTTGAAGTTTACCCAGTTGGCGTGAATGCATCGCCTTCTTGATCGCCTCATCAGTCTGCATTTTCATGCTCTTCTTGACAGCTTGTCTGGCGGCTAGAATACGCCGTAAGAGGGCAGGTAATACTCCGCGGCGCACCGATGTCTTCACGAAGCCCACTCCAACAGGGGACCAGTGCACTAGACCCTTCTTGATTAGGGCTTCCAGTTTCGCCTTTGGTATTCGTAAACGCCATGCGCCGAATTCGTACGCGGCATCACTGAAATAATTAAACGCAGAGTATTAATAGATGAATTCAAAATAATTTTACTCAAAAACTGAACTACTATTTTTTTTTTGATAAAAAAAAAATCTATGGGATCAATCGGAAAGTATATCTAATTTTCCAAATTAGTTTATAAATGACGGAGAATTTAGAACCTCTTCCTTTTTTGAAATCAGTTGATAAATTTTATTTAAATCGGTCTATATAAAATGTATTCCATTTTTAAGAAAGTTGTTATCTATGTTTCTATTAAAACATAAAATTCTAATTGATTCATAGTAGTTACTGTAATAATTTAGTATTTGTTTTTTTTTTTTGGGAGCTGAGCTGTAAGTTAATACTGGAATGAATATATATAATAAGGAGTCCCCAACCAATATTGTTATTATGAACAGGATGTAGAAGGAATTTTATGACGACACTATGATATAGCGAACAAATGCCACCAGTGAGCAAACGTTTCTCTGACAGGGGGCCGCAGGTGAATCAGTACTGGTCCATACAAAAGTCCGAAGGGAATGCTTCTAGAATGGTTTCTTCTCTTCTAGCAATCAAAATACAATAGTTCGGTCTCTGAACTGCAGTGCAGAAAATTAGGAAATTACAAAATTATACTTCAATATACAATAAAGAAAATTTAATGTTCAAAAATTAAAATCACTGAATTGATTGCTAGTGTATCAACAAGATTATCGACAGTCGAAGTAATTAATGTGATGAAGCGACATGTAGTATCGGTTCACCCATATAAAAACATCATAGAATACGAGTATGTTGCCATAAAAATGTAAAATATATTTATTATCAAAGGATGTATATATAACATTGAACTTACCCATTAATATTTTGCACACGCCCGATGCAAGTAGAGAAGCAATAGTTGTAAGCAATCATCATTGAAGGGTATAGACTTTGAAAGTCCAGTACAATAACAGGATCTGAGTAAAAGCGAGATTCTGTAAGGCATAAAAATTTAAAATCAGTATAATATTGTTTTTTTTTTTTTTTTATACAAGTTAGAATGGCAAACAAGCTGACGGCCCACCTGATGGAAAGGAAGCAAATAATCTCTCTTTCTCTTCGTTCACTTCATTACTAAAGGAAGTGTCCTTGAAAGGTGTCTGTATAGTAACCATAGTAATATACAACTCGAAATTGCCTCTAATTTTGTAAAACTTTTCAATCATACAATACCATTTACTATATAGGCCACCTCTTCCTTTCCTGTGGGTGTCATAAGAGACGATTAAGAGAAGACGAGGGATGGAGAGCAGTGTCTCTCTTAAAACATCTCCAAAACCTAATTGCGTTTGCCAATCCGCCTGCCAAGCGTGGTAACTACTGGCAAAAGACCACAAACAGTTTGGCAGTGGACATTTAAGGCTGATATATTTATAATATAGAATAAGATTTGTTACCAGGCAAATACATAAAATAGCAAAATACTATTATTGTAAATAATATGTGTTTCCAACAATGGCAGGACACGTCTACACTGAAAAAAGATTTTAAGCATCACAAACTGTATTTTTTCGGGAACATGGAATAAAGAAGAGTACTTCTAGTTCGTCCTATCTGGACATACCTATTGTTCAGTCAGAAGGCCTTTTCTAATGATTCAGTATATTTATGACGAATTACCTGGTTCAAATATAAGTGGAAGACATTCGGGTGCACGCATAGCCGCTCTTTGTTTGACGGTGGGTGAGAGCGCTATGAGGTTCAGAGGCCGGGCGGCGCGCAGCATCAGTGATTCCACACGGAACTGCGAGCCGCGGGAGAGCACCTCCCACCATTGCAGCCCAAATAGACGCGCCAGTTCAGAAGTGCGATCTAATAAGCAATATTTATTTTATTTTTTATTAAAGAAAAACCAACAGCTAAAAATTATCATAATAAAAAAAACATTAAAGTCAAAAAGCCAATTACAGGTTTTTACAAATAAAAACAAGATTTAGGTAATGCACACGACATTGCTAACATTTACAATCAACTAAATTAAACTTAAGAATTACTTTCCTACTTTACTTTTTTACTTAGTAACAACATTATAATAGTGGGGGGAAAGGGATTGTTAGTAATAGAGACTGAGAATCACATTGCTAGCAATATACCCAACCAGGTCGACCTACTCGCGGTTCCCCCTGGAAACTATCATGGTTAATTCCTGATAAATTCATCATGATGGGCTAACTGGCCTGTTTTCATTCTCATCTATCACCCTTCACTGGTGCTCCGCCAGCGTATCCCGTTAGCGCAGGCGGGGTTACCATACCAATTTCACCCATCAAAAAAAAAAAAACATTATAATAGTACACACATTATAGATAGGCAGTTATGCAAAATAAAAGTTAAAATCACACGCTCAAAAATGAACTATCAAAGAACCATTTTATTATTTATTTTATTGTAATTTAATAATACTGTAAATGTACACTCACTTATTATGTCCAACTTCTCTAACATTCGTATAGTTCCTGATAATCTTGTCAAATAATATTCCACTGTTATCCATCTAAGAATCCTTGATTCCTCATTCCACCAAGCCGCTAGTTGAGCAAAGCTGAACTCTGGAACTCTCTCATTCAGGATTTGATACATACAATTCTCAAAACTGTAGCTAGAAAGCGCTAGCTCGTGGCGGAACAAGCGCCATACGTTGAATGTTATCCTTCCGATTATTTTTCCCTCGAAATCGTTGTCATCACTCCTCCATCGTTTTTGCCTGCACTTCTCTGTTATTCGAGATATTTCCCTCACTATTTCCATACCCAGTACTTGGGCTCGCTCCAAAATGTAACCCCAGGATTTTGTATCGATTTCATATCCACACATTATATCTGGATCGTGTTTTTTTACTAAATCAATAAGCTTTGTGATAATATCACTTTCACTATTTACGTAAGTTACTTTAGAGTCAAAAACACATCTGTCTAACAATTTTGGTGGTGGTGTATTATCAACTACTATAATTTCTGTGATTGATCTGACAAGATCATGGTTTGCAGGACAGTCATTTGTAACCATGATGAATATAGCTTGTATCGCGTCTGCCGATGGATCGGGATGTAAATCACCTCGTACTGTTGTGAATACTTCCGCGAGCATCAGAGTTAGGAAATCCACCTAAATTATGTAAAAAGTATGTTTACTTTAAAATTAAAACCAACAAGTTGATTATAATAAGAAAGATTTTTTTTGTTGACCAAATAGGCGACGTGCTGAAGAAGGGCCAAATTAAAAGTACTCGTAACCGGCGAGCGTGTATGAAAAGATTGATGAATGTGGAAGAAGCGAAAGAGGTTTGTTTGAATCGAAGCATTTGGCGTTCAATTGTTTCTGCCTACCTTAATGGGAGACAAGCGTGACAGATATGTATGTATGTATGTATTTTTTATTTTGTTACTTTGGAACCTAAACAGATTAGTACATAAATCTAATGTTGGCTCAAAATTAGATTTATGTATCTAATATTTATGTAATTATTACAGCATAGATATAGCTATAGAACTCACTTCAACTGCTGGGGTATCCGTGATACTATCTCTCTGATTATCGCTGCCTCCAAAACATAAGAAAGATCCGTCGGGTTGCATTGTTACTTGGAGACTATTGTTTTCATATACTTTTTCCTATAAAAAAATGTATTGAATTAAGAATTGAACTCAAAACGTTTACAGTAAACATCTTAATTAACTAATGAAACAGTTTATATTAAAATAATAACATAAGTCGGTAAGATACATTCAGAAACAGCTTCTGTATCAATGGGGTCGATTTTGAGGCGTCATTTCTCAAAGCCTATCTCAAAAATTGAAACATCAATTTGACATCACAGTGGAATCTTTGTTTTAAAGACTGATAATTAAATTTCTAATACAATTAAGTCATAAAACAGTAGTTTCGCGGAACAATCAAATTATTAGGTTAAGAGATAAGTTTAAAGAAATGGCGTCACAGAATCGACCCCATTATACAGTTGGTTAAAAATAGGTGAACATAATTAATAATTACCTTATCATTACTTTCTAAGCTAACAGTACTATTGACTGCATCTTCATTAAGTCCTATAACTTGTGAATTATCTATTTCGTCCAAATTTTTAGTAACATCAATATTTTTAATTGTATTAACATTTAGTTCTTTCTGTTTTTTATTTTCTATCCAATTACTAACTTGGCTTCTTGTAGGTGGATTTATTAAAGGTTGTAAGATTGTAATCTTATTTCCTGCTAACAATAATTTTAGAGCATCGGGTTTCGAAGACTCCTCAGACATATCATTTGTCTGTAAAAATAGCATTTGACGCCATTCCTCTATACTCGTTGTATCCAGCACTTTGTCGAAGGGTTTTTGATCCTTAGCTTTCTTGCTATGTAACTTTAATATCATTTGACCTAATTCTATTTTGTCACCAACATCTTTGTGATCGGAATAGTAAGGTTGAGGATGTTTTATTTTCGGAATGCTATATTTTTCAAGACTAGACACAACATACTGTCTTGTTGGTGGTCTTATTTTTGGTGTCAAAATAACACAATCATGATATTCAGAATTATCCCTGTACTTTATTTCTGACATTGACTTATTCTCTGCTTTTATATGATTCTCAGAATTTACAGAAGTAGTTACATTATCAATTTTATCATGATCTAGGGACACATCAAATAACTTTGAGGTGTCATAAAAACTTATAACTCCGAGATTATTGTCATCTACAGAGGATTCAAAAGAATCGTTAAAAGAAATGTCTTTAACATGGTTTACTGTAGAGGTTCCAGCTGTAGGAACAAAATTGTTTTGTATATCATAAGATTCAGCTGCTTTATATATAACACTTTCATGTTTTATTGATATTTTATTAACTAATTCTGAAATTGATTCATTGTCTGTTTTATTGTTATCTATTTCATTTGTACTATTTGTAGAATTTTGCAAAATACTTTCAGGTTCTGATTTTATTGACTTTTTAAGATGCAAACTAGATATATTATCAATTGTTTCTCGAGAAACATTAATCTCATCTGTGTCACTCATGTTTAAAATGAGATGTTCTTTAAAATTAGTTTCACTATGATTTTTCTTGGGGCGCGGTAATCCTAATTTAAATGGTCTCATTTTTCTTTTTCTTACTTTTTTAACATCTGCAAATTGTAAAAATTAGGTAAAGTATTTGTATAAATACAGTGAACTTTGAATTTAAATAATACAATAACACTTACGATCATCATCGCATGTTCCATCAAGCTGTGATATATTGGCGCGTTCCCAAAACGAATCATTCCAATCTGATGAATTGTCTTCACAAATATCATCACTGAAAATATGAAAATTGTGAAAAGTATGTTAGCACCACATTTAAATAATAACGTCAAATTATATTCAAAAATGGCTAAGATGATGATGATGATGCACAATAATTATATGGCTGTAACATGTTTCAAAGTCATTATGTGCATTGGTAAAAATAACTGAAGTAATTAGATTAGACTTAGAGAGAAAATTAAAATTATTATTACTAATATTAAAATTATAACAATATTTACTTTTTAAACAAGTCCATAATTATAGTTTCCTCATTAAATATTTGTGAATATTCAGCATCATCTAATTCAACTTCTTCATCTTTGTTGCCTTCTGCTGGAGTTCCTATTACACTGTCCTCATCTTTTACATTTTCATCCATATCTTGTAACATGTCAACTAGTTCTAAGTCTTCACTGTTTACTGTAATTATTAAGGAAATTGAACACAAGGGAAATACATAAATTACTAACAAGTAGCAACATAATAGATTATTACTTATTTTTAATTGTGCAATTTATAACTACTTCTTTTACTTTTATATTCCCATTTTCTATAAATCTGGTGCTTTTCACAAGCTTATTACACATTAAGATTTAATTCCGTTTATACAGTGAAGCATCATGGTGTTCTAAATCATTATAATAATAGGGTATGATAATATATGATCACATAACTAAATAAAAACCATGAATAAAAATATTTAAAGATTATAAAACTGACAAGCATTTAGAATTCATGTTAATACATCTTGTAATATTTTAAAATAATGTTTTTGTGTTTTATTTATATCTACAACTATGAATAAAAAAATGTAATAATACTATAAACCTTAATTTATTTACTTACACAATACCTGACTATAATGTAAGCTGCAGTTTAAAGCAATATCTTCATCCACAATGGTATCATTCATGTCTCCAGTAAGGGTTTCATCTAAGTTGCCTCTTAAAGTCTCATCAAAAGTAACAGGAGTTTGTTTATGAGGTAAGTGTATACTTAGGTCCACTGCATCAATTAACTGTGTACCATCTAGACTTTCAGCTGGATAATATATCTTCTCAGATTGCACTTTTTCTTCAGACTCAGTTTCTACAGGCTTATCAATTGCTCCTGACAATTTAATCAAACACATTTGTTGAAATTTGTAGTGTGATTCTGTCTCCTCTGCTCCAATTCTCCCCTGGGACAATGATTTTGAGGCAATAGACATATTTAATTGTTTTCGTCTTTCATTCTCTTGGTTCCACACTTCTTCTAGTCCAGGATTTTCTATGCCATCTCCTTTACCTATTCTTTGCTTATTAATAATATGAGAAGCCATACAATCTACTTCATAGAAGCATATACTTTCAGGTTTCAGACAATCATTATCATAACTCTGTATAGGTTCATTACTATTTTGTGATAATCCTGATTTGCGAAATTTAACATTTTGTAAGTCAATATTGCTCATACCAAAAAGATTGAAATCTATAAAAAATTGCAGGGTAAAGTTAAGATGAGATTCATGTGGTTGCAACACATGTCCAAGAATAGCTCCATTGCTACATAATTCAACAGCTTGTTTTAGCAAATTAGGACTGTACAGAAAAATTTTAAGATATAAGTGGTCTTTGTCATGGTATCCATAAAAGGGTCTGAAAGAAACATAAGAAAGTATTTTAATACAATTTTCTTGTTTTAGTTTGTCAATTATTGATCATAAATTACTAGAAAATGATTATCATAATTATAAAGTAACTGTAATAGTTATTTAACAAAAATTAATTATTTTAATAAAAATGGTCTTACAATCCTTTAACCAGTGATATCTTGTAAACATGTTGGTTTGTTGATGTTGCTTGTTTCAAAGCAATATTTAAAGCTTTGTCTAAGCTAGCTGCTATCTGAAAATATATTGTTAGAACTTCATAAGTACACATTATAGATTATTATTGTTGTGTTCGTGCTCACATCACAGCCACTCACACAAATGATACCGAATCTAGTTGAATTTTTTTTACTAAATTACACATAAGTTAAACATTGAAAATATACAAACTTTACAAACTAAAGTATACAAACTTAAGCTATATATTTAAAAAAAATTTAATATCATAATACTTTTATTGCTTTCATTATTATTTCAGCTATTATCTGACCACTGCTAACCATAGGCCTCCCCTTACACTGCTATATGAAACAGTCCTGAGCCACTTGCCTCTACTGAGTCTCTGTAATGCATTTGAGGTTGTTACTCCATCTAGTTTAACATCTATCTCCATTGCTTTACAAACAATAAAATTTTAATATATTTATTTTATTATATACATATATTACATACTTGATAGAGAAATTGAGGTTCAGGATTTGTAGATGGACATGGTACATAAAAGTATGGAAAAACACCATGTATATGGATACATGCTTTCTTGCCATCCAATGCAGGTCCAAATATTCTTAGGATTGGAACCTATAATAATAATAAAGAGAATAAATATTTTAAATACAGAATAAAGCAAATTTAGTATCAGAAGTAATGGGAGAAATATATGTGATGTATATAATAAATTTTTTTTTACTTAGCACACAAAAAGTTTAAATAAGTTTATCACAATCTCAAGCATTAAGCAACATAAGAGCTATATATCTATCAATACTAATTTACTATACAGTGTCTATATAAATGTATATTATTATATACATTTATATTGGTTGATTGTATAGTAAATTATATGCATTTTCAGTTAATCAGTATTAAAATTAAAATAAGAAACAATATGGCTATGAAATTGGGTTATATTGGGTTATAGAATTCTCACCTGTTTTATGTCTGTACCTCTGAAGTCAGAATAAATAACGTCAAGGCTCGGATCAGGTTTGGTCAAGTAATGATCACAAACAACAATACGGACAGAGAATTCTGCTTTTGGTATATTTGTGGCTATAAAAATATTCAGTAATATAAGATTCCTTTTACATAAAGTAGTAAACTAATAACACAGAATAATATATGATTGCATTTATAAAATGGCAGCAGGTTATATCAACCATATTTGACTTATATATTCACTCTTGCACTTATGGAGAAAATCTACTAGAGGTATTGTATTAGTAATAATTGTTTATTTTAGTATATTTATAAGATGCGTAAGAAGGAAAAGGATTAGTGTAAATAATTGGGGGCAATTTAAGTATGTATGTGAATGATTGTAAGGACAGATGAAGACTTGAAAGTGGTGGTTGGATTGTGTGAAAGAGAATATGACTAAAATGGAATGAATATTAAAATCAAAGCTCAAAATATAACTTCAAATAAAGATGATTTAAAAACATTAAGCAGATAACAAATTACATAAATGCAGGAAGATCATGAATCTTAATATTGTTTTCCGTTATCTACAATATTTACTTACACTTAGAGTTGTTCATAGTCTACAATAATAAAATTCAGTATGTTAAAATTTGAATTTAAAACAGCATAGAACAAATCGTTCATGAGTTAAAAAAACCGGTAAGAAAATCGTGCCCCTTTGGCGGAACGATACAAAATTGAATGGATCATGACAACCTGTGTGACATTGTGTTGGATAGTTTTAAATTAATTAATATTAAACAACTTTAAAGTGGACCCGAGCAAATGTGTTAACAAAAATTAAAGAAAATCATGAAAATAAACAAACAAAATGTGTTGATCATTCATGATTATTTCGCAGTAAATGTGACAGTGTCATAATGACACTACTGTATGACATTTTAGCTGATATTTGACATCAGATATCAAAGAGTGAAGTAAAAAAACTTGTCTATGCTAAACTAAAAAACAAAACATTAATGGCATAATTAGAAACAATCTTTAAAACATTGAAGTAATACTAATATCATTTTATGATAATTCCTATTTCTATTTCTTTTGTTTCTTTTATAATAACTTTAATAAAATAAAATATACAAGGAAGGGAAAGGCAATATTTCCAGTTCTTCTAAATTATCTATGCGAAATATTATCTGTGACATGTGACATCATTCATTTTTCATCAATCAGTCAGTGAGTCAGTTAACAACTAAATTGGTCGTGTATTGTGTCTTGTGACAAAACTCATCTCGCTCGTTTTAAAAAATTTACGTATCGTACATTCTATGCTTGTTTCTTATTATACTCAAACTAATTAAAAAATATTATTTATTTAAAAGGTTAAGCTATAATTTTTGATTCAAACAAGCTGTGTGTTAGGAAAGACTATCAAGTGATTGTGGCATTTGTAATGTTATGAATTTTTCGAAAAAATGAAGTGTTACCACAACGTCGAAGACTTTAATAAAAATTCCATTACAATTAAAAGATAATTTTTTTCTCATATGGACGATGGATGATGAAGAAGCTGATTTACGGGAGCAGATATTTCATAACAATGTTAGAGAGCAGATTGTGAGTTTATTTGCATTTATTGTCGGTAAAGTTAACAAAGAAAGAGTGCAGTGTATCCAACGTGTAATCTGTTGTTATGTTTAGATAGTTTGTACACACTATGTGGAAAAATAGACAAATGATTTTTTCTCTAGTCTATTACTTTTACTGTGTTGTTGGGTAAATTTGAACTCAAACAATGTGTAATTTGTATACAAATGTAATATATATGATAAAACTTATTTCTTTTAGATTTTCCTGCTTCTCTTCATTTTACTTTACCTCTTCTCATTTATGGTGATTGAGAAGTTTCGACGGCGTGACAGTGAGGACTGCTTTACGGCTGATGAGGATGAGGTGAAGGTATACCGAATAAGCCTGTGGCTGTGTACATTTGCACTAGCTGTATCATTGGGTTCTGCACTTTTGCTGCCAGTATCAATAGTCAGTAATGAAGTGCTTTTACTGTATCCCAATAGTTACTATGTGAAGTGGCTCAACAGTTCATTGATACAAGGTAATTTATATATTTATATTAAAATATGTCTCAAGTGTAAATATAATGACAATAGTTGTAGCAAAATTCTAATATATTTTTTCTGTTAATATAATAATTTTAATTACAAATATTAAATGAAAGTTTGTTCTAAAATTTATACACCTAGAGGATGGAACTTGTCAAAATACATAATGACAAAAAAAAAAACAACAATTAGACTACAAATGTTTATATAAACAACAGGAATTTAATTATCTTACTATTGTATTATTATTGTGTTATATTATGTAAGTAATGTAAATATTATTATAGTATTTATTTTATTATCATAACTGAAAATGGATAATCAATTCTTTTTGTAATATGTGGTTAATCCATAATAATTAAGATATTAGTAATATTTTTTTTCTAAGAAGGGCAATCTACATTAAACAACAATAAATATATCAAAACCTAAAAAAATTATCACTAAATAGATTCTAATGTATAACTGCTTATTAATAATGTTTTACATTGTTTCAGGGCTATGGAATCATGTGTTCCTGTTCTCAAATCTGTCAATGTTTGTGTTCTTGCCTTTTGCATATCTATTTTCTGAGTCATCTGGTTTTCCTGGATGCAGAGGCTTAAGAGGGCGAGTGTATGAAACATTTCTAGTGTTGGCTCTACTTGGTGTGGCCATGTTAGGTCTGGCATATGTAATCTCAGCTTGGTTGAAAGGAGACCGTTCCAGTATTGAAGCTTTACTTAGTAAGTAATATTACATAAAATATCTATTTACATTATATTTTTCATTTATTTTATCAAATATAGGTAATTTTAATCTCATAGTGCATCTGGTTGTATAGGCAAATAATATAAAAAAAGGTAACTAATCCAGGAAACATTGTTTTGCTCCTTATATATACTTACCAGTATAATTTTGTTATCTTTATTTAAGCCCAAAGAAAGAATATACACTTATAATATTTCATCATATTGGTTGAGCTGTTTTGGAGATTAGTATGAATGAACATCATAATATGGGTTTTTTATACTAAAATATACTGCCCAATGTACTTGCATAGGTATTTTTTAATATTTATATTATAGGACAAAAGTAAAAGAACTTTGTATATTTGTTTTTTTTTATTACAGTAACTTATTCAAAGTTAGATAATATTGTATGAAATCATACACTAATCTATTATTAGTATTTAATTGTGCATGAAGAGGAGCATGACGGGTCTGTGTCAATGTTAGTAGGGTGTGCTTTTGTTCACTACTGTACACAGGAAGCTACAATGTCACAATAGTAGTTTAATCATATTGATTTAGTAACCAATAGTTTAGTAATCCACTTTTAGATCACTTATTGATGTATCAATTTGATTATTCTGTGGGGGTTATTATCAGGCACTCTGTAGATGGTCATGCACACATTTATTGTCACTTGTAGAACAAATACCTGTTTGACTCTAAAAAGCCATTAGACTTATATTTGATTATTAGAATACTTTTTATATGCTTAAATTATAGTTTGCATCTAGTAGTTGCAAAATTGAAAACCAGAGTCAAATTAGGCACCTACAAAAAAATCCCTTTTGTAGTTACTGGTGTAAAAATATTGATAAAATATAAATTTCTTTATTTCTCTTTTGTTGACAGATCTATGGACATACTTACCGTTCCTATATTCGTGCGTGTCGTTTGTGGGTGTTCTGATGCTGCTAGGTAAGTCCTGTTTAATATACTAGACATACAGTATAATTGATGGGTTTAGCCAGTTTATCTCTCTAGAATTCTTCAAATTAGAAAAGTAAAAAAGTAGCCTTATATATCAGTCTTCCTTGCCTTAAAAGTCACGATTTTTAACAAGATTTTGCATTTTGTATAATGCGCACAGCGCCATTCATCTGTGCGTTTTGTTTAGTTTGAAATAAGAATAATGATATTACTAGTCAATATTAATTTGTCAGAATTGAAGTTAGTGAATGAAACAATGTAATTGTTATAAAGTATTTGAGCTGTTAAAAATACATATAAAATATGAGTACGTATGATATATAGTAGATTATTTATGGTAGTGTGATTACTTATCAGTTAATTAATCCATATTACTAAAAGATTAAAGTATATGTAGATGGTATTTAAAAAGGTACTGCAAATGACGGAAGAAGTGTATTTTATTAAGTTATTATGATGTTTGATAAAAAAAGAAGGTCATCAGTAAAAGTATAATTTCTTTTAATATGCGTATTTGTATTTTATAATATCGTATCGATATAATGATACTTAAACAAAAAAGTATTTATATTTTGCTAAAATATCGTTTAGGTATCATAATGACCTTGTGTAGGTCATTGACCTTTGTTTAGTGGAATCACAATAGATATTTATAAAAAAAACACGTCTCAAAAGTTTATTTTCAGATATAGAGCAATGTCATAAATACCTAATATTATTTGTGATATTTTAAAATTGAAAATTAGACCTTTAAATAAATAATGATATTCATACATATTTTTTGCGTATATCCGACCAAGGAATTCTCCCACAATTCTCATTTATTTTTGAAACGTCTACACTAAACAAAAATTGAAGTAATAGTAAAGTATAATCGGGGAGGTCTATTTTTACCTATTTATTGAATATTTGTGAAAGAGAGAATAATGAAGAGACTCTACGTTTTAGGGATTATTTTGTCTACCAATAACTACCCCGTATGAACTTATAAACTGGTACTATTTTAGTATACTAAACATGTACTCAATAAAAGAGCGATTACATTTTAAGAGTGAAAGACTTTAAGTTTTGAATGTATTCCTAATTTTATATGATCCTTTATCATGTGAATACTGTCATGTGAGTTTTGGATCTCAGTTTTAAAAAGTTTAAAAAATTCTAATTAATCAATGCGTCAAAGTGAGAATGAAACCTAGCATTACACACACTTAGTTATATTCTCACTTTGACATTGACTTTAATATTAAGTTAGGTATGTATTACTGAAGTATGTAATACCTATTATTAATGATGTAATATTTTGTCGTAAGCAGGTAATAGCCACCACCATCTTATTCTTTAGTTCTTAGCCAAGTTCCTACGACTAATAATCAGGTTTTATTAATGTTCAACAGTACTCAAGTTATTTTCGAGAGATTTCAGATATTTTTTTTCTTATTTCTAGTTATTCTCTACAGTACATAACATTTTTATGTTGATTGTGATGTGTTAATAATTTATTCGACCTTCGTACCGTATCAGGCGTTTACTTTGTTATCTCAATCAAAATTATTGTTCATTCTATTATATTAATTTCATGGGAAGATTTCTTAATTTCCTCTATTTTTTACTGTAATTTTTAAAATACTTAAAATTATCTTTTTTATTAGTATGTGTTAAATATTTTTTTTATCTTTATACGGTACGATGTGAAATTCACTGAATTAATTTTGATGACTTTTACATTTAGATTATATATATTTCGGTTGATATTATGCTGTAGAAAATTTTAAAACACTACAGTTATACTGGTTTAACAGATTTGAGTGAAGTTAATGGGTACGGAGTATTGGAGGCATTGTACGTGATATTTCAGGAAAGGCAAAACATCAGTGGTTCCATTGGTATCACAGTGTATGGAATTGGTCATAATAATATTTTAGATTAACATAAATTTACTTGTTATTGCGATAATATTTTATATGATTGGCATTGGTTAATTTTGAACTTTCGCGTTGTTTACACATATTGCTAAATACACAATCGGGACTTAACGTAATGAAAAAGTTTTTACAGATAAATAATACCTACACATTACGTGGTCACGACAGTCCTGTCGTGACTACGACGTGGTGCAATCCACGTCGAAACGTCAGTAATAAAAAAGCAGGAATGTAGGTACTATTTAAAATAGAATTTACCTAATTATAATGTAAAAGCTTTTTTATCGCGTTAAGTCCCGAGTGTGTATTTAAAAATATGATTGGAATTATTTAGAAATCTTCAAAAGAGCACCAAGACTTTGTATATATGCGGGCGAAATATTAAAAATGAATTTATTAACAATATAGATGCAGATATACATCTAAATAGATGTGGCAACTGTATGTATTTATTGATAAAAACAGTATTACAGATGACATTTTTAAAGGGTTTTGGTATTTCTCGCAATAAACTCTTTTAAAAATACCTTCACAGTAAGTAGTGTCATGCCTAACTTTCATATAAATTGAGGGATTCGCATCGTCTGTCTTAATACCTTTTTAGTGTAAAACGCTTAACATATACTAGAAGGAAACCGAAATTCACGTAAGCTAAGCCGTAGTTGATAACACGTATATATTTATCAATTACTATCAGTTATTACTATTAAATGAACAACATGAACTATTAAGTAACATTTAATTACATATTAAGATAATTCACCTACGTACGTCTCGTTCGGATGTCCCTACATCGTAGATAACAAATGTGCTCCAGTTAATTTATATTGTAATTAGGTATGTCTCGTTATCACAAATAATGTATATTGTAATATTAATGAGTCGTTAACATTTCAAGATTAATTCTATTTAGAGTTGCGCTCTGTACAATCCATAAATAGAGCAAGAAGCTCGAGTATCTCGTAACTTTGAAGATCTGAATGTTCCATTAATGAAGAAATTTTCACCTGTCCCAAAAAGGAGTGTAATATTATTAGAGTTTATGTATGTATATGAGTTTCTTTATTCCACTATAACTTCTAAATGCGTGAAAAGAAAAGTGAAAAGTATATATATATATATATATATATATATATATATATATATATATATATATATATATATATATATATATATAAATGTGCTTTTTTGTATATGTATTCTTTTATCTCTTTTTTTTGTGTATGTCTATCTATATCTATTGTTATTTGTGTGCTGTAATGCAGACAAATTATCTAGGTATCTATATATCTATTTAATAGAAATAATTGAAAAACCTTCACGTCACAAAAATCTTTCACGACTATAGACTGAACCTAGTGTACAGAGTATTAAATCAGTATTAAATATAATTTTTGTTACATAAAGAGAAATAAATTATTTGCATTTGTGATAAGTATAATTACCTAATTTTCACAAAAGCCCTGTAATCCATTTAATATCAATTACCTAAGTATAATTAAAAACAATCTCTGAAACGGACATTATTTTGTACCGAATACTGATTAATTATCCTCCTCAATTTCCTGTTTCTTATTGAGAAAGTATTCAATAAGGTCCTGGTGTTGGGGGAATGTTTCCTCTAATTCCTTTTTGTAATGTTCCATTTCTTCCATCTCGTCCAGTTCCTTATGTGCCTTTGCCTTATACAAGCGGGCTTTAAAGCTCTTCTCATTAAGACGCAAGGCTAAATCGCAATCAGCGAATACCTGAAACAATTAAATTCGTTACACGTCTGTAATAGATTTTTATTAAATTTTTAGGTTTTGTCTAGAGGCCGTCAGCTAAAAAATTATATTATCTATCATAAATGAAGTAATATTATTGTTTTTTTTTCCCATAGCTTAAGAACGAGTCGAGTTCGTGTAGCGAAAGTTAATACATGTGGTTGAACTGTTGGATAGTTAAGTTCAACGATTACAAAAGTTGAAATAATTGGAATACTCGTAAATATCCGAAAATGTCAAATGATTGAATAAAAAGTGAAACATACAGGAAATATTAAAACAAATTGTACAAATATTTTATATTAATTTTTTCTGCAGTTAAAGTCATTAAATAACTAATGTTGTATATCTTGAGCAGTAATAATGTTCTCACATACGAGATGCAATCTATAGCATTATTCTTTCTTACTAGGTATGTGAAAGAATTTTTGGATCGTTTCAGTAGTTCCAGTATATAGAGAATAATTACCCTTTAACTCATCATCGTTTATTTTTTAACATTTATACAAATATACATACATATCTATCACGCTTGTCTCCCATTGGGGTAGGCAGAAACAATGGAACACCAAATGCTTTGATTCAAGCAGATCTCTTTCGCTTCCACCACATTCATCAATCTTTTAAATACACGCTCGCCGGTTATAGGTACTTTTAATTTGGCCTTTCTTTCGCACGTCGACTATTTTGTCGACATACTCACGTCCCTGTAGGCCGGCCGCTACAGGCATCACCATTCATTATTGTTCGATACATTTTCGTAATTCTTCTTTCATCCATCCTCCCCAAATGACCAAACCAACGCAACATCCCCTCATTTCTCTCTATATAAAAACAAGCAATAGCAATGGAAATAAAATATAGTATTATTTATCTATATTAATAATTATATTTCTATCACCCTTCACTGGTGCTCCGCCAGCGTATCCCGTTAGCGCAAGCGGGGATACCATACCATTTTCACCCATCAAAAAAAAAATAGTATGATATTAGTACAGATAATATTACTTCTCTCATGGATAATATGGGTACAGCTTATTGATTAATTTATTTCATAGATTATTTTTATTTTATACATAGGTATAGTGGCACAGGTTTCTTAGTACGATATTGCATTCCGACGGTAATCTTATATCTATCTTTTATATCTACGAGTATTATAATGTAGATAAGAGTACAATTAATCAAAGATAACATTACCAATTTGCCTGCGATCAAATACAATATCAAATTATAGATATTTTTATTACGTTTACCTACCTCATATTTCCATTTTGTGATTGACGTCAGGTCAGTAGCCTATGTCGATAAAAACTATCTTCTGTATCTACTTTCATGAATTTTTCATTGACGTGGGATTGACAAATCGTTTACTGGTAATTGACTTGGAAAGTGAGATTTTGTCTGGTTACTCAACGGAACATTCCGCTTTCCTTTGACGTTGTCGTCGGAAAAGTAGTTCTGTTCCACTAAGTTCAACTGTAAGTTGTATTATTGGAACAACTTTTGTATGAACCTGCATGATGTTTTTCTATAACTCCGTTTCATTACATTAATAATAACATTTATTAGTTACCACTAGTTATTCTGGCTATGGTTGTAGTTGTGTTAGAAAGTCGTATCTATCGTCTGTACACGAATGATAATCCCATACATTAAATGTGTAGGATGATTTCTCAATAAACGACGAGCGACGACCTTAAATGCATTGTTGAGAGTCAATGGATGCAGGTGGCTCAACGTCGAGGCTTTATTGAAAAAAATTGTTATGAATTTCCCTAGATATATAGGTAAAAATGTAAAAAGTGGACAGACTAAGAACTTATGTCATAATTATACTTTTAATTCATTATCGTCAGAGAGAGAAAGGTTTCCCCTCTACTAAACTATATATTGTAGATATTCACTCTTATGCCTTATATAATGTTATTTATAATTAGCAAGCAATTAGGTGAATACCGGAAACTAGTAGAATTTTTAAAAAGATTGATATTTAAAATAACATACAATTTATATGAAAAGGTTTTGCTGGAAGAAATCTCTTATTACAAATAAGCTCGCCTTTGTACATTATGTTTCAAATGAATTGTGATTAACATTATATTTTGTGTACAATAAAGAATATTGATATAGAAACAATGAAACCGAATATAATGCGTATTTTATTTTTAATCTCATTAATTCCAATATCGTCAATATATGATATCTTGTCTATTCGCAAAAAAAAAAAAAAAACTATATAACTATCTCTAATAACTATATTCGATGTCATAAATCGAACTAAAAAAACCCGGGCAAAAACTATTATGTTCTAAAAAACAAAGCCAGAAAAAGGATACGGATAAGATGGAAGAGATAATATACGTTTTACCTACAATGTTTAGATGATATCGATTGGATTACAGTTATTGTTGATATTGATAAACGTTAATTTCATTCGTATCATAAATTAATTTGTAATTGAAGAAAAAAATAAGATAAGTATCGCCTACAATTACTAAATATTTAGTTAGCTCACAACTACAGTTGATTGCAAAATACGTCATAACTTATTTACAGTGCAAAGAATTCATAGTTTAATACTAATATAAATCGATACGTCATTTATAATCATAGAATCAATTTAATACATTACCTAATGATGTACTGTTGATTGATTAATAACTTTTATCCATATGACCAAAGTGCTCACTTTAGTTATATGAGTACGTATAATTGATAAAGATTGAAGTACTTCAAGGTCAACTAAATCAATAAATATGATCACTATATGTACCGTTGATATCGTCTTTAAAAATATTTGTAATGACGTGATGTAGGTAACCATAGAGTCCATCCTTAAGTTTCAAATCTTGTCTTGTTAAAACCGATCTAGTAGTCCAGTTGTAGGATCAACATAAATGTTTAGATTTCGTTCATTTGTCCATCAAGACTTTGTAATATTATTAAAGAAGTTTGAATAAGTTCCTACTTATTCAATTTTTCATGTGAACTTGTGATCCTTCACGTAATTAGTAATAATATTGAATATAAAAAAGAATTGTATCAAAATTTCAGACAATTTGTATTGAGTTACATGTTCATTCCATTCGTTCTGTTAAATTTACCTCATGACACACATAGGGTTCGTATCTAGGTGAAAGCATTTGTGGTATGGCATACAAATTCTTGTATGCCTGAACGAACTAAAGTGTCTAAGAATGGTAGAAGAATGCAGTTGTCGTACATAAAAGTGGCACTGTTTGACTATTGATGTTTTATTATCGACTCAGATAACGTGTCTAAACAATCAACAAGCAAGTAACGATGCAAACGGAGGACGACGACCTTGATCTTAAATAAGTTCCTCTCCGTGGTACTTTGTAGAGATGTGTTACTATAGGATTCTATTATTATGTAGACGATTTGTTATATGGACAAGTTGCTATTAAATATTAAAAATATTTTTGTGTGGAACATGAGGTTCTAATTAATGCTATAGCATGTAGAGTAGCTGATTTTAATGGGAAGTCGTACCTAAGAGTTATCATATATGCAAATCTAGCATTTGCATATATGAAACTATAATAACATCTATATATATATATATATATATAACTAGAAACAATATACATTAACTTTATTAAATGAAATTTTTATACATTAAGGAAAATTGTACATATTTTAAATTTTTAAGTTTTTTTTTACTCTTGAGTTATTTACGAACGATGTTAATTCAGTTGGTTTAAAGCATTTAGATGATCTTAAGATGTTTAGTGACGATCTTTTAAAACGGATTTGTATGGTATTTTATTTACGCTTCAGCGGGTACGCAAAACCATCGTCCAGTAAGTAGATAAGCTATATGAAAGGTTTTCTTGCATAAAAATTCTTGATAGGTGATTCCCTTGGAGTGGAATAATTATTTTAGGCTTTCATATTTCGACTATACTGGTGTGAATTACGGAGGTTGTTTATCATCATACTGTTAACTTACCTTTTGAAAATTTCCCAACTTGATGTTAGTTAGAGCTCGATCGCAGTACAGCATAGGATTATCTCTGACTTGCTCTATAGCACGGTTGTAGCAAGAGAGAGCTCTGTCGTATTCGCCCCTACGGAAGGCTTTTATAGCTTGAGTGTTTAATGTGTCGGCTTTTTCACGGCGGATTTTCCTGTCCAGAGCTCGTTTTTCAGCGTCCTTGCTCACCTCGGCCATCCACGCGTCTTTGTCGATTTCATTCTGACAAAAATGAATAATAAACTCTTATTGTTGAAGACTTAATACCTGTATAGTTTTAAATGTAACGAGGATAGTCTAGGACAGGTCTACCAATCTATAACAGTTAAATAAATCGAATAAATTGTGTTGATTAGGGGGAAAAGGGATTGTTAATAATGGGTTTTAGCAACTCTATTACTAGCAATATATGTACCCTATCACGTCGATGCGGTTCGCACTGTAAACCATTGTGATCGATTCATTAGTGAATTTGTCACGATGGGCTAACTGACCTGCTTCATCTTCATCTATCATCTCTCACTGGTATCCCATAGGTATATACCGATAGCGCAGGTGGGAAAACCATTCTATTATCATCCATTAAAAAAATTGTGTTAATTCTTTACAGAATTAAAATAATAAATTTGCTCTTGAAATTCTAATGCAAATATGTAGGTAAGGTACGTTTATCATACACTTGGAACAATACCAAGTAATGAACTCCAACGTTTTTGTTTTTAGAGTAATTAAAATTCATAAGAGTGTCTCTTCGAGATATTTAGGTGCTGAAGCACCTAGTTGTGATGACACAATTCTGTAGTACAGTGATAATAACTGATTATCTTTATTAATATAACAAAATTATAATTAGACGATGTATGTACACGAGAGATATTGAAGAAAAATTAATATGAGGAGTCTTAATAAGAGCAATAGGCGAAAAAACAATGTATGTCCAGTCTGTCTGTATGTTTGTATTAGCATCACACAAAAACTACAGCATCAAATCGAATGCAGTTTACATAGTTATATTCCTGAAGGTCTAACTTATACGTAGACTTTAAAAAAAAGGGGGCAAACGAGCTTGCTTTTCACCTGATGGTAAGTGACTTCCGTCACTCATGATCACCCGCAACACCAGAGGCATTGCCGGTGTGCTGCCAGGCTTTTAAAAAGGAATACGCTCTTTTTTTGAAGGTTACGATATTGTGTCGGTTTGTGTGTTTTATCGTGATATGTTATTATAAAGTGGTTTATATCATTGGTTTTCCTATTTTTGAACTCCACGCGTATGAAATAGTGGAGATAAAGCTAGTCATCAATATTTATGTTGGAATCAAGTAATATGCATATAGTTTCTTTACATATGTAAAATGATACTCTACATACATAAATGTAAAGTTGTAACGAGGTCAAGACTACTTGTACACACAAAAATACACATTTGATAATTCCATAGTTTGCTAAAGCTTCAACAATTAATAGCTGATCAAAATATTTTTTTTTTCAAAATCATTTGCGAGATTCTGCATACACATACAGTTATATTACACATATTGATAGATCAACCGATTTCTATAGCATTATCAAGTTGTTAGTAGAATAGAACACTGCTATTTGTTGAAGCATTACGTTAAAGTGGTTTTTATCCAGGTTTAATAACGGAATTGATAAATTGAATTTCTAACATGGTAGACCGATAAATTAAAATCATGTACAGACAGAATGTGAATACCAAAAAAATAAATTTAGAAAGAACTTGGCTGTATAAAATTCGAAAATCAGGAACACGTGTTCGTTGTTTAGTGATATAACATTTTTTACCAATATTACGTTTACCTTCGTCAACGCAAATAGAAAGAACAACAAATATGCATGAACATGAGCGAGATACGTATTTATTTATAGAGGAACGGGAGCCAAATTGCTTTCACTGATAAAATAATGATAAGTACCCAGTTGGCATTGTATTTATAACTTAATGAATGTACTCTACATAAGCGATCTAGATCAATATCATGCGCGTCATTGCATTATGTTTGGCATCCCATCCATGACGAGTATGTAAAATGTCTCGTTATTTATATAGGGCTTCGTAGTACGACCTACTTACATTACGATTATTATAGGCATAGTGATAACAAATAATTCAGTATTACGTACAGTACTACAAGTGCCGTTTCTCACTAATTGTACAAATTGATTCGAACAGTGAAGTCATTCACAGCAATAAATTATTCTTCTACGCCGCACTTAGTAGATCGAACGTAAAGCAAAAATATGCGCAATACCTAATGTGTTCATGTTGTTTTATTAATCGCTAGTACATTATTTATATGTAATGATCTTTATATTCTAAACAAGTATTTAGAGAAGGTCAATAGATCATAATTTAATGATAGTAGGTGGTGCTGCATAATAAATATAACAATAAACTAATCGCTCACCGCATCTTTGTTTTCAACATATTGGAAAGCTTTTTTATTTATTACTGTACGATCGTCCTTCACTTTTAATTGTATACCGTCGTCAGTGATTACTTTTCCTTCGAGATATTGGTCTGCCCGAGTTTTCGCTGCCTCAGCCCTCTCTTTGTCACCACTTGCAAGATCCTTTACTATATTGGAGACGTCGCCAATTCTTTTCATGAAGTTGTTCCATTCTTCATTTAACTCCATTTGTTTATGATCTTTCAAGGCTGGGTTGGACAGTACGTTGTTAAGGCTCATTTTTTTTTATATAATACGGAATATAATGGATAAATATTTAGCGATTATAATAGAAGTCTCCTCGAAAATGTTTACTGAATTCTTGACACATTGATGTAACGGTGTTCATAGCAACCGTTGTCAAGATTTTTAATATGTTTTATAACCAGTTCGTATGCATGTAGATTGTTTGAATTTATCTTTATACATTTCCTGAGGTGAATTTTGAAGATTAATTTCTATCAAATACCACCAACAAATATACTACGAATTTAATGTAATAAATGTACGCACCTAAAATATTGTATTCCCACAGGCTTAGTCAATTTCAATATTCTTGTCTAAGGTTGATAAACCTATTTTTTCTCGAGCTTCTCTGAGACAGAATACGTTAATTTTTTTTATACGACTTGGCATGACAAACTAACAGGTGACTGAAGGAAATTGGCATCCATTACATATATCTTTCTATAACGGTGCATATTAACATAATTAACATTGTTTCAGTGTTTACCCCACTTGGGTTCGTTCGTCTGTTTGGCGTGGTGGGTGGCGTGCTTGTGAAACCACAATTCCTGAGAGATCTCAACGAGGAGTACTACATGTATTCGTTTGAAGAAGATACGATAAAGCGACGGATTAACAATGCCGTTTCTACTGGTTTGAAATTATTATATTTTTTAATAATAATAAATAATTACGCTGAAATTGAAATGTTTATATTGGGTTTACACAATATGGCAGTGGTATGGTTTACATATAAAATCACTCCGAAAATGTATAAATTAAGATTGCGTTCGAAAAGATATCGGCTTCAATTGTGGCTAAATAGAAGATTTTGATAAAATTTCTATAGGACAAATCTCTAAATATATCCTTTTAGGTAAAAAATATCTAAATCGGTTTATAACAGATGGATTTTTGAGGTAACAAACATACCTTCTCCTTTTTTGAAGTCGGTTGAAAATTGAGCAAAATAAAGCAAAAATACAGGTGTAATTGTATTTGTTTAAACCACTTGTAAACTGCGGCTTTTATGCTATATCTATGTCTATAATCCAGGAGATCAGTTTGTATATTACATTCAAATCCGTTCAACCGTTCAAATGAAATTGTTTAACAAAAATCGAAACAATTTTCACAATCTTTAAAAGCTCTAAAAATCTTTATAGTAAGTAGTTTTCTTTAAGTATTTATATTTGTATAGTTTTTAAAGGATTTTGGAAGGACAGATCCTAGCATTTTGTTGACTCTTTTTTTTTAATTATTACAAGTGATGCGACATTAAAAAAACAACAAACCCCAACATTTTTATTTAAACTTTCGGATTTGTCAAAAGATTTGCTAACAGGATTTGCGGAGTGGTTTTTAACAGCTTTTAACATAACATCACATTTGACGTCTATTTGATCACATCGAATAGACGTCAAACGTGAAATAAGTTAACATCCATTTAACGTCTAAGAATAAGAATAAGGCCGTGTTCACAAGCATTCATTATTCACAACAGAACTTACGTTCTCCAATAAAGTAAATCTACGACGAGTTATAGTGTACCTACTTATAGAAAGTTCTAAATAGAATGATGTCTACATACATATGTAACGGGAAATTAATGAACTTGTATGTTTATTTTTTATATTTTTTTTATGCAACTTAGAATGGCAAACGAGCTGACGGCCCACCAGATGGAAAGTGGTAACCGTCGCCTATAGACATGAGCAGTACCATGGACATAACAAAGTATACTGTTTTGCTCATGATATCCCCATGCGTTGCCATTCCTGAGAACTCAGGTGTTATTCCTCTGTACTCTGTAAATTTACTACCATACCCCACTCTTCAAATCGAAACACAGCCATGCAAACACAAATGCTTCACGGTAGAAACACGAATGGGACAGAAGTGGCCAAGCAAACGACTTTTGTATAGTCTCCCTCTCTTTGTGTGTGTAGACATCGGATAAAAATGAACATAAAATAAAAAAAAAATTAATTAGAAAGATTAAAATAGTTCTCTTTAACCGCTGATGTAATATTATTATACAATTGCAATAATACATATTTGTTTATTAGATGTACTGTTTACTACGTAATGTTCACGGCAGAAGAGTTCTTGATTGAACTATTCTTTCGGCGCCGTTTTATTTGCGTAGGTGAGCATGTGACAAAAATACAGACTTTACTAGAATGAAACTACCGCTTAGTAGAATATTCTTAGAGATTTCGTGATAAAACCACGACTTACAAGCAATGGAGGGTTTGGTTTCTTATTTTCAAATAATATTAGCATTTAAGTTATATACTTTATATTGAATTTGGTTATAATAAATGTTGAACAAGGATGTGCGTGCATACTTTAAAATACTAAAAAGTTATATATTGTTGTGTATATATATATATATATATATATATATATATATATATATATATATATATATATATATATATATATATATATATATCTTTATTGCACTAAAACATACAGTAACAACAATAAGTTAATAACATATTAAAAATTTCAAACCTCTAATATTGTTATTTTTAATTTCTATTATGAATAGCTGTTAAGAAAAGATCTTTTGAAAATCTCTTGGGACGGGAGACGACGAGTATTCGCAATAGAATTAAAATCTTGAAAAATAAAAATGTGTTACTTTTTCAAACGGTTATTATTATAATTTGATACTTCCTATTACGTGACTCTAATGACCTCAAAGCAGACATCGACGTATTCGTAACGGTGGTGTTAGACATTCTGGCAAGATGCTAAGTTAGAATTATTTCTCTATACTTTTTGTTTGTTTATATGACTTCTCTGGCACTTGCCTTATGTCTTTGTTTTGTTGAAATGTTAATATGGAATGAAACAGTTCTTTATATTACTGGGATAATTAAATAGTCGTGGACTCGGTTTGTAATTTCATTTGATAGAAAGATGTGACCGCTGCTTATGTATAGCGTGATACGAAACAAGAAGCAGAAGTTAATAACAGTATTCGGAAAACTGAACTATTTTTTTAGGAATATACGAGTAAGTTAATTTGTAAATTAAAAACTGGTTTTAATTTTTATGCTTCATAGTTTTTAGATATGATGAAAATGTGTGAAAAAAATCTAAAATAATGACAGTTTATAAAAGTATATGTGAGTATTACATGAAAAATTAAACGATGTTCCTAACTAGCATCGAAAGAAATTATGAAAATACTTAAAAAAACACATTTAATTATGCGGTCGAGTTTTGAACCACAATTATGACCCAAAATACAAAATTATATCAATAGTATCAATTATAATAACCTAATAGTTCAGTTGAACTCACCACCATTACTTCCATTTTTTTTTAATGATTGATAATGGTATGGTAACCCTGCCTGCGCCATCGGTATACGCTGGCAGGGCACCAGTGAGGGATGAAAGCAGGTCAGTTAGCCTATCGTGAAGAATTCCACTAAAATTAACCACGATGGTTTCCAGGGGAAACCGCGTGGAGGTCGACCTGACAGAGTGTATTGCTAGCAATAGGTCAGTAAGATCCCATTACCAATAATCCTTTTCCCCCATTTCCATTATTTAAGTTTTACATTTGATTATTCTAAGTTAGTTGTTTAAATGTTAAGTAGGTACTTTAGGCAGAGGGAAAGCCAGAATAGCATTCCATCTTGTCCATGCCAAACAGACACCGATTTTAACAATAGTAAATGATTACATACGATCTTCAAGTTATTTTATGACGATGCCTCTCTTCGGTACGTTTGCTGCCATAAACGTTACTTTCCCTATTGATGTAGACGGGTCGCTGTTTTCTATAATTATATTTCCAATATATCAGTATTGTCAATACCACTTGGAATATATGTTTTGACTCTCACATAGCTGTTTTCTTCGCTCGTGTAAATATTATGAATACCTACCATTATCATGTATATTAAAAATAGAGTAACATAATAATAACATCGAATTTTTCAGTCAACTCTAGTCGTAACTATGCATTTTACTAATATTTTCTAAATATCGATGTTGGAGACATTTGAATGTTAATGGTTGAACGGACAATTTTAAAAAATTATTATTATTATATGTGTATGAAATTTGTGTCAGTACTGGCTTACAATTTTATTATGATTTTTTTTTATATTAATTCCCTGGGATAAAAGATTACATATCGTTTATTATAAATTTTTTTTCGCGATTCATCTAGTAGATAAAAACGCAGGCCAAGGTCTAATACTAGTGTCATACAACATATTTGAGATTCAAGCTTCAAGCAGAATCAAGAGATATATGCAATAGATAGATATACAATTGTTATAGTTGGTTATTACGTGCCTGTTTTGTTCATTTATAAAGGAAATCGAATTAGTTGTACTAGAATTGCCGGTTAATAATTCTTGCAAAACATGATTTGTAAACTATGAAAGTCGATCTTAATTCCTGTTAGGTGACGTCACTACCTGTAGTTTACTAACAAAGAGTCCCCCAATTATTAATAATGACCTCTCCCCTTTGTCCCACTTTATTAGAGGTATAATTGTGTAAGAGGAGATGCCACGGTGATTAACTTTTTGACCTTGACTTTGTAGAATGAAGTAGCTGCATTCTTTTAGGTGAAAGTCGGTGAACCATCATATTTGCTCTCGGTATTATTAAAGTATTATAGTAATGTTTTTTTATGACATTTTTGTTAAGCTACATTCTTAGTTTTAAATTAAATTGCCATTGTATAATCAGCATCATGTGAATTATCGATTGTCCACTGCTCAACATAAGCCTCCCCTGAAAGAGAGGTTTTGCCACGTATGGCAGGCGAATTGGCAACCGCAGTTAGGCTCTGATGATCTTTTAAGAGAGTCATTGTTGCTCATCCCTTAACCATTAAGGCATTGTATAATATTGTACACTATTCAACAGGTGCTGGCTACATAATCCCCGAGCCCATGTACCCAGACCGCGGGGACATTTCGTCTCCCGTAGACTTGGACTCGTCCATGTCAAAAGACGTCAGCGGTTCAGTGTTGTACGATAAGGAGACGCCACTACTGCGACTGAGGAATGGTGCGCTGCAAGCTGGACTTAACGATAGATTGGCGCGAGTCGTCGCTTTGAGAGAGGTCAGCTATTACCGTATTGTGTAGTATATATAAATTTTTTGCCCACGTCTTCGTACGCGGGGATTTCAAAAGTAGGTAAGACCTGAGGGAGTTTACCAGAGGGAGACTTTGTACAAAAGTCGATTGCTTGGGTACCTCTGTCCCATTCGTGTTTCTACCGTGAAGCAGTTGTGTTTGCATGGCTGTGTTTCGGTATGAAGGGTGGGATATGGCGTGAATTTACAGGGTACAGAGGAATAAATAACACCTGATTCCTCAGGAATGGCAACGCATGGGGGGTATCATGGGCGAAACAGTATATTCTGTTATGCCCATGGTACTGTTAATGTCTATAGGCGACAGTTACCACTTTCCATCAGGTGAGCCGTCAGCTTGTTTGCCATTTTAAGTTGTATAAAAAAAAAGGTAAACCAATGAAGTAGACCACTTCAAAATGTCGTATCAAGATGAAAAATATATCAGATTTTAAGTTAGATCTTCAGGAAGAACAACTGAAAGTCGCATTTAATATAGTGCAGTATTTTTGCGTGATGTCGGAATAAACTACAGACGGACCAACAAAAATTCTAAAAATTATTGTTTTGACTTCTATTGCTCTATTTTATCAATTTCTCTTAATGTGTCCAATGTAACTCCAAAAATAAGTTCTCAATTCGGTGGCATTTTTTTTTTGTTTCCTTATAACCCCTCAATTATTAACTGATTTAGAAAATTCTTTTTTTTTTTATCTAAAAGGACTCGCAGATTGGTCTCGTAGAAATTTTATTAAAATCGATTCTGTAGCTTAGTTTTTGAATCAAAACATTTGGTTTAGTTACGGTTGAAGTCTTTTTTTGTGGGACTCTTTGTTTATTTATGTATTAAAATTATTAGCGTCCTTTTAAGAGGATTGTGTTCTATCAGTGACGCTGAAAATCATTTTCAAAAGTACATGGGTCCATAAACGATAAAAAGTATAGTCTATCAGAATAACACGACGCGTCTAGCTTTTCAAATAGTGTGCGAGGCATTTTTATTATTTTTTTTGTATTTTTTAACTGACTCAGAGAAACGACGTGGTTCTCAATTTGGTATTTTATTTATGCTTGTTACTTTAGAACTCTGACATTTAAAAAACGTTTTTTGAAATTTCTTTTAATTGATAGGATAATTTGATATTGGTTCCATAGAAATTTTATTAAAACCGGTTTAGTTGTTTGGTTTTTAAATCAAACTGGTTTTGGCACGATCGAAGTAGGTGTTTTTTGTTAAACAGAATCTACTTATCTCACTGGAGAGTATTTTTTTAATTGATTTCTCAAAATTATATATATATATATATATATATATATATATATATATATATATATATATAATGATAATAGAATGGTAACTTTGCATGCGCTAACGGAATACGCTGGCGAGGCATTAGTGAAGGATGATAGGTGCAAAATAAAAGGACAGGTCAGTTAACTCATCATGAAGAAAACACCTGCAAAACAGTACGATGGTTTCCAGGTGAACTACGGGGAGGTCGACCTGATAGACTATATTGTTAGCAATGGGACTGGTAGTTCGCATTACTAACAGTCCCTTCCCTCAAATATATATATATATATATATATATATATATATATATATATATATATATATATATATATATATATATAACGGAAGTTTTATGAACTTACTTTAATTGTCGTTTTCGACAATTGTTTCAACCTCACACGGAAGTCATCTTCAGGATGAGTGTGGTGCCTAACGTCGCACGGTCACGCCTCGCTTCACACAAGCTAGCAACGACAAACGTAATAAGTTTATTAAGATACTGATAGTGTTTGTTGATAGCGGTGTGATGCTTAACTCTAAAATCTTACAAAAACCCGGGTTATAATCAAAATTTTTTATGACGCAGTGCACATTCAATAAGTATAGATCGCATCGCTTCAGAAATCAGGAAATTCTAGTGTAAATATAAGCTTACTTCACGTCCAACCTTCTACAGTTAACAAGGTTATTTGACTAAACAAATATGTACATATATTTACTCTATACTGGGAAAAATATAATTTTAATCTTTGTAATTTTGTTCATTTGTGTTATAAGTATAATGGTTATAATGATGGAAGAATAGTGGTTTAGTATCATGTCAACCATTTTAAAAATATAGTTTCTTAAAATTTTATTGCAACGTAGATAGGTATATATAGGTACACAATACAATCTCTGTATATATAAGATCATTGGCACATTTTTACTGATGTGAATAATTATTCCACGTGGTGATCTTGGCATTACTTTCTGTTTCATGTCGTGCATTAGCTTGGTAATCTATGCACCTATGTGTTTAAAGATAAAATATAGGTACATAACTCTGCGGGGAAGGAATTGTTAGTAATGGAGACTGAGAATTCCATTGCTAGCAATGTACCCAACCAGGTCGACCTCCTCGCGGTTCTCCCTAGAAACTATCATGGTTGATTCCTGATGAATTAATCATGATGGGCTAACTGGCCTGTTTTCATTCTCATCTATCACCCTTAACTGGTGCTCCGCCAGCGTATCCCGTTAGCGCAGGCGGGGTTACCATACCATTTTCACCCATTAAAAAAAATAGGTACATATTATACTTACGATTCTCTATTTGGATATCTATTACCATATTATCTACACCTGTAAATTTTTAATTTCAAACAACTGGTGAATGCAATAGGCTCGCCCCTGCTTCGTTGAATTTATATCGTGTATACTCGGAGAAATGCGAGCCTATCGTAAAGTGCGTCCACTACAAAAACAACAGCCGACAAATGCCTTTAAATATCAAAATATGATTATCGTCGTAAACATATTTGTTTTATTTTATTTTAAGACGTCTACGTATTATTCTCTATATATAGAGAGAATAGAAGAAGCAAAATGCTGGGCCATCTTAAACGACATGGCCAAAGAGGAAGACTAAGGAATAACTACATGGGACAGATAAAGGAAAAACTAGGTGTCATGTCGTATAGGGAGATTAAAGATATGACCTGGAAGAGAGCTAGCTAGAAGAGAATGTATTAATTAATTGCCCCGACAAGAGAAAACTCTTAAATGAGAAGAGAAGACGTACTATGTCTCTCAGTAACTCTAAAGTTTGATCACTAGAAGAAATCCCTCGAAGAAAAAACCGTCGCTATTGTGTCGGTTTTTTCTCGTTTATGTCTACTCGTATTCTTTGTTATATTTTCTGTACGATATAATTCTAAAAATAAAATCGAATGCATGTTATCTGTAGACACGTAATATATTTTCGTATAGGTACGTGACAATTTAAGAAAAATTGTTTTTAATTCAATTTGTTACGCGATAGGTGTTAATTTACGCTGTAGTTATTCATGCTCTAAAAAGCAGCGATAAGGTAGGACATTTGCGTATTTTAAATTATACAAAGCATGAAGTAAAGTATACAATGAAAATGATCTAAAATTCACACATGATATTCAGGTTACGTACACGTTATGAAAATGAAAGTTTTTGAGTCTGGTAGTTAATAGTGATTGATTAAGTATGGCTATTGAAAAGTATTTTTTTTTTTTTATCTTTGGTATAATTCGGTATATACGGAGTTTTAGCTGTTTGATAAAACTCAAAACTACTTTATATGCCCAGAAGAACAATGGTGACTTCAAAAATATTTAGTCGATGGATGCAGGCGCCTTATGTTCAACAGTTAACAATAAATTTCTTTGTCTCGTTTTTCTTCTTTTTATATTTTTAATAGTACCTACTCATATTTTATCGAGGTTGACGTAACAGGATTTTTTTTATACAACTTAGAATGGCAAACAAGCTGACGGCCCACCTGATGGAAAGTGGTAACCGTCGCCTACAGACATGAGCAGTACCATGTACATAACAGAGTATACTGTTTCGCCCATGATACCTCCCATGCGTTGCCATTCCTGAGGACTCAGGTGTTATTCCTCTGTATCCAGTAAATTCACGATATATTGTTAGCGATGGGGATATTGTTTGCCTTTACTAATAATCTCTCTTCCATATTCATGTACATTCCATCGTAGTTCGTAGTCATCCGATTTTGATAAAATGTAGTTTTATTTATTCGTTACTCTAGTTCGTGCGACTGGCTATATTTTATGCGAACAAAATAAAAATTGTTTTTGAAATACATTACCCTTTTGTTTTCATAATCGGAAAATACGAGCAGTTTTTATTATTAAATTTTTCACATTTTAGTCCATTACAAAATATATAATGTCCAAAACATCGGAATTCAGGGGCCATTTGTATATAATGTCAAGTCATGTCATGTTACAGATACATTATTAATTAAATACATATAGGTAGTTACTATCCAATTATAATATTGTTCTATTTTTAATTCCTTTAGCTTGGCCTTAAGGGCAAATTACATCTACAACTGTGCCAGATTTCAAGTACGCATAATTATAGCAAGTAATATCTGCTAATAATAACGAAAGTGATATGCGCTTGTTTGCGTACTAAATAGAGGGCCCGCAATGTCATACAAGTATAATAGGTAAATTTAAATGAAATAACTATATATTTATATGTATATGGCGTATATTTAAATTCACGATCGAGTCTTAAAGCGACGCGATTACAGTTAATAAAAATAGGTAAATGCAAATATGTAAACAAAAAGAATGTTTATTTGCATTTCCGTCAGTAGATGTATTCCGAATATACCGTGACCTTGCACGTAAAACGAACACGCTCGCGTGCACCCACGTATCACGGTTGCTTCTCGTCGTCATCTCTTTCGTGATAACAATAGTGATATTTTTAATAAATATCCGAGAGTAGTTCAATAAACTGTGCTGACGATATCTTAATACGATTAAAGCAATGCCGTGTCTGGCACGTATTAGTAGAGACTCGTAGCTTTGTTATAAGTTTGTCGTTTTTAATTTTCGATTGTGTTCTGAAGGAAAAACTCGAAAACTAGGAAGCATTTTTCAAATTTTCAAGTAGTGAAAATTTTTTGCAACGTTAGTGACAATTTTAGTAATATATTATCCCCGCAGAACACAATTTGTATTCACAAATCTGTTTGTATCGATTAGGATGTTTTCTATGTGGAACAAATATGTAAATCTATCAGTTTTTTTTTTTATTTTATGCAACTAAAAATGGAAAACAAGCTGGACGGCCCACCTGATGGAAAGTGATAACAGTCGCCTATAGATATGAACAGTATCATGGAAATAACTGAGTATATTGTGTCGCCCATGTTTGTGGTAACACTTAAACTGTACCTAAATAAAAAAGTTAAATTAAAGTTATATTTATTTAATTAAATTGTCAATTATCATTGAAGTTAAAGTCCAGATTGCTAATTCTTTCACTTGGTCACGTATTTAAATTAGTCAAATTACTAAAGTTATTGTTAAATATTTCTTTTTCCATAGCAATTTATCATATGTTTATTATTTAATTCTATAATGAATTAAAGACTTATAGTCATGATTAGGTAGGTGTCTATTTTTAGTGTGTCAATTGTTATGCAATTATGTTGTCAATGCGCATTGACTTTTGCAATTAATTTCAAATTAATCACTATCTATATACGATTGTGGATCATTCATGTAACAAAAACTATTTTCTCTTAGTAAATGTTACGTAATCTAAAAGTTAAAATGTTAATTCTTTTAATTTTATTTTTTTAATAGATTTTTCTTCTATATGCCAAACTTTCCAAAATATATTGAATATGTATGTACAATGACGTAACTTTTGGAAATACCTTGACACGAGTTAAGAAAATTTCACTTTTGATTTAATGTAATCGCGATACTAATCTTGAATAACAGAGCTCTTCAGCGGTAACCACGTAATAACAAGAATGTTATATTGCATTAGAATGTTTTATAAATCTTACAATTAATCTAAATACATATAAAGTAAAACTGGTCAAATGCGAGCTGAACTCTTGTTGAAATAAATGTTTTCTTATGATTATGATAAATTTATTTTAATATATATGAGACAAATTGATTTATGTACAAATAATTATTTATTAATCAATTTAGGATTTTCTTGATTTGGTTGGGTAGTGGTTAAAAACCGGAGCGCATAACTACAGCGATTTAAATAAAGTATTTTTTAAACGATTTATTGAAAACCTCTTATAGTCGTTATTTTTATTACAACATTTTGACACTTCTCAGTTACTATACTTGTAATTTTATATCACTGAAGTGGCAAACAAGCATACGGCCCACATGATGTCAAGCAGTTACCGTAGCCTATGAACGTCTGCAATACTACGAATATTACGCATCTGTTGCCGACTCTGAAGAAACCTCTTTACCCCTTTTTTGAAAATCTTCATGTTGTAGTCTCTTGGAAGAGCCTCGATACGGGAGCTCACTCTATAACCTGAATAATTATTTACATATTTTCGTTTCACAAATTTCGGAGTGATATTTTCTTTTTTCCTTTTTTGCATAAACTTTATCAATTACAAAAGAATCAAAATCGGTTCAGAATTGGGAAAGATATCGCCTAACATATTTAAAAAGAATATGAATTGCGATTGTAAAAATGACATGGTTTGTAATACCTTCTCATGTTTACAATAGGCATATATTACAATGCTTAAGTTTTTCATGTTACAAACCGTTTCAGGAGGTGGAGAGTCAGCGCAAGACGTCATCGCTGCAACGTAACGTGGTGTACCCACTGGCGATGCTGCTATTGCTCGCACTCACCACCATCACTGTGCTCATGGTGCTGCAGAACATCCTGGAGTTGCTGATTGGCATTAAAGCGTTGCCACTTAGCACACGGGTAAGAATCGCGTATCAATCAACTAATATCACAAAGAAAGATTTTTTGGTTTTTTTTTTTAATGGACTCAGATCAGAAATTTTTAGTTCATGTAGTGTGCTGTAGACTAACGAGTTAATCAGTTATAAATATCAATTTAGCAGTTTGAATTGAATAACGCTGCATATAATACGATTGCTCTTTTCAAGAAACTCTTGATATTATGGCACTTTTTTATGGTATTGAAATGGAATGGTAATCTCATCTACTCTATTAAAGTTGGCGGGTAATCAGTAAAAGCTGATGTGTGAGGATTAAGTCAGGTTAATCAACTGATCATAATTAATTCACTAGTAATTAAAGAATGGTTTCCAAGACCCTCTAGAAGTGACCTGACAGTTGCTAGCAATATACCCTATATTGCTAGCAACGGGGACTTCCTTGTTGCTAACAATTCCCTCTCCTCTATCAGAGTGCGCCACTTTCGCACGTTTATAGGTGTATTGTAGAGTTATATATATTGGCTCTGCAGACCGATTTTTAACGCAGTCGTGTGGGATCGAATTGAAATCACATCGAATGGTTTTTTTTTAATCGACGATGAATACTTCAATTTACCTATTTATTTTATTTTATTATTTTTATTTATTTATTTAAGGACAACAAACAAAGTATACATTTATATCTACTTAAAGTATATTATAAAAAGATTACATTATAAAATGCTGCCTCAATTAAAGGCCGCCACGACGTGTGTATTCATAATACATTATTATTAGGATGAAAATGTATAAAAACTACAATACTAGTTATACAATAAATAGTTAGACTACAGTAATATGGTACTTTGGATTTGAAAGATTTGTACACTTATAATCTATACATATGTGCAATGATAAATGCCATGCTGTTATTAAGCTGATTAAATTAAACTAAACAAATTAAATTAAACAAAGTAAACTATCACATTGATAGGTATATTTTCATTTAGTGATATAGAAAATAATTTCTATTGATATTAAAATATGGATAAATTGTTTATCATTATTTAATAAGTCTAATGTTTATCAAATGTATTTCTTATCTTTAATAACTAAGTGAAACTTGTTTCCACGAATGCTTCGTAAATTGTTTTGTTTTGCAATAAATGTTAATATGAAAAGTAAAATACAACAAATATTATATTGAATATGATGTCATGTTATTGCAAACTTGGTTAGAATCTTTAATTGCTGTGTTCTCTAAATCCGGTTGCTTTTTTTTTTTATTTTGTTATCAAGTTTCATAATGGGCCATAATAGCCATGAAACGGGATCTAGTATTATCAATTGACAAGATAAAACTTTTATCATGATATAAATATTTTATAATTGGTTTTATAAGTTTTGGTAATTTTATATTTACATACATACATATTTGTCACGTCTGACTTCCATTAGCATAGGCAAAAACACTACATTCATTAATCTTTTCATACACGCTCGCCGGTTACTAGTATAGTATTATATTATCTGTGCTAGTACTTTTAATTTGGCCCCTTCTTCAGTACGTCACCTATTTGGTCAATATACGTAAGTCTAAGGTGGCCCTTACCGTCATCTTCATTCATTCGCGTTCGATAATAAATTTCTTTCGTAATCCTTCTTTCATCCATCCTCTCCAAATGGCCAAACCAACGCAAAATACCATTAATTTTATATTTATATATTAAATTTTTGACAATTCTAAACCGGTTGTCATTATTTATTTTCACTATCGCTATAGAGTTTATTTTTGTGTATGTACTCTATCAGTGTTGTTGGAGAAGAATCTATGATAAAAATTACGATAATTGATATACCTTTTTAAACTTTTTTAATTATTTAAGCTTGAATTTTATTTATCAACTTGTGAAGTTGCTGTTTATTTTTGGGACCAAATCTTTAATTATTCATGTCTGTAGGCAGGCACTGCCACTTTTCATTAGGTTGTGACCATCGGCTTATTTTGCTACAGATTCTTGGTAGTCGAAAGCGTAATATTTTATTGCTAAGTTCTTCGTCGTCTTAAATTAGACTCTTCAACTGAATGTAAATTATTAGTTTGTTACCTCTTAACACCCTACTGCTATAACCAATTTTTTTTTATACCACTGAGGTGGCAAACAAGCATACGGCCCACCTGATGGTAAGCGGTTACCGTAGCCTATGAATGCCTGCAATACCAGATGTATTACGCGCGCGTTGCCGACCCTGAAGAAACCTCTTTACCCCCTTTTTGAAGAATTTACTATATGGGATAGAGAAGGCCATAGGCTACTCTTAATTCTGGTATGGACAAATCATTGTTTGCGTGGACAAAGTTAAATAGAGTAATAGCTGGTAAATGTATAAGATAATTTAATTTGAAGACAATATTTTTTATAAAGATATCGCATTGATATAGCAATCATTTTTACTATATCGGCCGATAACTGTCCACTGCTGGATATAGGACCAATGAGTGGGCGGTTTACTAGTAGTAATAGTCGCCTCTTGCAACATCCATGGGAAAGGAAAGGGTGGACTATTCTATGCAGAGACCACACGGAATATCAAATTGGTTCTCTGTCTTCAGATTGATTGAAAATTGTAAAAACTGCACGTTCGTCCTCAGCAATTTTCTCTGGGCATCGCGTCGTTGTCGAAGCTGGGGTGGGCGGGCGCGACGCTGGAGGCGGGGCTGATCCTGTACCTGTCGGCGGCGTCGCTGACGGGGCTCAGTGCACCCATCCGCGCCGCGCGCCTGCTGCCGCGGCCGCGCCGCACGCCGCTCTCGCGCATCATAGCACTCTGCGCACTGCTGCTCATGCACTCCACTGCGCAGCCGCTGCTCGTCAAGATATTAGGTACGTACTCTCTCATCATCGATATCATATTAGACTTTAACTGTCCTTTGCTGAAAATAAGCCTCCCCTTGGAGGGGTTTTGCCAGTTATTGCCACGCTTGGCAGGTGGCTTGGCAACCGCAATTAGGCTTTAGAGATGTTTTAAGAGGGACGCTGCTGCTTATCCGTCGTCCTCCCTTAGTCGGCTCTTACGACATCCACGGGAAAGGAAAGTGTGGCCTATTTTGTGCCGTGACCACACGGCTAACTTTATACTACATACTCTATGCTCCGTAATTTTTTTTTACCCTATTAATGATTAAATAAACGCCGGGCGCAAGGATTCCTCGGTGTTCCATCGACGTCGACGGAATAACCGATCTTCCGTGCAGTGTGATCGAGAATAGCAAATTATATGCACTTTGATGTATTGGAGTTCCATCGTCAAAGAAGTAATGTGACACTAGCCTTAACCATCCCAGTTGAATTTCCAACATGTTTTTTTTTTCAATAATAAAATTGTCTATTTGAGTCAAGTGCTAAGGGCATGATAACTCTACAAAGCGAAGTGATGAATGGATAAAAATAGAACTGAAACCCCGCCTGCGCTGTCTGTTTACGCTGACGGGGTGCGAATGACGAATGATAGGTGAGGATGAGGTCAGATTACATGTGATACAATCATCTGTGTAAAAGTGAATTTGGCAAATAATTGTTATTTAATATACCATTATGTCTCTAGGTATAACGAACTTTGATTTACTGGGCGAGTTCGGCCGCATCGAGTGGCTGGGCAGTTTTAAACTCGTAGTGGTGTACAACGCGACGTTCGCCGCGACGGTGACCCTCTGCCTCGTCAGCAAGTTCACGGCGAGCGTGCGACGCGAACTGTACAACAGGTTGGTCGAAAACGTGAAAACGGTTGCGCATTGCGTGTCTTTCCTCAATAACTAAATCAACAACAGCAAAGGTAAACTGTTGATCTGCCAAATACTTTTTGTTTTATTGTAACACTTGTAACCTTGTTCGGTGGTAGATGAATTACAAATTACAAGTTCACTCGTTATCAGCGTACGGCTGTACAAGGACATTGCGTGCGATATGAATGCGTCTTCATTATAATTGACTATCGCACACAACTTGACACAAATGTCATAAACTTGACTTTAAAAAATAATTTATATTGTTTACAGTAAATTAGAAGAACCTATTACTACCTACCAAATTCATGATCAATTGATAAATAGCCAAATATATGAATACGTTATTCATCCATGTGCATATATAAATAAACTTTTTAACAATTGATACATCTATATTTTGTAACTAACAATGTCATTGTTCAGTCGATACAAAAGTAATTCTAGAAGATTCAATTTCTTTATATTCATTTCAAAGTTCAATGTACTTACGATAACGATACCATGTAATTATTTTAAAGGCGCATTCGTAATTCTGCTATGTCATTTTATTCTTTATTTAACTTCTGATCATCTAGTAAATACCCATATTTTTTGCCCTAATATCTTTTATATATAGATTATTCGTATTGTTAAATAAGACTCTTGAAAGTGTAGAAGACTATTAAATCCTAAAATAACCTCTATGTACAAGGAACATTTCTTTCTTTTTATTTAAGAGTTTCTTTTTGTCGGTGTAACTAATTCATGCATTTTCTTCCAGCCAACTCTATCCCATGCCATATTTTTCACCTCCCTATATGACTTGACACCTAGTGTACAAGGAACATTATAATCTATAAATATGAATATTATCTGTATTTAATTTATACAAAATGTATTATTACATTATCCTATAATATTAATCCTACAAATGAAATACAAATATAACATTTTTGATTTTACAAAATGTGTACTGACATATTTTGACAAGTATATCCAACACTAGTGTTTACACCGAATTGTGGCAATACTTAATTATTATTTGTCAATTTTTAAAAATACTTTAACAATATTCTTATATTTAATAATTGCAAAAGTACTCTTTTAGAGTATTTAAATACTAATCAGACAAAGGTTCTTATTGAGCTATCACTGAAAATTCGGATTGTCATAAAAAAAAATTTAATAACATAAGAATCAAAATATGAAAGATTGACGTTTCAGTATGCTATCAGATGTGTCGATTTTTTTTCAAATGTTTTGAAAACTGATAGATTAGTAACTCCGAAGATGCCACGTGTTGATATGAAGACTCTTAAATATTTATACTGTCGGTTAAGCTATAAGGGTATATTTAACCAGTGTGTTTAACGTCTGTCATCACAGTCTAAGTAAACACACTAGCTTACTTGTCTATCTATTTTAATTAGGTACTAAGAAATGTTAATAGGTTAATTTACTTTTGTTTCGCTTGTTTGTTTTAGTATTTGGCAGATTCAGTTTCCTAAAATGTGTCATTAAAATTAACTTTGATTGTATTCAAAGGAAATTAGTGATATGTAGCTGTGTGCGTTTCAAGAGTAAATGGTATTTTGATACTATGTTGTTAAAATGTTTATCAGCATTTACTCTGTTTTTATAATGTATGGACTGAAATTGTAATATGAAGTAAATATTAAAATATTATCATGGCCTTATATGTTAGCCATTGAGATTGTCGTTATTTAATAATTTAAAAAGAAATGCCCCCTTATAAGTGGAAATTATCATTTTAACATGTACTTATTTTGTTTTCTTGTTATTTTAATTTATAATTTATATCCGCTTTAATAACTTTATGTTACAAATTATATCTAAAAATAGTACAATAGGAAATTTCTTTCGATTAATGAAATTGTAATTAAAATAGAATAATACCCAATGCATTTATGTCGTTTCCTTATTAGGTAGTTATAATTATTATTATTCATGAATTATTTCACAAATTGACAAAATTAATTCTTAGTTATTGTGTCATATTCATTATTATTATTAGTAAAAGTTCTTGAGGAAAGACTCATATTATCATTAGAGATAAAATTTAAATTATTTTACGACTAATGAGACTGAATTTGTTAATGTTATTATTAGACTCTGAGAATTGTCATATTTATTTTGTTAAATGTATGAGATTGGTAAATTTAATTCAGAATAGAATTTATTTGTAACAGTTATAAATATGCCATGACATTAATAATATAATTTTTGTGGTGTCCTATTGTAAGCATATTGTGATTTTATTATGATGTTAAACCACAATTTTTTTTATTTTATCTTTGTAGTCAAGCGACATTTGCTTGATAATGCTCTTATATAATCATAAAAGACATAGTAAGACTGTTTTTAACCTAAAATAACCTAGGCATATAGAGCATTAGTTTGTTGCTCAATAAAGATTTCCAGTTTTTACCTGTGTTTGCAAGAAGAAAATGAAAACTTTTGTTCCATTTGGTTTGAGGCTATTTTACTTATTTTCTAGTCGTAATGGTTCTCTTATGTTGTACGCAGGTTAAACAGTTTTGTAGTAACTTAGATTATGAGCGTTGATCGATTGATTGATTTGTTAAGATTCATGTACAATTAACATTTAGTATAATTCATCTGCTATCATTACTAATGTGCACATATACTATTTTTATTATAAATATGCATGTAGCCCTGTTAGGATATTCTGATTATTGTACACTGGTACTGATATGTATAGCCAAATGGTGCTATCGGACATATTATATGCTATTACGAAAATTAAGTTAGATAATATGTATGATATATATGTTCTGACTAGTACCTAGAGCTATCAAATATAAGGTTCGGCTTGTATTCTGTGTGAATTTGATTTGTGAACATAATATTCTGTGTGCAGATTTTATACATTTTATATTATCTTGTACCAAATGTTGAGATTGCATTTGAAATAATATACATAAAAATTGAATTGGAGGTTTTCATTTATATCCCTTACATGTAAATTGTTATCTGATAGTTTTGATGTAAAATTTTAGTTAACTATCATTGTTGATGGCCTATTATGTATATAAGCTATATAAATATCCTCTCAGTTATATTAATGCACAATGCTTGAAATGTCATTATTATTTGTTTAGCTTGCTTTCATCATCAGCTTACTAATTTCATTGCTTTTCTAATCTTTTATGCTTTTTTTTTCTTTATAATGCAGCAGTATTCAGTCTCATTAGTTTTAAATGTTTATTATTAGAAAAAATAATTTATTTTATTTTTTATTCAGATTCAAGTGGATAATGGATTTATTTGTAATTGAAGATAAAACTCATATGAATGTATCGTTTATCGCTAACTGCAGTCAAGTATCAGCTGAGAAAACTCTGAATGCCGAAAAGACAATACACAAAGACAAGACAGAGCAGCATTTAAAATCAAAATAACAACTAAGTATTTGAAAGATGAAGACAAATATTGTGATAATGAATGCTATTGTAATTTTGTACCTTTTTAATGTTTTAATTGTAAATCTATAATTGTCTAATATTAAAATGGCCATTATAAAGTGATTATTGCCAGCTTTTTATCTGTGATTTTCATTTTTAATTTTATATTTGTGTTATAAGTAAATATTTAGATTTATGATTAGTTTTTATATTCAAATAAGTAATAAAACACAAATTATGATTCAGATATTTTATTGTCACTATCTTTTGTTATTATAATAAAGTGTTTACCACATTGTCTCCCTATCGATTTCAGGATTAACCTTCTAGCATTATTCCTTACTGCTTCTAGGCTTTCATTACTATTAAGACCCAAAATAAATCCTAGATTAATTACATCATGCACATCTCGAATATGAATAGGCTGTTCAGCACCACTAGATAAAATTATGTTTTTTGATTTTCCAATAGCATGATACATATGGGCAGTGCTTATTATATTCTTCCTGGATGTTGAATCCCTGATTGCTGGTGAGTACATGAGTTCAAAGAAAATGCCTCTTTCTATAGCCTGTCTGTACAATTTACGGCTCATTTTGAAAGGAATTCTACACTCTGGTTCGAAAGTTATAACATCAATATCCATAGTTCCACATGCATACTGAAAAGCTTGTAATGTTTTAGGTATCACAGCAATAATGTCATATTTTTTTAAATTTTCAGATTGATTCATTTTGTGTGCTATACTAGAATCTGAAAATTCTATTGTTAATCTTTGAAGAATGTTTAATTTTGTGTTAGCTTGTACTTCTTTTGGAATTTCGATGGGGGAAGGTATAGAATCTTTCTTTTCTTTCATGTCCCCTTTTTTTTTCTTTTTCTTGGGTTCATCACCAGTTTCTTCCACAAGTGTATTTATTGCTATTGTGTTAAATCCCAGTTTCTCTATCACACTTAATTTTGTAAGGTCATAAGATTTGTTAACAGATAAATCACAAAATCCCCAATTTTGACATGCCATTATGATAAATTGTTCATGTATTGACACAACCCTCGACGTACAAATTTTTTTTGGATAGATTAAACGATTAGAGTAAGGTCGATTCGAATAGAAGTATTATTTAACTAATACTGTTCACGGTTTAATTAATTATGTTTTGGTTTATAAAACTAATGGCAATATCAAGTAAGTAAATTTTGGATAACCTATAAACACTAATGATCGGTGCACTAAGATATCGCTAACAAATATAGTTATATTGATGGAGTGACACAGGACACTGACAGTTACAGACAAGTGTCTATTTTGTCTGCAGCTGTCAGTTTAACATTTCGTTCAAAAATCATGTTAAAATTGCAATATTTTGTAAATCAACGATTCATTTCATATAATTGCTAGTCTAGTCATCATCATTTCAGCTGTTAACTGTCCACTGTTGAACATAAGCTTTCCTCATAAGCCCTCTATCATTAAATTCTTTTAGTTGCCTGTTACAACACAGGAAAGGAAGGGGTGGCCTATTCTATCCCGGGACTACACGGACAATTACTAGTGCTACGTAAAAATTAAGTGTAATTGTTTTTAAAATGTATCATAAAATTCATTATTAGATGATTATAACTTGTTAAAAACATTTTTTCATAATTATCTCTATTTTCCACAACACGTTTCTTTTTTCGTCTACAGAATTAAAAAAATAAGGCATAAAAAATAGAAAAAAATATCAAAGCTATGGTTACCACCACTGCAATTAAATAATGCCATTTGTTATTACTTGTCAGTACAAAAATTGTATTCGAAATTTTAAAAGGCATCTTTATTTTGCACGAGAATAGCAATATTTTATTAAGAAAAATTATATAAAATGGTTGTACGGATTATTATTGCTGGAGATTCTCAGTGTGTTATATTTGCGGAAGTATGTTTAGTAGCTGATCACCTTATGAAAAATTTGCCAAATTTTTGTTATGAACGCATCGAAAAACCAGTATTGGAATGGAATGTTAGTTTACTTTTAAGAATTCTATAGATAGTTTAGGTGTATGTTATTAGCATAACATTATTATAAATATTATATTAACTTAAATTTATTTGGTTTCGTACTATTTTTATTTAACTTGTCAAAAGAAGAAAATTGAAAGTATGGAACCATACTTTTGATTAATTTTGACGATATGGCGCAAATTTTATTTGTATTTTTACATAGAGGGCAAATAAAATATCATCATAGTGTCTATATTATATAATCACACTTATTAAGATTGGGCATTGGGTATTAATTAAGATTATATTTATTTATATAGATGTGGTTATACAAAATAAATCAAAAACATAAATGGCATCACAAAGGATCCCCATTAATTTGGAAGGAATTATTATGTAAAGGTAGCAAGCCCTATTATATTGGTGGAGCTTCAGAATTTTTGGAGTACTGTCATTCGTATTATAAATTTGATGTTTTTCTTGCTTCCGAAAAATTTGAAGGATTAATAAAAAATTATAAACAGTATCAGAAAAAAATTAAATGCGATACACAAAGTGTCTGTTATATTTCGGACTCAAAAGAGGAAATTATAGAAAAGTCGCCTAAAACAAACTTTGTTGTGTGTATATCAGGGGCTGGATATCCCTTAACTATGCATTTAATATCAGGGTTATTAGATATGACACACGGAGAAAAAACTATTTCTAAAATATACATCCATGACAAAGAAAGGAAAGGAAGCATGGAATTCATAGAGCAAGAATGTAGTTACATCGGTACTAATTATCCTGGAAAAGTAGTGAAATTCATAGAAAAAATTGGTGTAGCATTAACGCATTCGGATTTATTCATAATTTTAGATCATGTGCCTTTTGAGTAAGTTCAATTTTTGTGAAATTATAAGTTATAAGTTACGGTTAACTTTAACAAATTTACTGTTTACAGCCCGGAAGCATCCATTGGGGACTGGATTCATGCTAATAAAAAAATAATGCAGAAGATAGCCTTAAAAATAAATGCTTCTGCTTCACGAAAAATTTATATCCTACTTCCTAATTTAGGACCGGCTTGTTATAATGCCACAGTTTTAATGAATTCGGTAACCGACATCAATAAAAATAATATTGTTGTGGCTACATCCGATCTTGGATTAGAAATTTCACCAATCGTTGCGGAGATAACTGAAGTGTCCTTAAGAACAATGTTTTGCCCTCCTGTTTGGGGCTTTGTCGGCATCAACCATTTAGTAGATATTAGGACTACTATACATAAATATAATACTTTTACACCCTATGATAGATATATAAAAGTAAAAAAATCTACTTTGAATATCGGAACACTTACACCAGAAATGCGTACAATGGAATATTTACTTTATTTTGATAAATCTTTATGGACAAAAGTCGCTATTAATAAGGTTTCCTTCTTTTTTTATTAAGTATTACAAATGTTAATTTTAAGTAAAAATGGCGTATAATTTAATAAATTATTTTCAGGCAAAAACGACGAAAACTCAATCTATAAATAAAGCCATATCCGTTTTGAATGTAATCAAGTTATGGTTGTTCAACAGCGACCATACTAATACAATTAACTTAGGTATCCGTTGTAACGGTGCGTTTTCTTATATTATTTCATGAATATACTGTTATTCTTAAATATAGATTATTAATTCATTCTTTTATAATTTACATGTTTGCAGGGTCATTTGGATTAACATTTAATGGTGCATTTTCACAACCTGCTCACTTTGTAGATGGCGAATGGACTCCAGCAGCTGATTATATGTTACCTAGAGATCCGGAAATGAATATACAATATTTACAGCAAATGGCTGAAATCGTGATGAATTTGAATAAAATGGAATTACCTAAATTTATTCCTTATTATTAATATCCATGCAAACAAAAATATTTAAAAAAAGTTTGGTAATGTTTTTTAATATTTATTAGAGTCGATTGTTTTTAAGCTAAATCGATTCACTTGTTTCGATAGTCATCCATTTCTGAACGCTGCTCATAACATCAACGATTCAACGAATGCGGCACGACACTAGTATTCCAGACAATTTATCTTTTTGAAGACTAGGCAGCATGGTCTCCGACCTTAGCCTGTTCCAAACGGAACAAACGTACTAAAAAAAAAAAAAAAACGACACTAGTACTGAAGTAGACTCTGTAGGTGTATTTTTGTGTTTTGCGGAGGAATGTTATGACGTGCAACGATTGTCTTTGTTTTAATAACACTCGTCTAGTTTTACGTTAAAAAAGGAATACCAGTAATGATGTGATATATTGTATTCGTTAGGCAGAAATACATTCATATTGCAGTATGAATTTTTCCAAAGCATGATTGTGCCAATAGCAGTTATTAGCATAGTTAGGTGTTCATATTGGTTAAGTTGTGTGAATGTTGTGCCAATAATGAGATAGTGTAGTGTTGTGATGTGGTTGTGGGACATGTGGGGCGTGCTGTGCGCCATGGAGGCCGTGGCGCAGCTGGTGGCGGTTGTGGCGTCACCCCTGGAGTCTACGCCGCCGTATCCGCAAGGTGAGAGGAGAAGAACCTTGCCACCTACGACGTTACTCCGTCGCTTACTAACACTGCATGCACTAAGCACGCCCTATTCCTTATTTTTGTGTAAAATTCTTAATTTTTAACACCTTATTTACATTACATGTGCTTGACAATGTTTGTTTTGATTAAATAACTTTTAAAATTATCTTCTTTTTTCTGTTATTGTTAAATTAATATTTACACATACTTCATTTATAAAATCTGATTTAATTAGTGCTTTATTATGTAAATAAACTTAATCATTTATTTTTTATGCTAATTGTTTAAAAGTAGTTACTTTAGTACCTTTGGAAAAAAGTACCTACGGACCAAATTCTGATTGTCAACAAGAATGCTAGTTGAGATTTTTATTTTGTTTATGTTAATGGATCAATTTATTATATTTTAATACCTTTTAAATGAAATTGCACTATTTTTATATACGTTACTATATTTGTATTATCATAAGCAAACTTGATAACACAAATATATTTAATATTTATGCTTGTTTAATATTCAGTCAATGTGAGCTTAATATGTAATAATATGCAGTATTTATTTATTCAAGAATTGAAAAATAATTGATTATAAATGTATTTTTAACTGAAAATAAACTGCATGTGCATGTCTGTAATGGTGTTTTTTAATTTCTTTATTTTTTTTTTTACAGTTTTAACTATTTAAATATCTTATTATATATGTTTGTTTAGAAATAGACATGATCAATTAAAAAAATACTACATGATATTAACATAATTTGAAGCATTATATAGATATCTTTAATATTATGCTGATGGTTTGTTTATAAAATAATATTTTTTAAGTTATATAAAGAGTAAAATCTGTAATTGAATATATCACATAGCACTATGTATTCCCAAACTAAGAAGGTCTAGTAGTATGGATAATTGATTCATATTTTTGACGGGATTTTTAGTCAAGAGGGATAGCAGTCCCATTGCCAACAATATTGACAGTGAACCACTTATTATAAAATCAAGAATTAACTACAATTGATTCTATGGGCTTCTAAGTGTGAGTTGATCAGACAGGGTATTTTGTGTTTCATATAATTTAACTGGCTAGTTCCATTCCTAGTTTTATCAGCATACTAATAGCAGGCTAATATTCTCTTCTTATAGGGAAAGATTTGCATATAGCAATAAGATATTGTTATGTATATGTTTATAAACACTAATAAAAAATGGGTTATAAATATTTTTAATACATGGATATGATAAAGAGTTATACCCACCACAAGCTTTCATCTCAACCATCTGGATGGGTGACGGTCCTCCACCATGCATCTCTGTAAGTTTTTTCTTCCATGCAAAAAGTATGTAACTAACTCTCATCAGCAATAGTCTACACAGATACCACATTGAAACTTTTAAGAAAAAAGCATTATCATTTCTAAAAGACTGGCAACACACCTGCAATTTCTCTGATGTCCTATAATCATTCATTATGGATGGTGGTAATCACTTGACATCAAGTGAGCTGTATGTTTATTTGCCCTTATATTGTAAAATATATATATATATATATTTACTAGCTTATTATCTGCTACTTCGGTCACATGGGATTTAAAAGTAGGAAAACCAAAAAACAGACCACTTCTAGCTGTCATATCAAGATAAAACATATAGCAGGTTTTAAGTTACACCTTCAGAAACATGATTGTGACATCAACATAAGTCACATCCTATTTGGTCCAGTGGCTTGTGTGTGATGTAAAAACAAACATACAGACAGGTAACAAAAATTTTAAAGTTGATTTGGCTTCTATTGCATTGGTATTAATATATACCAGAGGGAGACTTTGTACAAAAGTCGATTGCTTGGGTACCTCTGTCCCATTCGTGTTTCAACCATGAAGCAGTTGTGTTTGCATGTCTGTGTTTCGGTTTGAAGGGTGGGATATGGGGTGAATTTACTGGGTACACAGGAATAACACCTGAGTCCTCCGGAATGGCAACACATGCGGGGTATCATGGGTGAAACAGTATACTCTGTTATGTCCATGGTACTGCTCATGTCTATAGGCGACGGTTACCACTTTCCATCAGGTAGACCGTCAGGTTGTTTGCCATTCTAAGTTGTATAAAAAAAAATTTAAATCAATTTTATTAAATATCTCCCATATACAGACACCTTCTAGGTCCCGGCATAGAATAGGCCGCCCTTTCTTTTTCCGTGGGTGTCGTAAGAGCGACTAAAACAGCTTTTGGTGGAGGAACGGGCAGCAGCGCCCCTTTTAAAACACCATCAACAGCCAAACTGCAGTTGACAGTCCGTCTGCCAAGCGTGCCAATTACTGGCAAAACTGCCCTTATAGGGGAGACTATATTTAGCAGTGGACAGTTAATGGCTGATACAACAGACGACCTGTAGTTACAATTTTATTATATTAATAAGATTATCTATTTTAGTCATTAAATTTGATGCTTATTTATTATTCATCAATGTCACATCAAACATTAGGTTCGTAAGATATCTCAAATTAGTCTAGCGAGAGAGCCGGGCGGTTTAATGACGGGCGATCGCCTTATTCCGGCCGAAGGTCGTCACAAATCCCCACAAATTGCTCTGAGAGACGATAATCTGGCAGCTATTGGAGGGTTGCGGCCGTGAGGGGTGCCTTTGCGAATATCTAGTTCGCGCATTAGTTCCTTTTACTATGGAATGCTACCGTTCGCAATCGATTTACGTACGTATATATTTCTGGTTTCAATTTAGATTTTGTCTTCATGCCGCATTTAAAATTGATAACCGTATGGATATCTTTTTAAATTTAGATACTATTGATAAAAAAGCAGAAATTATAGTAAAAAAAAAATCCATAAGTAACGCATGTCAGATATAACAAGCGTCGAAAGGGGTGCGTTCGTAATTAAGGTAATGTTAAAAGGTATGATACATTGTCTATGTAAGTGAAAATTCATGAAAACTTAAGTGAAAAAAAAATAGCATGTCTGGACAGAACCGAGACTCCAACGTATCTCATTGTTCTTCTTTTTATTCTAAATCCTTTACTATCCAGGCAGTTCGCCTGTGGAACTCACTACCTGCCTCTATTCGGTGCGCTCAAACTCTCACTAGCTTCGAAACCTCTGTTAAATTTTAATAACTCTCCTTTTAGTACTATTTTTCTGTGTTCTCTCTTCATTTTCCTTCGTCATTCTCTCCTGTGTATGTTTGCTATTAAATATGTGTATATTTATGTGTATTTATATATATATTGCTAGCAATGGGGCTGTCAAACTCCATTGCTAACAATCCCTTCCCCCTATATATATGCATTAATATCTATATAATAGTCCACCTACTCTTGTGTCTTTTTTTTAATGTCCTCTACACAAAGGTTGTCATTAAGAGTTTATTTAGCGATAAGGCCGCCTTTTATGTCACTTCTCATTAATATTTACTGTATTTATTATTTTTTTACTTGGTGCAATAAAGTGTAAAATAAATAAATATCCAGAATTTTGTACAAATCTGGTATGAGGTTTAACGACATGCGACAAAGGTTGCAGTACCGCCTAACCATTGTCGCATATATAGAATACTAGTTTAAAGACTGTGGTACATTAATTAATTGGTATTTAAAATTATATAACGTTAGCTGTGTCGTTAGACGCAAAGAGGTAACAAACTCACTTTCGCATTTATAACATTAGTAAAATTCCGATTCTTAATAAACATACTGGTAGACCAACTCCTGTATAATTAATCGTTACTAAAGAAGCTCTGGATAAAAAGAAGTAGGGTCGGGTTTTCCATAAAATTATTCATATCCTCATTCCATTTTATCGCGCCTCACGACTTTGAAGATACGTGTTTCTGTGGCGCTAGTTAACTAATGAATGTTACATAAGCAGGGTGGTCGGCCAAACACTCGTGGGTAGCTGGATATACTCAGGTAGTTTGTAATTAATCTCTTTGTATGTCAGCAGACTGGGATTAAAATGTAGGTAACGTTATCAGCGAGGTAATGTTTTAATAAATGACAAAAGGTAGTGTAACACTATCAAATTTGAACACTAGTAGTGTTCAAATTTGCTTTAAGGTTGAAGGTTTGATTCATTTAAGTAATTAAATTTGTCACATGACTAGGTTATTCGTGTTAACAATAATGTAATATACGAGATCTCTCATTGAAGCAATAGTTCTAAGTTGCAACTAGCTGTTACAGTTATATTGCGTCAAATGTTCTTATATTGTGGTGTGGCGTACGCCTATCATTTGCCAAAGTAGAGAAACATTAGTTGCATAACAAGCGGCCGCTTCGGCATTCGCCTAACGGGACTGGCGCGAACAGGGGAGCCCCGACCTCTACCGATGGACGATGCGAGCGTCTCTCCATATCCTCACCGCTATCGATAACTATTATTATTGAGATTCTTTATTCATTTTGCATTTTAGTAATATCATAGATTCTCTGTCGAAATAATAAAATCCCACGATATTTCCTAGTTTCATAATTTCTCATCACGAACTGCAAATGTTGAACTGCATGGAGCGTCCGTTGATTTGGCTGGTCGTGCGGTCGTGAACGAGACCGTAACAGATCAGACTGGTGGTCAAACAATGCTTCTGGCCATTGAAATGCTGTCGAGAAATTTTTAAAATTAAATACCTTTTTTAAGATAACTTTAGCCCTCTCTATAATATGATAATTTAGAATTTTGAAGATTACAATTGGATTCTACTGTTGCTGGATTTTTGGGTCTAAGCAAGCTTGGGAAACATCTAGAGTTGCTTTTTGTGTGGATTTTATTTTACTATAGAGTGAATGCAGAAATTCCCTCGGAGTAATAAACGCGATGTATTTGATTTGATGAATAAATGAGTACTTTTAAAGACTGCTCGTAGTCTCTTTGGCCAAATAAGTGCTATAGTAGTTTGCCGGATGAACTTGTTCATTAGCATTGTTACAATGCATAATATTGTTGCGTGTCCCGCTAAAATTGAATCGTAATTCGTCGAGTGCG